TCACACTCAAACTTCCTTTTGTTGATGTCAGCCATACCACAAGCCAAAAGATGGCTACGCCACTCGTCTTGAGAGGGAAGGCAAAGTAAGCATATTGAACACAAGAATCCCGGTTTCCCGGTTTTTCTTAGTCAATGGCATCTTGATCTTTCTGGATCTAAAAAAAATCAAGTTATTTGTGTTAAGTAGCAAAACATATTAATTTTATATAACATAATTGAATTCATAATCTGAGTGCCATGCGGGCCGTTTGCATTGCCATCGCCTAGAGTATGTTAGTTCTAACTCATTTAGTTCCGAGTTCCCAATAAATCTAACTGTGATTCATCACAGTCATTTTCCATTTCCATTTGTTTGTCAGTATTATCCGCTTCATTACTAAGAACCTAAGTCCCATAATATCTCAAACTATGTACGTGTACAATGAGGGTATTTGTAGTGCCATCTTTGCTGATTTTGTATCAGTGTTTTTCTCTACCGCGTATTATTGTACATGTATATGGACCGTACCAGAAACTCATAAGTTTTCCTTACCTTCCCACGCTTCTTTGCAGAAAGAATACCAAAACCTTGTCACTAAAGCTGAAACTTTTCCCAACTACATTCTGATCATGGTACTTCTTTTGCCTCAACATTGATTTTTTACTTATTTGGCGTGTGTATCTATGTGCCTCTTCCAAAATCTCACGAAGTTTCCAAACATAACCATGCACATAAGTTGGTTTAATATCACTGGGTAACTCGTACACTATATCTAGAGGTGTTGCTACCTCCCGCCCTAACATTAGCATGTTTGGACTGTAGCCTGTACTTTCGTGCAGAGAAGATCGGTATGCCATGAGGACACATGACAAGTTTATGTCCCAGTCTGTTTGTTGGTCAGATACCTACGAGCTAAGCACTGTAGCTAATGTTTTATTGAATCTTTCCACCATTCCATCGGACTTACGATTGCACGCTGTGGTTCGGGTCTTTCGTATACCAAGGAGATTGCAAAACTCATTGAAAAGTTTGCTCTCATATTGCCTGTCTTGGTCACTGTGTATAATTTGTGGCACATAATGATAAATTCTTTATTTTAACAGGATAGCACAATTAGTAACACATTACTAGTTTACATTGTGGTCCTGTATAAAACATATTCACAGACAGATTAAAAAAATGATAGTAGAAAAAAGAGTAACAATATACATGTCATATTATATCAGACATATATGTACATAATATTAAATAAGATGAGTAAATAAAGAAGTTTATTGTGTCATAAGATAAAGTAATTAAAAACAAACAAACAATTACTACACTTCATCTGTTTAAATTATAATGCTGTAAATATGCTGATTTAAAAGAAGCCATAGAATAACAGGTTCTAACAGAGTCAGACAGCTGATTCCATAAAATTGCAGTTGAAACTTTAAAAGATCGTTTTTAATATTCAGCTCGTGCTTTTGGAATATATAAAAGGCCATTAACTCTACTTCCTGTTGCCCTTGAGCTAACCTGGCTAACAAATATAAATACATTCAAATATTCTGACGTTATACCTTTCATAACTTTAAAGGCAAGCAAAAGTTTTCTATATATATAAAAATTATGTACAGGCATCAATTTAAGAACACTAAATATTTCAACAGTAGGAGTTTGTATTTCTTTCACATTCATGATAATTCTGGCGGCCCCTTTCTGTAATTTGAAAAGTCTTTCAATAAAACCCTTGTTTTTGGCTGAACACCAAACAGTGCAACAATAGATAAAATGAGAAAGATAACAGTGTTGTAAATTTTTAGCAATGCTGCAGTTGACATAAAATTTCGTAAACGACGTAAAATATCACTTTTTTGTGAAAGTTTCTTACATAAAGAATCACACCGAACCTAGTTATGAACTGTTCCACCAAAACTTCAGCCACTCTCTGTTCTTCCAAGTTCTTTAAAGGATACGCTTCTGTCCACTTATTGAAGTAGCCAGATATTACTACGATATACTTATTACCATTTTCAGTTTCAGGAAGTGGTCCCATGATATCTGTAGCTACTCGCCCCTTAGAGCATCCAGTTTGATCCATCTGCATATATGTCTTCCCAGCAGAAAAAGTCTTTCTTTTTCAATACCGAGGACATCCTGTTACATAGTTCCTAACGTCACTCTGTAACCCAGGCCAATAGAATTTCTCTTGAATTCTTGCCAAAGTTTTTGCAACACCAAGGTGTCCTGATGTATGTACATCGTGACATTGCTTAAGGATTTCTCTTCTTTCTGATAATAAGATCAAAGCCTGCATGATTATAACTTTTCCTGTTCGCACAATTACTTTATGACTGTACAGACGAAAATGTTTGAAAGCAAAAACAACATCTAGGAGCTCTTTTCTTGTAACACAATACTTGCGTTCACTCTTAGATAATGTCCGACTAGTGTAACCTATTACTCTAATCTGACCTTCAATATCCTGCGAAAGAATTACACCTAGTCCTAGCTGACTAGCATCAGTATCAAGAATAAAATGCAGGGAGAAGTCCGGATGTGCTAGTACAGGAGCAGTAAGCAAGCACTTCTTTAGCTTTTCAAACGCTTCTTGGCAATCTGAGATCCATTTACACTCCCTTCGCTTCTCCATTAACCTGAACAGAGGCTTAGCTATGGAAGAGAATCCAGCAATAAATCTCCGATCATAGTAGCTGCATAACCCTACAAATGAACGAACTTCACTGGCATCAATTGGTATTGGCCAATTCTTAACAGCGGTTACTTTCTGAGGATCAGTGTGCACTCCTTCACCTGAAACTCTGTATCCAAGAAACAAGACCTCCTTCTTGAACAAAGTGCATTTTGAAGCCTTTACTTTCAGTTCAGCATTTTGCAATTTATCAAATACCTGCTCCAGGTTTCTGAGCGTCTCCTCAAATGTACTGCCAAAAACTAATATAGCGTCAATATATACTAAACAGATTTTGAAGTTCAAGCCAGCGAGGACAGTCTCCATTTATCTTTCAAAAGTGACTGGACTGTTACACAGTCCAAAGGGCATGACTGTAAATTGAAACAACCCGCTGTTTGTCACAAATGTGGTTTTGGTTTATCAGCTTCTTCCATTTCCACATGCCAATAACCTGAGTGTAGGTCCAAAGTGCAAAACCAAGAAGCACCTCTCAGGCGATCTAGCGAATCATCAATTCGGGGCAATGGATATGCATCTTTTACCGTTTTACAATTGAGAGAACGGTAATCTACACAAAATCGTTTTGTGCCGTCTTTCTTTTCTATGAAGACTACTCCTGCGGCCCATGGACTTGACGAAGGTTCCACTATCACTCTATCAATCATGTTCTCTACTTCTTTATCTACCAACTCTGCAGCGTGGTGTGGTAACCTTCTTGGGGGTTGTTTAGTTGGCCTAGCATCTTCAGTGTTTATTTTATGCTTTACTAGTGAGGTTCTATCAAAATCATTCTTAGATTTTGAGAATTTGTTTTGGAACCTTAGTAAAGTTCTTTTAACGCCTTCTGCTTGTGCCTTGGTTAAACCTTTAAATGCAAAATCATATAATTCTTTTAAATGTTCTGGGATGTTTTCTTCATTATTTCCAGGTTCCACAGAGTTCACAACTCTTTCCATTTGGTGCTCAAAAACAGTAGATACTGGCGAGGTCATACCCACTACTGTGTTCTTAAATACAGTTTGAATCTGGTCAGTGGTATTCATCAATCATAAAGCTACATTCGCATTTGAGCTTTGTCATGTTTATACAGTCTATCAAGGTTGCCCCGGTATCAACCAACAGATTGCATGGCAGATGATTCACAAAAGCTTTGATGAACAAGCCAGATTCTTTACTGAATTGTCCTTGCTTGACCGCAGTTGTACTAGATACAACTTTATTGCTTTTGTTCCTGTTATGAGTCTCTGAGCGACTTTTTGATTCATCGTTTGGCTCAGATTTCTGTATTCTCTCAGTAGTTTGCTTATTCAACAGTCTTTAATTCGATGACCACACTTTCCACAGTTGTGACATTTTTATGGAAAAGCATCTGGTTTCAGTAACTGATTAGAACTGGGTGGTCTTGGGGTCTCTTTCGTTTTGAAGCCATGTCTGCAATTTCCCTTTCTAAATTTCTTAATGATTCCTGCAGTTCATTACGTAACTGCTTCATTTCATCTTTCACACTTTAGTCTTGTTCAGACTCTCTGATATTTTCCTCTAGTAGCTCCTCTTGCAATTTAACCAATGTGTCTTTGTAACTGCAATGTATGTATGCTCTACACCATGAACATAGAGTTTTGTTTGCGAAATGTCCACCAAACATGCCAAGGGTTTTCATGTCATTCCATAATTTGAGGTCTTCAGTGCGTTTATATAAATGCCCTTTGAACATTACAATAATACTACTCCTAAAGTGGAGGGGGGGGGGGGGGGACTTGAACAAACTTGAATCTACACTACCTGAGGATGCTTCCGTATAAATATGACCAATCACGGCTTTGCTGTTCTTGAAAAGATATCTCCTATATATTCCTGTGTAAAACATTGATCGTCCATTATGGCCCCACTATACCACGGGGGTTCATAATTTGAATAAATTTGAATCTACATTAATGAATAACTATGTAATAAAGGTTTCGGAGAAGTTTCAACTTTTCTGGCTGAATGGTTCTTGAGAATTCAAAGAAGACTTTTAAAGATTTTTTTCCTATATATTCCTAATATGTAAAAATTTGATCTCCCATTGTGGTCCCACAAATAAGACCTATTGTAAGGTAACTTCTCACAATTATTATTGCCTATATACTGTGTAATACCTATCTCTATCATCAAGGTCATGTACCAAAGTCAAGGTTAATGCATATGCTGAGATTAAGATTTCGTACATCTCACAGAAAATACGTTGTATAAACTGATTCTTGATCAGGTCATTTTTTTGTGTCTATTAGATGGCAACCTTTCTTTATGATGGAATCATGGCTCTGTGTGTGTATCATTTTCAATGGAAACAATATTTTCTGTACAATGTATTTATTTCAAAAGTTTTTTTAACATCCATATATCAAGTACATTGGTGGGAATAGAATGTCTTACAGAGGACTCTCAATTTTTATTTGTTTTGTTTTTTAGTTCATGTACAGACTTTTACAAACTATATTGAAATAAATTTACTTTTTTCTTCCTGCTGTCTGATACCAGATATGATACATAATGTTATAGGAATAGTGGTACATGTATCAGAAAAAGTAAAAATATTGAAATAGAAATGATTTCTGTAAAATTTCATTACAAAGATTTCCATACATAAATGTAATAAAAATCACCACTGTATAATCTATATGTAGTAAAAATAGCAACAATAATGTGTCTTTTTTTCATTTTTCCATAATTCCATAACAACACCTTAAACAACAGATTTAACGAGAAGCTGGGAGACATTTTGTTTTTAAACTAGTAAGGAGTAAGTCAACATGAGCATGAGAAGCCTCAACAAAAAACATAAATCAGTTGACTTGATACAAAATTCTAGATGAGTATCTTTAAGAACATATTTTTGATAAAAAAGAAAAACAATATAATGCCCTTTTTATAAGGAATGTAAAATACCAACACCTTATTCTGAAACTAGCACTGGCTAATCCTTGACTCTTGATTGTAAACAACATTTTACAAAATAATTGTGAAATTGTTTATACATACTAAAAACATGATTGTAAGCAGTTAAAAAATGATTATTGCAATTAAAATATGGGTACAGCACATGTGTATGCAACATATAGAAAATTTAAAATAAATTGGGATACAGAGAGTAGTTTTTATTTTCAAATAGGACTGTATTCATTAATAGTTTGTTTTCAATGAGGCAGGTTTCTTACATATTGTATCAAAAATGATATAAAATGCCATGTAAATTATTGGTAAGGAAAATCTTAATAAAGTTATGTTTCAGAGTTGACCTGAAAAAACAACTTTTTTTTTCTTGGTAAACTACACATGTAAATTAATGTCATTCTAAGTAAACTAAATAAACAAGCTCAGCTTGAATGTCTTAACTAACATAGCACACCTTAGTGGCAGTCTGTGATTTAATATATGACACAAAATTGAAACAGTTTTAATACAACACAGAACTTTAAAATACAAACATGGCTAATTCTGTAACATCACATTAACTGATATGTCCTCCTTCGTCTCAAATTTAGTTTATTATTGTTTTGGAAAAATTATGGATCAGAAAAAATTACTAATTATATTGTACAAAATGAATACTGATGCTACAGATGTGGAATGAAAATTATTTTGACTTAGGTTTGGCACATAACATAATGAGAACTTTTCACAACACCTAACGACGCTAACAATATAGAACACGACAAAAGCTCTGAATTTGTCTGATGATAAAAACATGAACAATAGGTATGAGTGCTTGGCTTCAAAATATATTCATTCAATCATTAAATTTATGTCATTTAATTCATTTATGATTAATCTACAATATTTATAGATATTAAGGCCCCTAAAGAAGAAAAATTCTTAAAAATACAATTTTGTGATATTTTCTCATAATTTTCATGCATGCAACAAACATGTATGACAATGTTCTTGATATTTTGTTAAAGAAATATATGCTGAAATTACTAAGTAAATTTATTACATCACTGACATTATACAACAAGACACAAGTATATCATGAAATCCAAGGAGATTACTCTAAGCTGATCTCAGATTCTCAGTTTGAAAGACTACGCATATCTTGTACGTGTTTCTTTTACATAAGAAAGGGAAATAACTCCTGACATGTACAAATTTTTCTTTTATTCATAGTTCCTGATTCTTATTGCACCTCTATACTAAGACTACAGGCAATTACAAATGTATGTACATGTACATATCATTACTGCATCTATCTTGCATCCATCTGACTTTACATGACTACTTTCACACAATACTTTTTCTCTCAGACTAGACTTTTTTGAAGCCAGATCTTATCATAAAAAACGTCTTTTAGCACATTTCTTCATTATGGCACTCTGGCTTCTTTATAGCACATTTATCATCAATTGATGAATAAAGCTACACTGGGCATGTGCACCAACTAGTTCCTGTTAGCACTCCCCCTGGTGTCAGCTCTTGAGTACAGACTGCAGATCATCAGGAAGGGAGGTAATAATCACATCCAAGTGTTTCTTAAGTTTGTGAACACTGTCTTCACTGATAGCAATGTCGTTGTTAACTGCAAATGCCTGGAACCAAAAACAAATCAGTTTATGTCACTGTATATTGCTTCTATTGTGAGCAACTTACAATCATAATTTCATTCAAGTTTTAAGCTCTTGATAACATTTTGTATTTGACCCAACATCAGATATGCCCTGTACATGTATATTTAGCTTTCCTTTTTTTTTGATTGTTGTTAATAATAAGAAGTTCAGAGGGCACTGAAAACTTAAGAAATGATTAAATAAGAATTTCTCTTTAATATTTATAATATATATGAGGTAAATTTGGAGGATTAAAATATTTAACAATTTTAGAAATTACTCTCTGATTTCAATTACATTACTGGGGAATTCTGGTAGGACTTAATATTGAACACTTACAAGTTTATCTTTGATTCTGAGAATGAGATCCACCACTTCAACTTCCTCTTTGTCCTGAATCCAGTCCAACAGATTCTGTCAATAACAATGATTCTCACAGTCAAATATTATTCCAGTATATTATTTATACTAACCTGGATCAGGTACATCAAATCAGTCATAGTGTAAATTGTCAACCAAATACATGTATGTGCATTTAGAAAGATCATATAAAATGTCCTATATCCAGACTAGGAAATTTCATTCATTACATTGTCTACCATCAGCAAACTGAGCAGAACTTTCAACAAATGAAAAATCAAAATCAAAGAACACAAAGAACAGATTACAATAATGATGGGAACATCATTTACTAGTAATTCTTAAACAAAATAATTTCTACACAACCGTCAGAGGATAAACTTTCCTTGCTTAATTAATTCATTAAATATGTGTGTGTGTGTGTGTATTTATATATATATATATATATATACATATATATATATATATATATATATATATATATATATATATATATATATATATATATATATATATATATATATATATATATATACTATTAAGCTTTAAAACAAACACAAGCTAAACATTCAGATCTACATAGCACACTTTTTTAAGATATGGCTAGCAAGTTGACAACACAGTGGATATATACAAGCTGTCTGGCCTCATAATAACAAGAGAAAGTCAGTAAATCTGTAGAACAATATTATTCTGAACACTTACAGCACTGCACAGGGCCTCCATGTGGAGTACCTGCAGTTTCTGGTTAACCTCTGTCTGACGGTGCTGGTACCATCCCTCAAAGTTTGGACTCCTGAAGAACCTCCGATAAAGCCCCTCCCAGTCCCCCTTTATCCCCGACGTCAGCTGGGGCCCAGAGCGTTCCAGTGTCTTTAGAAACTCGTCAGTGTCAAACGGGCGCAGACTTGGAGGGCACTGAGAAGGTCAAGTCAAAATTCAAAGTTAATTCTTTTTTCCTCAGAATTTTGATGTTTCATATTTCAATAAAATAAACATTTGACATTTTCAAAAACGTTTTCATTTTCTCATTGAAGATGTTCAAATCATAAGTACCTTGTGTGGAGAAATATTTCTTTGTAAAGGCATCAAACTTCCCATATATCGTTCCTTTAAACACAAACTATTCAATTAAATCTCAAACAAATGTAGATTTTACTGCATCTGTCAAGCCATAACTTAATATTCTATATTTAACAAAATGACAAGTATTCAATCATCATTCAGACAAATTCATCAAACATTACTACTCCCGAAGACCAAGTGTCTTTAAACTAATACAACTATTTTTTAGTACAAATACCAAAGATGTAAATCAGTTAGGGAAATTACGATTAGAATATTTAGAACAATTAGCTAAATAATAGAATGTATGTATCACAAGTTTGTGAGTGTATATCATGTTATTGTACTATGTATGTAATTGATAAATATATAAATTGTACTGTAATATTTATGGGATGTACGTCCCACGGATTAAAGAACTGAACTAAGAAAAGAAAAATTCAGTTAGGATCATATTTTAACATGTAATTACCAGTGGTATCATGAAGCTCTGAGTCAGCTCCAGGAAGTAACGTCGAAGAATTGCATTCTGGGCCTCCACCGGACGTTTGGCCTGCATGCCCTGTAAAGAACATGACAATCAATGTACACAAAATTTACATGATCATTATACATGTATGTACATTGTATTTTACCCACAAATACCAACAAGGGGTGATAATTATCTCCTACACTCTTTTCCTACATTTTGAAATCTAAAATGACAATAGACGTAATGTGTCATTACCTTTCAATGTTCTACAGAGCACTGATAAATGCATTAATCATGTTGATACAAAAAAAAATCAAGAGGTTTCATCTAATCTAAAACATGAAAAAAATCAAATAGAGGAGAAACAACTGTGACATCACAAAAAAACTTTAAAATAAAAACCCTCACAATGTACTTCATCTTTCTGCACTAACAGATTATATATGACATCACTGACTTGTAAGACATGTAGCATAAAGAAACAGAGGGGTGGATCAATCTATCTCACAATTTGTAAATACTGACTTGATTGTTAAAACAAACATTTTTATATAATTTATAAATTACACAAATACTGATGATTTTAACAACATTTAGCATCTACTTTTAGCAGAGATTATGACATAGTCCATTGAGTCATGTGTCTTTCCTTAACTCACCTTGATAATTCGTTTAAGGATGCCTTTGTCTTTGGCCAAGAATGGTTTGTATCGAGTGTAAACACCTGTGTCAAATAAATTAATATCGTGATTTTCCAGATATTCACCTAGTAAAGCCTTACATTATAATTACTGAGTAAAATATTTTTATCTTCTCTCTGACAGATGAGATAAAGTAACAGTATAAATGATAAGATTATACAACTACACAGAATACACTATTTATGCATACTTTCTATAATATATAGTACATGTACTAATCAATATTCATTTCTTGCTCTTCAGTTCACTAATGAATTATTCTATCACTTAAATGAGTCTAAGACTACAGATATGCATTATGACTTTATCATATGGTCATTTTTAATTTGAGGACTGACATTTATCATTAATTAAACACAACATTCTGCAGATCTACTATAAATGTGGGTGTTTGTTGCTAACTGTAGATCTACATTATAAATGTGGGTGTTTGTTGCTACCTGTAGATCTACATTATAAATGTGGGCATTTGTTGCTACCTGTAGATCTACATTATAAATGTGGGTGTTTGTTGCTACCTGCAGATGTACATTATAAATGTGGGCGTTTGTTGCTACCTGTAGATCTACATTATAAATGTGGGTGTTTGTTGCTAACTGTAGATCTACATTATAAATGTGGGCGTTTGTTGCTACCTGTAGATCTACATTATAAATGTGGGTGTTTGTTGCTAACTGTAGATCTACATTATAAATGTGGGCGTTTGTTGCTACCTGTAGATCTACATTATAAATGTGGGTGTTTGTTGCTACCTGTAAATCTACATTATAAATGTGGGCGTTTGTTGCTACCTGTGGATCTACATTATAAATGTGGCTGTTTATTGCTACCTGTAGATCTACATTATAAATGTGGGGTTTGTTGCTACCTGTAGATCTACATTATAAATTTGGGTGTTTGTTGCTACCCCCAGATCTACATTATAAATGTGGGTGTTTTTTGCTACCCGTAGATCTACATTATAAATGTGGGTGTTTGTTGCTACCTGCAGATGTACATTATAAATGTGGGTGTTTGTTGCTACCTACAGATCTACTATAAATATGGGCGTTTGTTGCTACCTGCAGATGTACACTGTAAATGTGGGTGTTTGTTGCTACCTGTAGATCTACATTATAAATGTGGGTGTTTGTTGCTACCTGCAGATCTACATTATAGATGTGGGTGTTTGTTGCTACCTGCAGATCTACATTATAAATGTGGGCGTTTGTTGCTACATTATAAACATGGGCGTTTGTTGCTACATTATAAATGTGGGCGTTTGTTGCTACATTATAAATGTGGGCGTTTTTTGCTATATTATAAATGTGGGCATTTTTTGCTACCTGGCTTGGCATCCAGTGTCTTCATGCTGCTGACTTTCTTTAATTTATTAAATCCTTTAGGCACTGTAACAAATTCACACTATACAGAAATCAGCTGTGGGTGGGGTCTAGCATTGATGGGTAGATGTGACAAGGTTAGAACAGAGAGAGAAAGGCTACATGTGATTTAAGACACTTTAAGCATGTACATGAATCTGTGATGTGCATATAGCATACCATTTGATAAGGAACAGTCTCTTATAAAAATTAGCACACATTCTAACACATGACATGTAATTAACAATATACTTTATAGCTTAATAAGTGAATACAGACTAGAAATAGCTGTGAGGGTGGATCTAGTAATTGATTTAATAATCTATACAGGTTTTCTGGTGGATCCAGGCTTCTTTCCAGACATTTACCTTGTGTCATCATTTCTCCTATCCTTATAATGTGAGGCCAGTGCTGCAGTGTTTTGGCAAAGAATGGATTGGTGACACCTAATATAACGGAAGGCCTGAAAAACATAAAAGGCCAGAAATCATCAGAAAATTATTTCATAGGCTGCTGTCAATCATCTGAATAAGAATATAGGTTAGCTCAATTAGCGCCAAATGCTTTATTTCTATTATAAAATAACAGTAGGACACTGCACTTAAGAATTTTGCCTCTGATAGTTTACAAGAATACAAGGTCATTAAATCCAGACTTACGGTGCCTGTGTTTTTGTCGTGTACTCTTTAAATTCGCTGTCATGAATCGTGAAGTAGGGTCTGAAATCACAGCAGTACTTCTGTGGACCAATTAAACTAAAAATAAAATCCACAGCATGGTAGAACAGCTGAACTATAACGTGAATATTTAGTTTCTAATTATCTGGTACTCTTGATAATGACCTTGACCTTTGTCTTTTTTACTGACCTGACCAAGGCTTGGACAGCTGCTGAGGTCACAGAAGGTGAAGCTGCCATAACAACCAAAGGCTGAAATACATGAAGGAAAATTAGTTGTAATTTAATTTGATTGAAACTGTGTGCAACATGTTAATGAAGCATAATTAAGACTAAATGTTAATGACTTGATTGATCCCTTACTTCTCCTGAGAGAACTAGCTCCCATAACATCTGTATATGTGGAAGTATGGTCTGGAAGGAACTGAAAGTGAAAGTAAACATTATTACTAAATATAAACAGACGTTGTATCTTGTTGTTAATACATGTAAAAGGTATTCTTGAAATACAAAATTCTATCTTTTTTGTTATATAATTTTCTATTTTCACTTTGACGATAAAATATAAGTTCAGTTCCAATGTACATGGCATAGTAAATAATTTCTTTTCTCCTTGCAAGCTTTACCTGAAAATATCAATTTCATACAGAGAGGGCAAGACGGTGGGAGCAGGTAAGACAGGCTGTAATATAAAAAAAAACTTTGATAATTCTCAGATTCTGTAAGCATTAAAATTTAGAACTTATAAAACAGAAACCAAAACTTTAGATTTCCAAAAGCAATAAAATTCTTTTAAAACCAAACTTGAAGGAATGAATTAAAAATTAAAGAACATATTTATTTAGAAATAAATAGTGTATAAATGATAAGACAGGGAAAATTTCTAGTATAATGAAGTCTATTTGTTACAACATAAAATCACATAGAGGCTACAACACATCTAACAGTAGTGGGGACTGACTTACAGATGGGGTAGTTTTTACTGGAACTCTGTCCACAAGTTTATCTGTCCGCGAGGGGATCCGGACCTATGTACACAATAAAGAGAACTGACAACATCGAAATATACAACACAGAAACTGACAACAGTAAAACAATGGTGCAATAAGTGAGTACTGTAGTGAAATTATAATAATTAAAAATGTGCAAAAAATACAACTGAATTTTACATTATTGAAGAATTCTAAATTAACTCAAAGAAAAAAAAAACAAATAGGAAATAATCAAATTGACAATTCTCAATGTATCTTAGTATGAATTTCAAGAAAAGTAAAGCTATATTTGACTTTTGTAGATTCATCCATAGGAAAGCAAGTGCCCTCATGTATGATAAACAGTGCATATTTCCTTGATTTCCTTGATTTCAAGTACACGTATAAATAACCTGTGTGAGAAATTTTCTGAATGAAGTTGAATTGGTGACTAGCCTTTCATATATATTCCATTTGAAGCAAATGATAATTTGAACAAAACGTACCTGTAAAACATTCCCAAAAATTGGCAGACTGACTGTGTCTCCCCCTAGTGGACAGGGCCACTGATCTACGTCATGACAAGCTGGAAAAATAAAGAGAATACATATACATGTACTGTTGCATGCTAACAAACTGCTTTGATTAATGTATCTTTTTTGTAATTTTTATGTAATCTCATACATGAAGGTAATAATAAACTGTAACAGTAGAGAGCTTGCTATAAAAACTTGGAATTCCAATAGAATTGTACAGAAAAAATAAAATGCACTCAGTTAATAACTTTTATGTACAATATGAAGTGCCCTAATTTCTGATGCAGGCTTTGAAATAGATGTCTTTGTATTCCATTTACCTTGAGTTTAAATTTTACATGTATTATCCATAAATCACAGATACATTATACATAAATAATTTCATACAGTGTATCATTCATTTTCTATGCAGATTGTATGATTCATGGCCACATCAATGTCCAAAGTATTCTGAAACTCAGTACTTAAGTAATTCACAATAACAGTGATCTACAAAGGTATAAAATTACCTGCTTCTAGACTGGGCTCTCCGTTATCAAAGTACTCTGGAGCAATAATACTAACTAACTGATTAAACAAGGCCACGAATGGAAGTCTGGACACCAGGACCACGGACTAAAATGAGAGGAGATGCAGCAACGATTTATTACAGATTATCAGTAAATGACCACATTAAATATAGTCATGAATTTAAAACAAAACATCAAACCTAGGAAGCATTACATAACATGCAGTGTTTTCCTAAGAACCGGCTACCGGCCAAATTGACCGCTTCAATTGATAAAAATACCGCTTGGAAATCAAAAATTTAAAAAAAAATTGTTGGAAGGTCCACAGAGATTTTGTACATAAACCTCAACCCCTAGCCTGTTACAATACTTGATATAGCGATTACTTAACTTAATGGAACTCTTTCTCGGTGAAGGTACGAAACATCTGTTAGCTGGGGGCAATGTGCTTTTGGATACAACGCGAGATCAAGCATTATGGATTTTAAAAGGGCAGATAAGAAAGAAGTCCCGGTGAAATATCTTGCGGAACATTCGCTGAACCACGCTTATAAATTTTACGAGAACCTAGTCCTCATGTGTAACATTTTTATTGATACTTTTTCACCATATGTTCACTAAGCCGACTCTTCTAATTAAATTCAGTCATTTCTTTCTGATAATCGTTACTTTAGGAAGCTGATAAAAAAACCTCTAAATATTCCAAATTAGAAAACCTGCTATTTGAAGTTTAACCCTTTGCAATACATTGTACTTTCTGCATACTAATTATTTGAATTATTCGATTGTCACTAGCGTAAGTAATTCATGCCCCGGAAATCTCGCGAGATTTAGAGTTTCCTCGACTTCGCCACAAAAAAGCGCCATTAAGTTAGATAACTGTGAGGTAATCGCGATACTAAGTATTGATCTCTCACTCTTTACTTTGAAATAAAGGGAAAACACTTATAACATGGAATTGTAAAATAATGAAAACAGCACAGAGTGAGTTCAGTTCAGTACACACCATACCCATCTCCCCACCATCTCCCTTTGTTTATCGTTAGTAACAGCTACTAATTAGACATGATTAATTAAATATTCACCTTCTGGAAATAACCTCTTTTTATACTTTTGTCCTTGGTTTGGCGAAAGTACACGAAACCATACAGGTAGCCATTGTCCGTCTGAAATATACAAAAATATACAGCCTATTACTCTACAGATACATTTATTTCCTAATGTACATTCATTTAGTAGCTCTAGAACAGAACGGAAAGCAGTCTGGCATAATTGGGGATTACCTGTGAACCTAACATCAGCAATACTGAATCCTCATCATATTACGTAAAATACATCAAAAGTTTTTAAAATTATCTTTAAATGGCAGTCACACTCTTCTGATACATGTCTTTGGTTTCTTATGATTCAATTAGACAAGTTCATGCACAATTTCATTGGATCCACCATACCACATTGACTAGACATGACTTGTCACTTAAATCTATGAAGTTTGAAGTACATATAACTTGAAAAATTTAAAGCCCTATGTACTTGTATAGTGATCATCTTTGCTAGCCAAGGGTTTATAACCCACTCCCCTCCTTGCAGATGGTTGAATGTAAAACACTTTCTTATTAAATGCAGGGACATGACATTGCCTCCAATTAATATCCAGTAAGCTGATGATATGAAATCCATACATAATCCACCTAAGATTGGTAAAGAGGGGAGTGGAAGATAAAACCTTGGCCCACGAAGACGTACAGTGATGTAACAAAATATAAACATTCACAGTCATGTAACTGATGGAGGTAGTCATACCTGTAGCTGGTGAGGGTAGTCCTTGTGGAACTTTGACTTGGGTAAATGTCTCCTTCCTGGACTTTGTCTGATCCGGAAGTGGAACTGTGTGTCCCCCATACACCCTGTCAAACATGTAAAAATTCTGGCATCATACAAAATCTAGTTCTTTAGACATCTAATAAATTACTTGAAATTATATCTAATTTAACATACAATCAAACATCGTTATCTCGAACTCAATGGGACCGAGAAAAAACTATGAGATATCCGAAGGTTCGAGATACTGAGGGTAAAATACTTAAAGAAAAGGGGCTTGGGACTTTCAAATCACTTCAACATATCCAGCTGTACAATACAGTCAACAATTATGATTATTAAATACACTTTCACTAGTAATTAAATGTATTTGGTAGAAGTACATGTATTTCTGTTCTGCGTTAGATAACCTTATCATCACTGTGAGCATGTATGAATTAATACAGGGCTGGGTATTGATGGTGTTGTTACTGTACCTGAATTAGAATCAGGAAAGGACAGGTAACAGATGTTTGTTTTCTGAAAAAAAAGAAGAAAAAAAAACCTCACTTATAAAAATGAAATATAGATTAAATAATTACAACACTTAACACAAAAGTTAGATAATCATTAATGCTAGTTCTAAAAATTATTTCGTTATTTTTCATTTTTTTCTATTATGAATTAAAACTGAAATGAAATCCAGTAATTTGAATTCCACTAAGTTTCCACAGGGAATTCAGTTTATGTAAGACACTGTTCAGTGGACGGAGTGAGACTTTAATGTGACCACTAAGGAGACGGCTATATTAATACCTCTACATCTGTCAGCTTCACATGACCCGGGTAAATCAGCTGAAAATGGATAACATTTTCTGTTAGTACATACAGCAGCCATGATCATATATACATATATGTACGATAGAGTTACTGTTTAAACTAAATACATCTAGCATGTCTAATACAGTGTATCAAAATGATAATGCAAAGTATAAACCTAGGACTTACTGTCCTGTTGTATAATTTGCTATCTACATGTAACCCCCAAGCCCCCTCTCTTTCACTCCCAAAAAAATCACCAATTTCAGATATAAGTTTAACGAGGCTGAGTCTAATTATTTCTACCCTAGATATTTTGATAAATTTTCTTGAATGAATTTTTACTATTATATTAATTATTTTAAGATAAAAATATCAAATGTTTACCATCCCGATTTCTAAGAGGGCCATCTTAAAAGTTGTCAAATTTTACTATTGGACCCTATGGGAATTTGTTGGAAAAGAACCAAATTATCACATTTTCCCCATATTTTTTGTATTTCTGCCCTAGGGATTTCGTTTTCAGTCAAATATATGAAAGTTATTGTAAAAAGTCACCAAATTGTGAAATTTCAAAAAAGTTCATCATCTGGTTTGGTCTAGGAATTATTACATTTAGTTTATTTTTTCCCAATGCCCAATACCTCTAAATTTGCCATACTGCGGCATACATTTTGTATATATATCAGTGCAGATGAATTATTTTGGTAAAAAATAACAACGTTTAGATTGCGGGTATGATTCTTTTGATGTTCTGTCAACAGTGTTTAATAAAATGTCCATGGACGTCTTGAATACTCAAGCGAGTCAAGCATCATTCTTCAGCGTCATGCATTGCTTACAGAACTGGAAAACAGTGACGTCCTGAAAGCCATTTCAGCATTTATTCCTAAATATTTTCTTAAAAGCACATTTTAAGACCCATAAACGTTTACTTACAGATAATGTTCATTTTGTGTTCAATTACAATACTTGGATAGGTGTTATGTTGCAGATACGACTGCATCAGCCATGAAACTAAAAAGTGTGCAAAGTCATGCACACTGCAATTAGACTCGACCTCATTAACAATGTCTGAAGGTGGGTTCATGCATGGTTTCAACAATGTTCAACTATCTCTGGATTCACTTTGGAATAGACAGGTGGAATCAAACATTAAACAGTACACTTCGGAATTCAGATTTAATTTCTATGTCACCAAACACTGAATTATCTATACATTGTGAAGTGTACTTATAATATAAATGTGACTTATTCAAACTTTGGTGAGTGCAATGAAACACACTTGCCATTTGGTTTATTCCAACTAAGCCAAAGCTACTGAATAATAATTTTAATGATTCAAGAAACATTCTATAAAGAAACATGTATATAATATATTTCTGGTTTTAAATGATTTCATGAATACACTTCAATATAAAACACACGTCCAGGTATTGTGGGTAAAAACCATTGGATGGGTTTTAAAAATAAAACAAAAATGTCAACAAAGGTGATCAGCTGATGCCCTATTTTACCTCCATAGCCTGTCCCAGCTCCAAATCGAACGTGACAACACACGCACAGTGTATCCAGTTAGAGAATCTGTCCCACGGAAGGACAGTGGGGGAGATAGGGGACTCCTCTCGAGGCAGGGAAACCTCTCTCTGTGGAATATCGTCTTCCACAGCTGCCATTTTTAATCGATGACCTTCACCTTCTTTGTTGATATTTTTAGGTCAAGCCTTTTCCGGAACGAATAATATGCTCTTTTTGCTCAAAAGTGCACATTTATCTACGTTAAAAATATTCTTGTGAATTATGTATATTTTCTAGCATATTGTGAACCAGACCTATGAATTATTTTCCACATTGAAATTTGTAAGTTGTCTTTTTGCTTAGAGATTTTCTTCAGGAAAAAATTCAAGATGGCGGATTATTGAAGACTTGAGTAGTCCTGAAGTATGAGTATGAAAGGTAAATACGTTGCCATCTTAGTTGTTTCTAAAACTTTTTAGTTTTTGTGTAAAAGTAACAATATTTTATCTTATCAGCATTAATCAGAAACTTGCATTGGATTAAGTTATCGCTGAACCAGGATGTGTTTTTATTGGTGTTGACTTTTGTCCATTTCCTCGACTTAAGAAAATCACAGTTGTTCTTAATCTTAGCACTGATCGACGTCACACTTGTTTAATTTCTTTTTAGTTAGAATATAAATTATTATTGTGTTTTGCAAGTAAACTGCAAATGTGAATGAAAACATGAGTATGGTAACAGATGATGACACTTGTGGAAGTTTTACAAAATTATAAACAGGTGGTTTTTCTTGTTCTTGATACTTAACGTGTTAGGCCATGGTTAAAGAAAATATTGAAAGAAATATCGTAAATTGAGTCATTGAAATTGTATTTTTATTAAATATTGTCTGCATTGTGAAAGTGAAACATAAACAACTACTACTTTTTTCGAGGTTACTTTCCCAATAATGAAGCTAACCTAATTGTGAAAATAGTGTAAATTACATTGTAATCGAAAATTCAATTCAAAGAATGTCACAATTTATTCACATAGTTCAATAAACTCATACACATATTAGTAAAATAATGCTTGCAAGAATATTACTGTAAACAAAGTTGTGGAAAACTTTTCCAGATAGCCAATCATTCGGACTAATTGGCAAGAAGACAAAATAAGCCAGTCCATATGATTTTAGCCAGTCCGAAATCTTAAGTCACAAAAATACAAAAAAACAAAACAAAATAAAAACAAAAAAAGAAACAAAAATACATAACATTTATTTACTTCATAACACATCTTTTACTTCGTATTAAAATAACATTTACTCAGTCTCCATTTCTAAATCCTTGTCCGTTTTCGGTTTTTGCATTTTTAACACAGAACTACATTTACCCCTTTCGGGGAGGTGACAATGTTAATTCAGCATAGTAAACCTAATTTTGTTCAAATGTTTATGCATTGTGGAATTTATATCAACCTAGAAAATGTGTCTAAAAAATTTAAAGAAATTCTGTGCATCGAATGAAAAACCAAAATATGGGACAGTATGGAGTACTAGCAGCTGACTAGATTTACCACTTGCCCCAACTGATTTGAATTCTTTCTGTCGAGATTTTTCATATTTATCTTTCCCTTCATTTGTTACTTTATGTTTTTAACTTGGTTTTGCTCCAGTTGTAAATTTAATGGGCAACAAGGCTAAGCTGGTTCGTTTTCATTAGCCTCGATATCATGTAAAGAAGTATTACGCAGTCGCACTTCATATTTATACGATAATTGGGCTGGAAAGTGTGTGGATGATAACAGGAAAAACAAAAACAGACTTAACCTTAAAAAAAGGCCAGTCATTTGGACTGACATAGATGGTGTTTTTTACCACACGTGCATTTTTAATCGGTTTTGCCGGCATGACCGTCAGTTTTCCACAACTCGGACTGTAAAGCAATACCAAAACAATTACACCATAACTATGTGCAGTTTTGGTTCTTTGTAATAGATCTTGTGTTATCACTAGCTGCTCGGACTATGTGATCTCCCTACCACCCTCTAAAGTGTTGAGTGTGCAGAAGGGATTTCCTGTTGCGTAGTGACTGTATATTTCACACCTTTGTGTAAAACAGTGGATTTGTATAAATTCAATCTCATTTATGCAATATTATGTTGTTAAATAACAGTTACTTAAAAAAAAAACACACCAGAGGAGTGGGTGTGTTCCTGAACCCTTCCAAACCCCATTGAATGCACACACTGTTTACTACTGAGTTAAATTAGCATTGGAAATGGCAACTTAAGTTACAAAAAAAGGGAAAACATGACCTTAATTTTGATCATGATTATGGTGCTGTTTATCGATAAAATAATCCATTGTTAGGAAAATTCTTTTTCTTCTCTTTTCATGATAATGTCTTTTTATCTACTCACAAAATTATGTTGCTAAAATTTCCCCTACCTACATGACCTATATGTAAAATAGATTTGCTATTAGTAAATAAATATGCTTAAATTCGAATCCAATAAGTATCAGAAAGGGAGTTCAATCCAACCTTGTTCTTCACATGGTCATTAATGTACATGACTGTCTTGCCTGTTCTATTAAGGTTCATTGATACTCTGATAAGAGAGATAACTCTTAATGACATAAATGTCTCTTATTCCTTTATAGGGTTTGTCCAGTTGAATTGTCTTTTTTGTTTAATTTTGCCTCGCAAGCTATGGTACAATAGTTTGTATTTTACTTAAAAGATACATTAATTTTATTTCGGAAAATTATAAAAGCTAAGGCAACATTTTATATGAGTGAGCAGAGGGTTTATGAACCTTTAAACTTTTTTTTAAATATGTGTAAGTAACCATGTTTTCTTTTTTCCAACATGTGCCTAACAGTTACACTGTAAAAGTAGTATCAAATATTGTAAATATACATGTATAAATTATCGCACTGAAACTTTAGCACAATCTTTCTTATGAACTGATATTCATTATTCATAAATTAGAGCATTTAGAGCCAAGATTTTTCTTGTATATCAGGTACATGTACATATTTTAAAAAAGCAAGAAAGAGAGAGAGAAAAAAAACTGATTCAATCTAAAATGGTGGAAAATGCACCTCCCAAATGGGAGGGGCACCCCCCCCCCCCCCATTCACAGGCATCTGGCCTCAGACAGTTCTTTGGGCTTTGAGAAGTGTATGCACTGAGAAACACCAAGACACACATTGATACATAAGGAATGGGAAATAGCAAAAAAAATTTTAGAATCAATTATCTAATGTAATTGAAAGCAACTAACTTTTGATCGCCAGTGACTATGTTCTTTTATTAATACATTTATTTGTAATTGTTATTCAGAATTCACAGCAAGAAGTTCCAATAGGACTAACTAATAGACTAGGATGAATGAGTGTGAGTTATAACACAGAATCATGTAAATAAGGCTTTGCAGGGCTTTTATCATTAGTCAACAAAATTTTACTTATAACAAATTCCTTAGCAATAGTTGATAACATTACAATCCATAGTTATGATGATAATAACTTGTATCATGAATGGACATATCACAGGGTCCTAGAGTAACACTAGTTATTATGTCAAACTAACCCATTCGGGAAAGGAATAAAATCTAGAAACAGATCTTTAATATCTTACTTGAACAAAATATGAAACAAAACGTCAGAAAAAAGGTTTATCTCAACAACTTCAGCATGTTCAGTAAGTTGAATTTTCCTGATAATGTTCATTGACCACTATTTTACAACTGGTCAGAAATAAGATTGGAAAAACAAACCAATGCAATCAACACTTGCAATTCCAGATTGTAAACTAATATAATAATACTAATCTTAATTAGTAAAAATATGCATGCCTATAAATCTCTTAAACAGTTAAGCAGACATTTTACGTAAAAGAATTGAACACACAAACAGATAATGGGTTTTGTGTTTTATTATTGCTTGAAATAATTAGGGGGAAACATTCTGTTTAAAAAATAAAGTACTAGTAAGTAATTAACCATGCTAAAGAAATGGGGAAAAAATCACATTTTATTTTCTCATATGGGCAAGTGAATTTAGAAGTTGGGCAAATGAAATTCCAGATTGTGCTCTCCCATGGGCAAGTGGCTTTTAAAAAACTTCTAGACCCTTTGATTCATTATTGCTTTTAATGTAGTTGTTCATGATACATAGTTGTGTCATTGAAGAATGCTAAGTCACCAACTATTGCTACAAGATACCTTTAGAGGATTTTATATCATTAATGGTTAACATGGTGGTTGACTAATGATATAATATGATCATAAATGGATGGAACTGGTCATCTATCAATGATACATATCACTGCTAAATTTTATATCCTTACTTTATGAGATTTTATCTCATATGGGATTTTTTATCATTAATAGACACACAGAATCTCTAATATTCAATATAAAATTCATAACTTACACAATAAATATCCAAATCTATTTGAAATGAGCAATTTTTTGTACATGTAATAGATGAAAAAAGTCCTGCAACGGCTTTATTTTCCAATAGTCTGTTTCATTTAATACCTATTGCTGTAGCATTGATAATGAATGAAATATTAATATATACATTTATTTTGGTTTAAAGTAGATCCGGGCAGTGACTATCGTGAGACCATGTCCAGTGTGGTGATCCTGTCCTCTCAGCCCAACTCCCACCCATTCCAGGAGCGACATATCTCACTGATAGAGCCCGTCAAAATCGGCCGCTCCGTCGCCCGGGCCCGACCCGCCTCTAATAATGGCATATTCGACTGTAAAGTTTTGTCCAGGAATCATGCTGTGGTGTGGTACGAAAATGGCAAGGTAGGTCAAAAACATTCAATATTTGTATATATGTATATATCTCGTTAATTGACTTGGTCTCTTCCTTTGTTTTGGAGAAAAGGTCCTAAAAAAGTCTGTGGTAGACTGATTTTACTGCCCAGTCTCTTTTTTTAAAATCACTTTGGATTGTTCTCTTCTTCTGGTTTGGAAAACTCATAATAACTCAGTTTATATAAGTATCAGTTTCTTTACTGGGACATGAAGTGGATTGATCATGTTGATATATACAGGTTCTTGGCTGTTCCTTACATTACAAGAACTAGAAGTAAGGTATTGTGTTAGAGATGTATGTTCCTGATGTACAGCTGTCAGTTAGAAATGTGTGGTATTTATAGGTTTCTATGATCTGTTTGTTACTGAATACAGGCCAAATGTAAAGAACTCGGACAATGTTCATTTAAGTAAGCTGATGCTTAGAATGACCAGGATTGTGTATATACCTGATAGAACAGGCTTATGCAGGTGTTGTGTCTCTAGGTCAGATGTTTTACATGTTTAAGTAAAGCATGAAGATTCAGAGAGGAAGTGGAGCTTTATAATGTAAACCTAGGTACGAATATTGTTTCAAGAAAAAAGCAGAAGGGTTTCTCTGACTTTCTACATTACTAATAATGTGCAGCACTGAATTAAGCATGATGATTGCTTGTTTGTTCTATGCTGGATGGATATTTTTGAACAAGAAATGAGATTTCTTGGCAGTATAATGAGTTCGTTAGCTTAATTGCAGTCAGTAGGTAATTGAAATGGTTGATTAGGCTTTTAATTTTCTTTTCTTTTTTTTGGCAAGAAATGAAGTCACCTTAGAACAGGTTTATTTTGAACAAAGTACAATGGTATAATATAATGTTGATGTGCTCCTTGCTTGCATCGCTGTTTTATTGCAGATTTAGTGAATTAGGTGAAGAAAACTTGCACTGAGCACTTTAATGTCTTATTAATATTAGATCGTGTACTTGTATAAAACCCTCTGTCTGTCTTGTTTATCAGAGAATATATAGTCAGAGAAATGAAGTGTTCCCCTTCAAAACCTGTACTAGGTAATGATAAAAGAGTTTCTTCCCTTTGACATGTTTAAGTAAGGTTTTGTTTTTAAAAAAAGAAGAGTCTGTTAAGTGTAAAGTTAACACGTATGCATCTGAAGATCAAGGTATGAGTAAGGCAGAAAAACTTTCACAATCTGTAGTTTCCAGTTTCACAGTAGATAAAATTATTGTGTTGATGAAAAGGATTAAAAATTGAAGTGTTTTGACCTGAAGTGATTATTCCAGTATTTTAATAGAAAGCTTTAGATTCTAATGGAATAGCTTACTGTTGGTTACTTTTGAATTTAACCAACTGGAAAGAATTACAATAGAAAGCATCTAACAAGCTATGTTAAAGTCCAGGAGTTCGTTCACTGTTGTAATGAATTAAGCCTACTGAGTGAAGGGGTCTCTGTCTTAATATGTATTCAAGCAGAAAAACAACAACAAACCACTACAACAACAGATTGTAGAGATTTAGGGTTTATTCCTTTAAGATATTAATTATGTAAAGATCAGAGGCTAGTGTACATGGTGCAGGAAGAAATCCTTAAGGGTCCTGTTGTGGTAGTAGGACTGTTATGAATTAATGGTCAGGCAGGACTGTTATGAATTAATGGTCAGGCAGGACTGTTATGAATTCATGGTCAGGTAGGACTGTAATGAATTAATGGTCAGGTAGTCTATGGAGATGCACTGGATTTAAATGAAAGAGTTCTCTCAGATGAAAAATGAAGAGGGATATACAGGTTGATAAGTTATTAAGATGAAGGTTAGTCATGCTAACACTCTATTAGGCTTTATGTTGCTACAAGCTATGTGATGCCATTGTGAACACTATGGCAACATCCTTTAGCTTCTATCAGCTAGAATTTATTATAACATCTCTTTGGTCTTAAGTATTACATGTGGCATCAAATGATAAAATTAATTCATATTTCTAGTAGGTGTACTACAGAAAAAATATATTAGTAACACAATGAAAATAATATTGGCCAAATTTTAGTCCTTTAATAGAATGCTTACTAAAGGGCTATGTGAAGAACTACCCTTCAGTAGTCCTCTGTCATCTAGTATTCAGAACATGCACTAAAGGAAGTACCAGCCTTCAGTAGTCCTCTGTCATCTAGCATTCAGAACACTCACTAAAGGAATTACCACCCTTCAGTAGTCCTCTGTCATCTAGCATTCAGAACACTCACTAAAGTACCATCCTTCAGAAGTCCTCTGTCATCTAGCATGACTAGTTGTCATTACTCTGTTATTGTCCAAACTCATTAGCTGAAGCTGGGAATGATGATTACACTTCATCAATTTGAATGCTAAAAAAGGCAGCTCAGCTGTGACAATATGTTGTAATATGCAGTAGATGTATTACCAGAAGATGTAAACAGGACGATGGCTGGACATAAACCAGTAAAGTGAGTCACTGCTGAAGATAAACCTGCAAGGGTATCATATTCAATGGTCAATGGATCAAATATATTTAATAGGCATTTTTCCAATGCAGTAATTACAGTTGCTCAATTATAAAATATACATAAATTACCCATTCTTGTATTGGCATCAGGATTGAGTTTTTACATGTATACAGTGGAGTTTCCTGTTCTTTGATCTTATGACCTTGTACACAGGTAATCTATTGGTCAGATCTGATATTTCTTGATAATATGCTGACATCTTGGGAATTTTTTCTCAATTTGTGCCAGATTTCTCGTTCTCTTGAGTTCTCCATTCATACTGCTTGTTCTGTTGTATTAAGTAAGAAGGGTAGCTTTGTGAAGACAGTTAGATCTGATATTGGTAAACAGTTTGGCTCCAGGACTTCTGTCTTTCCTCTTACTTATAGATTGTTGATTGTTTTTCGTTTGTTTTCCATTATGTTAGCACTATCTACTTAAAGCATCTCTTTTCTCTGTGTTAGTAGCAGTAAAAAATCTTTGAAGTCTCTGTCCATTTTTGACATGGGTCAGATGGATCCTCATCGCAATAGATACTACTTAGATCTTCTGACCATAACTCAAGTATAGCCTCAGATGACTACATTGAAGTAACTAGGTCCTTGTCTGATCTTTTGTTTTAAGAGTCATCTAAGAAGTCCTAAGTGTGCAATACATTATTCTGGTTCATCTTTAATGGCTGGACATCATTGTCTCAATAATGGGTTCTGTACAGACAAATAAAGTGACTGATTTCCTCATAAAGACGTTAAATCAGACAGGATTTTAGTCTTCAGAATAAATACTTCTGGTATATAATACATGTAATACATTGATTGATTGTCTTAAAATTCTGAGTTTTAATGAGCTTTATAAATAAGTATTACAAATTGTTAAAGAACTGTGCATATGAAAAGCTGTTGAAGATGTTTTACCAGTGGTAATGGTAGAAGATACGCAAATATTCATTGATAACAAATACAAGCTCCATAGAAGCTACTGCTTTTGAATGCAGATTGAATATGTATGATGAACACAAATTTTCAATAAAATACATGCATTACCTTGATTATGTCACATTGAATGGGTATATGTAGCATTCTTTTTCAACCTAAATACTGAGAAACAGAATGTCAGTGAATCTTGAGGGAGGATATTTATGTTTCCATGAAGCAAGCTGTCTCCTATCTTCTGACTTAAGCATTCAATTTTAAATTCTTTTTACTGTTTCTTTTCCCTGTTTGTTTATCTCATTCTCAACAGCCTTCATTTCTTAAATGCTTTATCTGATTTCTGACACTACAGACTTTGTACAAAATGATACAAAAAATCATTCATATCTCTCTCCGACAGACTTCAAATTTTGGCAACCTGTTAGACTGCCCGCAGGGAAAGGAGCATTTTTCTGTTCCTCCATTCATCTTATGATCAACTTTTGGGAGTATTTCACCTTATAGTGTTGGACTCTGTTTAAAAACATCAAGTGATATTTGTTATTAATGCAGTGAATGCATGTCTTTGTTTATCTGTGTGTGTGTACAGTTACAGTAAACACACTGTGTGTTTGTTTGTAAGGAAAATATGCCTGATGTTACTCCCCAGGAAAAGGTAGGTCCCGACGTCAATCTATAATATCTGCAGTAGTTTATGTAAAGTTTGTTTACTTGGTCTTGTACTAAGTGGGTTCATTATATATATGGAAAGGACATAATGAGGAAAAAGACAACACAGAAACTGACGTGTACTGCATCCAATTATCCAGTTTCTTATATAGATTTGTGTTTGAACTTTAACAGCAGCCAGATATATCTCCAAAAAGTTTCAAGAATAATCTCCATATTTTCTAAGTAATGATTCTCTTTCCTAATATAAGTACCAGCTGATTCAATGTAAACATCTCTGTGTATAAGTCATTGATTAATCTATTTTCTCCCTAATTATGTTTGCTAAAAATGTACAAGAACCCTTCGTTAAATGCTGAATAATCAGGAAAAAGTGCACTCAATGAAGGAACATAAGTTGAGGCTTTGCTCTTTCAGTATTGCTGGTATAATGACGTCATTAACAAATATGATAAACCACATTATAATGTTCCATGCTGGTACATTGAGGCTTTGATTCAGGTTCTTCAGTCATTATTGATGTAGAGCTAGGAGATAAATCTAATCATTAAAATTTCCCCAGTCACTGATAATCGGGGTGTTTTTCTTTTTATAAAGTTTGATGTAATGTTATCAATATTAATGGGAAGTTTTATAAGAAATTTTGATGGCTTGAATGTTAAAATGTTTCTTTGAAACTGACTTAAGTAGAAAAAAATCTATAGGCCTGTATATCCATAGAAATTGGTGATTTGAGTAATAAAGAGTAAAAACTAACTAAAACCAAATCAACCTAATTCAGTGGTAATACATGTACATTGTGTATGTGATGTTTTTAAAATATGATTTAAAATATCATGATAATATGGCCCTTGTTTTAGGATTCAAAGATGCTGAATAAATTAAAATAATTAGCAGTGAGGAAGTGCTAATAACTATAATTAGCAGGGAGATAGAACTGATAATTGATTAGTACAAAGGTAGCTAGATGATAATTGATCTAAGAGAAAGTTGCATGCAGTTGAAGTGACTCAGAACATACTGAAAACACGATGAGTTGATGTACATGTATATTTTAAATAATTTCAATGTTTGGTCTACTAATCCTGAGTTATTCGCCTTGTTTTACCTCATCTAAAGATTGAAATGTGAATTCATATTTGAATTCAGTTTTAGAAAATTGAACAAAATGTAAAAGTTGAGATTAAATTAAGTCACTGTATTTTTTTTTCATCTATAGTTTAATTTACCTGGTGAATACCATTAGTTAAGTTTTACAAATTATACAAGTTGCGATATGTGTAATTATCTTTTCTTCCTTTTCAGTTTTACCTGAAGGATACCAAGAGCAGTAATGGCACGTTTATCAACAACCAGCGCCTCAGTCGTGGGGGTGAGGAGAGCGCCCCCAGGGAGATATTCTCCGGGGACCACATACAGTTTGGTGTGGATGTCATGGACAACAACAAAAGAGGAGAAAAAAGTAAGAGTTGTCTGCCCTTGTCAGGTGTTAAGCTTCAGAGAGCTGTGGATTTTTATATTGGTTTTCAAAAAAAAAAAAAAAAAAAATTAAATATTATCAGATGATATAACTCAAAAATGGTGAAGACATTAGTCATGTTAGTGGAATGTGCTACAAAATTGTAACACAGGTAATCTATGTATTCCTCCAGCATGCTAGAGGTTCATTGTGAGACATTTTTGACTTGGCACCTTCAAGGTATACAGAGACAGTATGGGAATAGCAATTTTAATGAATTAATCAAATAAATTACAAAATACATGTTTAAGAAATCCCAGACTTAAGCTGAAATGTGGCAGATAATGAACCTTTTGGGGTTTAGCGATTAAAGATTACAAACATCATAAGGAAAAAAAATGAAAAAAGTAATGTAACATGGCCAGGTAGACAAGACAGAGACAGTCTGAGTAGAGCTTGGAGCATTGCTTATTAATCAATGGTATCATCAAATGTACCTGTAACTTCTCTGTATCAGAAGTTCTCTTAACTCAATAATTGAGGAATTGAGTAACATAGGGCCAGGTAGACTAGATGAAGAATGGACTAATTCTTAATGACTTCTCCAAATGTACAAGGAACTCTCTCGGAGTAAAAGAAGTAGACTTTTGCCCTTTCTAGCAATCTGAAGGAATTAGATCTAAGAAGATCGCAAGCTCAGCGTCTGTGTGTGTGATGATCTGTCATTGATTGTTTGCTATTAATAGCACTGTGAAATCCCAAAACAAATCTTAGTGGCATCTGCCAGTTTAATGAATTACAAATGGGAGAAGATAAATGCACTTGCAAATTGAAAAGAAAATGTAATTACAATGTGTACTTTAAAAATTAAAAAATGTATTCTAAAAAACTCAAAAAACCCCATTTTCTTTGTAGTTATAAATTTTAAAGAATTCCCTAAAAACATAGGTTTTATAGATATTTGGGTAGCCCTGAGTAAAATAAGACGTTTGTCAAGATGGTGAGCATAGTTAATTGGTTTTGTCAGAGGTTAGTATGAAATCTATGTGTCTGGTCTCTTACCAGTAATAACCTACACAGTACATAATACTGTACAAGAATTGCTTAGTACAGATGTATATATATAGCAGATATAGCTCATCTATACCAATAGCTAGGTCAGACAGGGTTACATGCTGAATAAAGAGTCAAACTACTTTCATATGCGAGCAGTTAATTAATATCCACAGCTTTCTAAAGCATATCAAATAAATTTGTAAAGTATCAACAAAAGTTTTTCACTTGGGCCAAAAGTAAAAAATTGGTAATATTACATGAAATTATATATGACCTTTTATCAAATCATCGGTACTGTAAAACATGCTTGTAGAAAACTGGCTTATAATGAATTGACACTTATTAGCAAAGTGATTTTCCTTTCCCATGGCTTTAAAATATATTGTGAACTTAATAGATATAACGAATTGCAATTATAACAAAGCAAAATCGTCTGTCCCAGGCTTTTTTTTATAAGCATGTTTTACTGTATTTTAAGAGATAATACAGATCAAGTGGTGGGTGCATTCTTTTAGATCTTTTTTTTTTCTGACAACATTACTTCCAATCTGTTGTTTCATTTGATCTATCAAAGATACATCATATTTGGCCAAGGTGAAGTCAAAGTAACACATTCCAGGTCAGGTCAGATCAAAGTTATGTCAAGGACAGATGACAGATATAATATTTTGGGATGTGGTGTTTCCAAAACACATTTTAATTTAAAGTTTATTGTTCAAATGTGATAGAGATATCAGTATTCAAGATGAAAAGCATTTTATTAAAAAAGACTATTAATGTCAATACATGAAGACATTGGCAGATGAAAGGCACTAGCAATCTACATTAAAACTTAACAGCCTTAGTATCACAAAAACTCTCTGTGTTAACCAATTGTTCATTATGTTTAGAGAACGAGAAATATTTGAACTTTGAATCTGTCAGTGTGTAATAATTATTTTAGATATGTATATGTGCAGATTGCAAAAGTATTCATTGTTTTTTCGCTTTCTTTCAGTCACACATAACTGTATCACAGCCACTGTAACACTATTTCACCCAGACGGACGGGAAGCTAGGAATGTGTAAGTTATCACTCAAACACACACACAGACAGACAGACATAACTGTATCACAGCCACATATAACTGTATCACAGCCAAGGTAACTTTATTTCACCCAGACAGACTGGAAGCTAGGAATGTGTAAGTTATCACTCAAACACACATACAGACAGACAGACATAACTGTATCACAGCCAAATATAACTGTATCACAGCCAAGGTAACTTTATTTCACCCAGACGGATGGGAAGCTAGGAATGTGTAAGTTATCACTCAAACACACACACAGACAGACAGACATAACTGTATCACAGCCACATATAACTGTATCACAGCCAAGGTAACTTTATTTCACCCAGACAGACTGGAAGCTAGGAATGTGTAAGTTATCACTCAAACACACATACAGACAGACAGACATAACTGTATCACAGCCAAATATAACTGTATCACAGCCAAGGTAACTTTATTTCACCCAGACAGACTGGAAGCTAGGAATGTGTAAGTTATCACTCAAACACACACACAGACAGACAGACATAACTGTATCACAGCCACATATAACTGTATCACAGCCAAGGTAACTTTATTTCACCCAGACAGACTGGAAGCTAGGAATGTGTAAGTTATCACTCAAACACACACACAGACAGACAGACATAACTGTATCACAGCCACATATAACTGTATCACAGCCAAGGTAACTTTATTTCACCCAGACAGACTGGAAGCTAGGAATGTGTAAGTTATCACTCAAACACACATGCAGACAGACAGACATAACTGTATCACAGCCAAATATAACTGTATCACAGCCAAGGTAACTTTATTTCACCCAGACAGACTGGAAGCTAGGAATGTGTAAGTAATCACTCAAATGCACACACAGACAGACAGACACACATAACTGTATCACAGACGCACATAAATGTACAGCCATGGTAACACTATTTCACCCAGATGGACGGGAAGCTAGGAATGTGTAAGTAATCACTCATACACACACAGACAGACAGACACACATAACTGTATCACAAACACACATAACTGTACCACACACAGACATAACTGTTTCACAGACACACATAACTGTATCACAGCCACTGTAACTTTATTTCACCCAGACGGACGGGAAGCTAGGAATGTGTAAGTAAATACTATACACACAAACACACACACAAGATGCAGCAACTCGGTATTCAAAATGTAAATATTAAGAATATCTCGAAAAATTATCAGTCGGTAAGGTATGTTGCGCGTGTCCTTAAAAATTGAAAGGCTCTAACTATACTGAAAATTTCAAAATTTAAGGACTAATACTATCAACAACAAAACAAAAATAGATGGCAGAATCTCTCACCAGCATTCAGCAAAATACATAGGGCAACATGAGGGGAGAAACAAGCAAATGTACTCCAATTGGTCATAAAAGGGAAAAAAATATTTAACAGGGATCTTGTAAAGGAATTCTATTTCTAATCTAAAATCATTGTGTATATGCATACATTTGTTTCTTTCAGATATTCTGAATCAGGGCAGTTTGCTAATACAGTGTCTCCCGGAGTCACAATACAATCTCAGGAACTTTATCAGCTGGCTCAGTATTTACAGGTAATTATCAGCTGAATCAGTGTTTACAGGTAAATATCAGCTGGCTCAGTGTTTACAGGTATTTATCAGCTGGCTCAGTATTTACAGGTATTTATCAGCTGGCTCATTGCTTACAAGAACTTTATCAGATGGCTCAGTATTTACAGGTAATTATCAGCTGGCTCAGTGTTTACAGGTAAATATCAGCTGGCTCAGTATTTACAGGTATTTATCAGCTGGCTCATTGCTTATAAGAACTTTATCAGATGGCTCAGTATTTACAGGTAATTATCAGCTGGCTCAGTGTTTACAGGTAATTATCAGCTGGCTCAGTATTTACAGGTATTTATCAGCTGGCTCATTGCTTATAAGAACTTTATCAGATGGCTCAGTATTTACAGGTAATTATCAGCTGGTTCAGTGTTTACAGGTAAATATCAGCTGGCTCAGTGTTTACAGGTAAATATCAGCTGGCTCATTGCTTATAAGAACTTTATCAGATGGCTCAGTATTCACAGGTAAATATCAGCTGGCTCATTGCTTATAAGAACTTTATCAGCTGGCTCAGTGTTTACAGGTAAATATCAGCTGGCTCAGTATTTACAGGTACATGTATTTATCAGCTGGCTCATTGCTTATAAGAACTTTATCAGATGGCTCAGTATTTACAGATAACTATCAGCTGATTCATTGTTTACAGGGACTTTATTAGCTGGCTCAGTATTTACTGTATCTTTATCAGCTGGCACAGCATTAACAAGTAACTGTATTAGGTGGCTCAGTATTTACTGTAACTTTATCAGCTGGCACAGCTAAACAGGTAACTGTATTAGGTGGCTCAGTATTTACTTTAACTTTATTAGCTGGCTCAGTATCTTATTGTAATTTTTGTCTCTCGTGCTCATCAAAATGCTTAATTACATTTAGAAAATTTATTTATGCAGTGTAATTAGACTTCTCCTTGGTTTTTCCTTTTAAAGCTAAAACATGTTAATTTTTTTTATAGCTAATTGAAATAGACATATATCAAAACTTATTTCAAGTGAACAACCCAGATCAAGCTCCAAGTAATCATAAAATTCAAGTTCACTTTGAATTTGTCACCTCCGCTGAAATATGGCTTTTACATTATAGGAGGCTCTACACAGGGAGAAAATGTTGGAGCAGAAACTGGGCACGCTACAGCAGCTAGTGGACAACACACAGGAGGCGTCAGAGAATGGGTGGCAGGCGTTAATAGATGAGGACCGGCTACTGTCACGTCTGGAGGTGCTAGAGAACCAACTACATATCTACTCTAAGGTCAGACCACCAGTCAGTGGGAACTAGGTTTTATTCAACTTTTTAAAGTTTTAATATCTACACTTGTGGGAAATATGGGTTGGAGGCGTGAATGATGAATTTGGATAAGATTGAAACATTTTACTAATGACAAAATACACAAAAGCTGTATGTCAGGGGAGAAAAATTCAATGATTCATTTTAAAAGAATTATATTTTTGAAATCTGGATATAACTCTAATTGCATTGTGTATTTCCTTGTAGAACCATGCAGAAGATACTCTACGCCAAGAGGTAGTGACTCTACAAGAAGAAAAGAACACATATGAAACTACTGCCAAAGTAAGAATTCTGACTGTAACACATACGAAACTACTGCCAAAGTAAGAATTCTGATTGTAACACATACGAAACTACTGCCAAAGTAAGAATGCTGTCTCAGGTAACACTGTACCATTGTTTCAACATGTATTAAGTTGCCTTACATTCTTTTCATTGCTCTTTCAGGAATCTCTGAAAAGAGTTTTGCAAGAAAAACTCGAGGCTGTCCGGAAACTTTCAGACCTTGAGGTAATGTGCAGAATGTGAAGCCTCTCTTTCTGGCCTTGTTGATCCAATAATTCATTAACAGAAGATGCAGTATATTACAAGCTGCATTAGTAAATGTTAGTTTTGTATCTATGATTTGATTATTTGCAGAGATCATTACATAACACTGAGGATGAGTGCGCTCATTTGAAGGAAATGTGTGAGAAAGCTCAGGAAGAGCTCCAGGCTCTGGCTGAGAAGTATCAGGACCAACAAAAAGAGGTCATAGAGATCCAGGAAAAATTACAGGTAAGTCCTAAAAATAGTATCAGGACCAACAGGAGAATTATACATGTAGAAGGCATTAACAAATGCATAATGTTCAGAAAAACAATGTTTTCTACACCTCAATGTCTATAATGACAAGTTTTTTTAATGGTTGAATATTGAAGAAATAGAGCATGTTGACCTCCAGTATGGTGGCCAGTGGGAAATAACTTGCTTTCACAGATATTATATCTATCTATGGGTCATAAAAACAAGTATAATTTTGATAATGTCTAGTACTGATGAGTTGTTATGTTGACAGGAGGCGGAGAGGCACCACCTGGAGGAGGTGGAGAAGCTCCGCCAAGAGAAGGAGGATCTGAACGAGAAGTTGGAGGAGATGATCCGCCAGGAGACCATCCTCACCGCCAAGATGGAGTCTATACAAGCCGACAATGATATCGCCATGGAACAGCTCGCCGCCATGAAAGGTAAACCATTACTAAGGCTAACTACCATGAAATACCATAATCCATTTCAAAGGGGGACAACTGGATCAATCGTTTACTGTACAACAATAGTATCACACAAATGGTAGAAGTACTTATTTCCATCATGTGTTAATTTTGAACACAATTCGTAAGGTTGTAATTATGTATCATACTTAAAATTCTGATTGCAAATTCTTGATGTCATTTAATCAGCTATTTTGCAAGGCCATTTTTAAAATAATGTTTCTTTGCCCTCTCCTGACTCAGGATAAAAAAATTGGGTTAGTAGGTAGGTGGTAAAAATTTTTTTCCAGAAGTTTTCAACATCAATGCTGAATGTTCAAAATCTATTAAAATTGAAGGTACTTGTATTTATAAACTTTAAATATTGTTGTTGTCTGGATGAGAAAACTCTGGAATAAATGGAAAAATAATCATTTCCTGGAGGTTAAAAAAAGATTTGAGTCCGGCCATTTTTAGCCAGTCGGTCGGGAGAGGGCAAACAAACAATTTTTTATGATGACCCCAAAGAAACTGAAGATCTGTAAGAAAAATATGATTTGCATTGGATAAAGGAGCATTGTATTTAATTATCTTTTATATATATTTAATATCATGCTACTCAGTTTTTATGTAGGTTACAAAATGTAAATACTCTGTGTCATCTAGAAATGACTTTAGTTGAAGATATTGTTCCCTATTATCAGAAAAACTAGAGGCAATCAAAGAACCGAAGGAGAATGTAATCGAGGAAAACGGTGAGGGTCTGACGAACGGGGACAGGACGACGGACGAGGTTATCAACACCAGTGATAGAAAGGTCATCGTAGGAGACGACATCAAGATCATAATGACGGACGATGAGAACGATAACAAACTAGAGGATATACACAAACCAGACAACTTAAACAATGTACAGAACAATATAGATGATGTGGGTCAGTATTCTGAAATAAATTTACATGCTGTCAAATTTGATAGATTTGCTTGTATAAAATGTTCCAAGATTTGAGGTATTCATTAACTTTTTTCCCCTTGAATACTTGTTGCTTTGAATACTGATTATACTAAAAAATACTCTCACTGATAATCTTTTCACTAATTTCATGAAGATCTGGAAAGTTATAATGCTGTTAAAGTTTAATGGAGAGTTATGAAGGTTATACAGTGTTAGGTGTTTAAGATGACGTTAGATGTTTATAGAGACAGATGTCTTACACTGTATTCACTGTGTGTTTCAGATTCCATGAAAATTAACTCAGAAAAAAGCAGTCCAGAGGACATTCAGGGTAAGACAACTATTATGGGCTTTGGTCAACTATGATAGACAAATACATGGATGTGTTTTTCATGGAGATGAAATATAAATCAAATTTTAAACATAAAGTACATCTAGATGTGCCTGTGTTAAAATTTAAAGTTTCACCCACTAACTCAGTCTCATATTGATTAATATAATTTTGCAGGAAAACTGAGAGATGCACAGAAGCAGATAGAAAAATATAAAGGTAACACACATGGACAGAGGATCGTGTTTTAAGTTCTAGTATATTATAAAGTGGGATATTTTTTGATGTTTTATTTTGTATTTTTAAACAGAATTGATCAGGGAATCAGATGTTAAGATGAAGGAAAGTTCTGACAAGTTAGAAGCTGTTCAGAGTAAGTTATATAGTTCTATGTGTGTATTCAAATTATAATGATGTCTGTGTTAAATGATTGGTCAAACTCCAGTATAAAATAGCTAATCACTCGTCATTGACAAATGATTTTTATTTGAACTCAAAATGGGATGGACTCTGCTGCCTTACAGTCATGAATAAAATCCCCCTCCCTATAATTGAGATTAATGTTTAAAAATCAATTAATATAAAGAATAATTACTTGATATTTAACCCTGTCAGATTAATTTTATAGAATATAAACATGTTTTTACTGAGCAAGTACTGTAGCTTGAATATTATCAGAGAGAAAGCTTCCATGAATATGAGTAAACCTAATCTGCATTTAAAGGAATTGTAAATTATATTGTTTGATTTTTGGATTTTGTAGAAGAACTTGAACGAGCAGAAACTGATGCTAAACAGTACATTACCAAGATTGCCTCGTTAGAAGGTCAGTACGTGTGCCAGATTTCAGTGTTTTGTAGGCTTTACACAGCTAGCACATTCATTGATACATCATCATGTTAAAGTAGCAAGTTAATATAAAGATTTTATGATAAACTTAAATGTGTTATAGAAAACAGACTCATCTACAAATAGTAATGTTGTGGTTTTGCTTAGAAATTCTTGTTTTAATTTGCATAAATTTTTTTAAAGCACATTGCATTGATGCATTTGTTGGGTTAAATAACTTTTATGTGATTTTCTTGAAATTTTTATTAAAACTTTTTTTTTGCATGGAAAGTTGACTTGTTCCTTCATTTTCTTCATAAAGATACTCTGTCAGTATAATCTTTTCAACATTGATCAAGTTTCCCTCAGTAGACAATATATTTCAGACTATTTTACTTCTAAACTTTTAGTAATTAATAGCTGTCTTGTATAATGTCTCCACTACAAATCTCTAAAGAGAATAACTGAAGTTTTACAGAGGAAATTCTGGTGAAGGGGAGCACTAGTCTAGATTACACTAGTGTAGATGGAAATGTTACTAGCAAAGATAACTTCATTAAATATAATTATGTAAATGGAGTATCTTTAAGATTAAAAAAAAACAAAAAAACAAGGATAACGTGAAAAAAATTACCTGGTTAAATTTTTGCAGTCTTAAAAATTATTGAAGTAACTTGATAAGATTAGCTCTTATAAGAATATTTGTTTCCAAATGTTCACCTTGGTGGACATTTGTCAAATCATTTTTTTAGGTGGTAAGGTTTTCTGGTTATACTCCTCCAACCACATACCATGCTGACCCCCCCCCCCCCCCCCCCCACACACACACACACACATATATGCCATCATTTGACTACAGCATGTACTGACTTGCTTCTACACACCTCATCTGACTCCATATCATCTTTATTCATTCAGAAAAGCTAAAGCTGTCGGACTTACACTTGAACTTAATGATGGAAAATACCATGGCAGATCTGAAGCGTAAGTCTTCATTTCACCCGGGGGTGGATCCAGGGGCATGTGACACTAGGTCACATGATCTAGGGGAGTTAATCTAGTGGACAGATGTTTTTCATTATGCAAGAGATGCTTATGCAAAACAGAATAGGTTGATGAATATAATCACCTGCATATTTTATGCATAATTTATCTAAAAACTTTTTTTTTCTAATTTTGGAGAAATGGATATGAAGAATTTAATGATATAAAACTAAATATTTGTAATACAATAATTACACAAGAATTGAGTGATCTTTCAATTTACAGAATCAGAAAGAGTACTTTTATATTACATTTTATTAAGTTACATGTCACAAGGAAAGTTAGGATTCATTCCTTGAAATGTTTGATCCACCCCTTTATTTCCTCAGCTGTCTTCGTGTCTCCTTGTTTCTGTTTATTTATTAAACTGTTTACTGATTTCTGGCTGAAAAATATTTCTGAATTTTGCATGCATCATTTAAATAGACTTTTGAATGTAAGTCCACTTTTCTATCTCACATTGAGAAAAAATGATAAATATGTAGGTAAATGATGATATAATGTCTAATCCGTGAGTGTGATGTTTGTATCTTTACAGAACAGCTTAAAGTTTCCCAACACCAAACTGATAATAGCTCAGGGCTCATAACAGAACTACAGGGTAGGTCAAAATTAAGCCAAGAAATTTAGTAACCCTTAAAGGATGAATAAAATTGAAGCAGCATCAAATCCTCTTGATGTCTTTTTGTTACTGTAGATCAATTAATTTTTGTGACAGAATTTGTGACAGAAATTTTCATATCAGAATTCTTTATAACTGTAAAATTTTACAAGGAATTTTTCTGGGGATTCCAAAAAACTTTGCTATATCTATAAATTCGCTATATCTCTGTTCGAACTAAACGAGTTTTACTGTACATGTAATTTCTGTTTTATATTGCAGAAAAGGTTCACATTCTGGAAAGTGAGATCAGGAATGCTCGGTTACCACCAGAGAAGATGGAAGCCACACTGGTGGCTACCTGTGCTTCCAAACCTACCACCACCGCATCACAGATGGACGAGTCTAACGACTCAGGTCTGGAGGACGACGACAATCTTAAAGGTCAGTTGAGCCTTGGCTCAGTTAGATATAACCTGTCACTTTATTGTATTTAGTCAGAGGACTGAGATTTGGTTGTAGTATTTTCTGAGCCAGCTAATGTTTGATAATTATCAGTTTTATCAAGACAATACAGATAGGTTGCCTTTTTTGATGATTACAGTATGTTACCTCAAGTGAAGCTTAAGAGAGTTAGAACCTGCCACATGTCCCCACTTAAAACTCTGAGACATGTTCCTTAAACCTTTGAAACATTGCACATATTCTTAAAGCTGAACACGATTCGTAAAAGGCAGAGATCTATGTTTGTCCGCCATATTCCTCTGCTTTTTCCATTAGCTGTACAGCCCCTATATAAGCCATTCACTTGGTCTTGGTTCAGTGTAATCAGTTTTCACCAATGCGGACAGACATATTCTACATAGCTATTGTAAAACTCTTGGTAGTAACAAAAGTAACTGTGTGTTTCTTCCATGGCAGTAGAGAAAAACTTACATCAGTTGCACAGGTCAGTGCAGTACAAACATACATGTAAACTGGAATAAAGTTTAAACAAATGTAATATATCCAACATGAAGATGTGTCATCCATTCCACGCAGGTACTTGTGACAAGAAAATAATCAGGTGTAACAAATGGGAAGGGTATATCCCCAGTGCTGATATCAGAGATAGGAAAACTAATATGGCTTATGCCTATTTACGAGTCGTGTTCAACTTTAAGTATGCTAGGTAAAGTGCACCATTTTTGAGAAGATATGCCAATTTTTATGTTTGTAGAGCTGTTGAGGGAAGCGCGAGTATTACAAACCAAGGCAGAAACAGAGCTCAAGAAATGTAGAGGTGAGTGTACTCATATTACAAACCAAGGCAGAAACAGAGCTCAAGAAATGGAGAGGTGAGTGTACTCGTATTACAAACCAAGGCAGAAACAGAGCTCAAGACATGTAGAGGTGAGTGTACTCATATTACAAACCAAGGCAGAGACAGCTCAAGAAATGTAGAGGTGAGTGTACTCATATTACAAACTAAGGCAGAGACAGAGCTCAAGAAATGTAGAGTTGAGTGTACTCGTATTACAAACCCAGGCAGAGACAGAGCTCAAGAAATGTAGAGGTGAGTGTACTCTTATTACAAACCCAGGCAGAGACAGAGCTCAAGAAATGTAGAGGTGAGTGTACTCGTATTACAAACCAAGGCAGAAACAGAGCTCAAGAAATGTAGAGGTGAGTGTACTCGTATTACAAACCAAGGCAGAGACAGAGCTCAAGAAATATAGAGCTGAGTGTATGCTGTTATAAATGACTTCTGTAGACTGTAGACCATAAAATTTTTGAGACACCTAATTTTAGCGAGAAAGTTATTTGTTATTTATTAGCGAGACAAAGTTTTCATGAATTTTGGTCACCGCTGTACGTTCCGTAATCCTTTTTTTATGAAATTAATATACACAATACACAAGAATGAAATTTTTGCAAGCAGATGATCTAGTGTAATAATGCAAAAGTAAAGTTGTTGCAAATATAAAATGATTTACAGTAATTGTGTCATAGCTAGTTGTGGGCTTTGTGCATTGGAAATTAATTGTAATAAAAGTGAAAGTTTTCGAGTGCATGCATGACAGAAATAGTTACCTAATTGTAAACATATAAAAGAACTTGTGTCAGTGACCAGTGAAGAAGGACCTATTGATATAAAACTTGAAATTAACATAGTCAGGATCATGCTCCTTTGTAAGTAGAGATAATTATGAAATGGTGAAAATAGATTGGAGTCATTTAAAAATGTTCCTCTTTAAAGAACCACTCAGCCAGTAATGAGAAAACTTGCAGAAGTGTGTGGAAACTTGTTTATAGTAAATATTCAGTATGTCAAAAGCAAGACTAAGGGTGCAAGGATGAGCTTACAAAGTTACAGAGATGTATCTAGGGGAAAAAATCTCAAGATCTTAAGGGCTAAAAATTGGAAAAATGTGATAAAATAGTAGATTCAAAATTATTCAGTCTTTGGTCCTAAGGCCAGGTTGGAGGAAAAAAATGGAGACCAGAGTTAAAAATATATACAGGTGAGCTTCTGCATCTTGAACACTGATATCTCAAAGTGAATTGAAAGTCCCAACCATTTTTTTAAGTATTTAACCCTCTATATCTTGAAGACTCAGATATCTCGAAGTTTTTTCTTGGTCCTGTTGAGTTCAAGATAAGGTTTGACTCTACATCTAAGAAATTCTTTAAAATCAACCTCTAAAGTTTGCAGGGCACAGATTGTAAAATTTACAACCTGTGCCCTGAAAGCTCAAGTGAGCTTTTCTGATCCCCCGTTGTCCGTTCGTCCGTCTGTCCATCCCTCTGTAAACTTTTCACATTTACAACTTCTTCTCAAGAACCACTGGGCCAATTTTAACCAAACTTGGTACAAAGCATCCTTGGGTGAAGGGGAATTTAAATTGTTAAAATAAAGGGCCAAGTCCCCTTCAAAGGGGAGATAATCAAGAAAATACAAAAAATGGGTGCGGTCATTAAAAAATCTTCTTCTCAAGAACCACTGGGCCAGAAAAGCTGAAACTTATGTGGAGGCATCCCGGGGTAGTGTAGATTCTAAATTGTTCAAATCATGACCCTCGTGGGTAGGGCGGGGCCACAATAGGGAATCCAAGTTTTACATTGAAATATATATAGTAAAAATCTTTAAAAATCTTCTTCTCAAGAACCAAGGGGCCAGAAAAGCTGAAACTTATGTGGAAGCATCCTTGGGTAGTGTAGATTGTAAATTGTTCAAATCATGACCCCCGGGGGTAGGACAGGCCACAATAGGGAATCCAAGTTTTACATTGAAATATATAGTAAAAATCTTTTAAAAAAATCATCTTCTCAAGAACCACTGGGCCAGAAAAGCTGAAACTTATGTGGAAGCATCTTGGGGTAGTGTAGACTCTAAGTTGTTTAAATCATGACCCCCAGGGGTAGGGCGGGGCCACAAAAGGGAATCCCTGGTTTACATTGAAATATATAGTAAAAATCTTTAAAAATCTTCTTCTCAAGATCCAAGGGGCCAGAAAAGCTGAAACTTATGTGGAAGCATCCTTGGGTAGTGTAGATGGTAAATTGTTCAAATCATGACCCCCGGGAGTAGGGCGGGGCCACAATAGGGAATTCAAGTTTTACATTGAAATATGTAGTAAAAATCTTTAAAATCTTCTCCTCAAGACAACTGAGCTAGAAAAGCTGAAACTTATGTGGAAGCATTCTAGGGTAGTACAGATTCTAAATTGTTCGAATCATGGCCCCTGGGGGTAGGGTTGGGCCACAATAGGGAATCCAAGTTTTACATTGAAATATGCAGAAAAAATCTTTAAATATCTTCTTCTCAAGAACCAAGGGGCCAGAAAGGCTGAAACGTGTAAGGAAGCATCCTGGGGTAGTGTAGATTCTAATTTTTCAAATCATGAACCCAGGGGGTAGGGCGGGGCCACAATAAGTACTACGGGGGGGGGGGGAGGAGGGGGAGAAATCAGGTGAAAAACAGCAAGGCCAATGTTACTCAAGTGAGCGTTGTGGCCCATGGGCCTCTTGTTTATATACATGTATAAGCTTGCTGATTCAGTCTTGGTTTGAGATTGTTTAAAGCATGACCAAGAGAACTTTAAAATGACACAAAAAGGATTAACAATTTTTTACTTAAAAATATACAAGAAAATCCCTTATACTACCAATTGTAATGTATTATCAAAGAATTTATATTAAAAAAATCTTCCAAAAGGGAACATGCTACACATTGTGACATCATATTGTTCCAAATGTGATTGTCCACTTAATCACCCTCTAGATCAAGTAGACATGTAATAGATATATATCCTAGGGCTCTAAAGTTTTAATAGGAGAGGGTTAGAAATAGAGCATAAAATAGAGTTCAGAAAAAAAAATTTCCATTGTGACACTCAGGTGAACATTAATGGCCTCAGGCCTCTTGTTCTTGTGTTACAATAAAATCAGAAAAGCATCAAAAAACCAGGATTTTAACTTTAAAAAAAAGGAAAGGTCAGGAAATGAGAGTTGGACTTGTCAGTGAATGCAATATTAACACTAGGCTTGATTAATTGTACCAAATAATTAAAATTACAGCTAATTAAGAGGATAAATAATAGAGGTGTTCTTAAGTCATTCATGCAGAGAATATTATTGTTTTGACATAGATCATATTGGAGTGTGAATTTATGTGTGAACTTGATAAGCAGATGATCTGACATCAGATATAAGACAGATATTTATATGTTTGCTAACAGGTTAAGACACGAGAGATGTTGATTATGTGACCTTGAGGGGGAGGGGTTATGCCTGATAAACCTGGTTTTCCGTTGCAATCTGACATTCCTACAATTGTTTGGGATTTAATTGATACACTGATATCTATAGAAGGTACTCATTCGAAGCGACTTGTGTGTACTCAACAACATGCACACGATTACCTGATGAACTTGTTCAGGGAATTTATGTGTGTGTGATTTTATGAATACATTTGTATTATGTGGTAATTAAAGGTAAATAGCTGTCAGAATTTACCTGTACACACCTAGAAGAAAGCTTTACTTCTGAGAATGAAGTCCACGTGTGAAATGTTGACGTAAGGTTTTCTACTATAAGTGGTACTTATTCTCCAGTAATAAGATAATTGGGATATAAAGGGACTGGGGGAGAAGTGTGGAGCTGGGAATTTACCTCTGTCTGTGGAATTATTTGTTATTACCTGTGAAGGATTCTACTTAAAGAACACTTAGTGAGTTACTGGTGTAGGATGTATACAGACAGAAAAAATGAAAAGAAAGTGGGATACATTTATATCTGATGGTGAGTGTATATGTATTATGTTAGAGGGGGGGGGGGGGGGTCATTCTGAAGGACTGCTACAGTGAATAATGTATAGGGGTAGTTGAAGGGGCTGCTTAAAGTCTTTTTTGTTCAAGGTTGGAGGAGGAATGAATGTGCATCAGTTTTGTGTTTGCAATTTTTTGAAGACTGACCAAAAATTTTTTTGGTGTAAATATTCCCTGTTTGTAACCATTGTTAGCAAGGGTCAAAAGATTCAGCCATTGTGCATCAGACATCAGCAGAGTTTTAAAGTCTATTCTGCACAGACTCAATATGCTACAGAATAGTTGTGGATGTTTATTGTTTATATTCTGTTTCTTTCATTGATGGCAATACTTCAGTGTTTTAAGGCTTTACAGATGAGATAGCTTTAACATACAGGTGTCACGTTACCACCTGTCAAATAAGTCTCTCTGGACTATTGAATCAGAGATGTTATCCTTCTGCTTCTATAATTAGCTTTTATTTGTTTGACTGGGTCTATACTGACTTCTAAACTGGTATTCAACTTCTAAAATTTCTCACATTTTTACAAATGTCTTTCAATTTAGGTTTGTTTGAATAAATATTGACATTAATTATTTGGGCCAAGTAGACAGTTTTTAAAGGATTTCACATTTATCAGCTATACCTGGTTTTACGATGTTGACCTCTCACCTGAATTATTTTCCTCCTGATTTTAATTCCACAGAGTACTACCTGATTTTAATTCCACAGAGTACTACCTGATTTTAATTCCACAGAGTACTACCTGATTTTAATTCCACAGAGTACTACCGGATTTTTTCTGATCAAGAGAAAAGGTGCATTTAATCCTTATCAGTGAACGGCATCGCAGACAATTTAAATGCCCAGAACTATAGTTTTGCTGTTTGTAATTCATTACATCTGGGTGCTTGATTCAAATTATAATGCACTGAAAGCATTTCTTGTAAAGTTTTTTTTTTTATCCAACAGATTGAATGTCCAAGATTTATATCATCAAAGAAGATCAAAGTTTTTTTTTGTTTTTTTTAAAGAGAAATCATGACACTGTCTCAGTATTTGGTGATTAATCAAATGAATGTGTACTATAAATGTAAAATGTATAGACTCTGAAATCAAAGTATAAATAAACAATGGAGTACATACATATTCTTATGTAATAAGTTGATATAAAGATAAAAGTCTATCACTGTTTCATTAATAATTTTTTGCACCCATGTTTTTATGAAATTAATTATGTTGACTGAAAAGTGTCAATAATATTATATTTTATCTTCATTATCTTGAACCCACAGATATCTCGAAGTTTTTTCTCGGTCCCATCGAGTTCAAGATAACGAGGTTTGACTGTATTTTAAATCTAGTATTAGGGATGAATATGTGTATGTTTTGTAGATGAATTAAATGTGAGTAAAACAGAGGTTCAAAGGAAAGATGAAGAGACAAGTAACTTAAAGGATCAGTTGTGTGATGCCCAGAAACTGACCCAAGATCAGTCCAAGATGGTGGTGGACCTCCAGGGTAGGTGGCATTAGGGGTGACCCGGTGTTCAGTGTGCAACCCCGGATGTGAATTACTAAAACTAAATATTTCTGTACATGTGCATGGCAGATAACAACTTCTTATGATATTTGATAAAACTTCAGTAGACTGTGCAACATTGATATATTAAAAAAAATTAAATTACATGAAAGTTAAAAAGTATTTTATGATCTAAATGTAAAAGAATATTCAGTACTCTTGCTATTCAAGTCTTGGGAAAATCAATTCTTTAAGTTCTGATATTTTATAGATCAACTTAAAAGGGCAGAGACTCAAACCAAAGAGGTCAAACAACAGATCCTGGATCTGAGGGGTAGGTATCTATTTAAAGGTCACTAGAGGTCAAAGGTCAGGTGTACACAGAGGCCCTTTCTATACTGTGTTCTTATTCCCTCTTACAGAGAAGTTGCTTTATTAACATACTCTTGTTTTACTTTCATTAAACTTTCCAGCTTAAGATTCTACCCTTCATTTAATAGGCTTTTCCTCATTATTTTTTAACTGAGTGTGAAGCTCCACCTTTATATGTAGAATGGGTAACTGTGTGTCTTGTAATGTTTGTTATTTTGGCCCATAAAGATTACCATTTAATTTTACATTTAGTATTTACAATTTCCCATATTGATGATATGATTTTAGAATTTGGCAATCTTATTTTTAGCTCACCTCGACGAAGTCGAGATGAGCTTATGCTATACCCCCGGCGTCGGCGTTAGCGTCGGCGTCCCAGGTTAAAGTTTTAGGAGCAAGTCCCATTCCCAAGTAACTATAAGCCCTACCTGGACCAAACTTGCATGGATGATGCATCTAGGGATGGACACTACCAAACTTGCTTCGGATGCTGGATCTGATCTAGATTTTCCGGATGAGTGACCAGGTTAAAGTTTTAGGAGCAGGTCCATTCCTAAGTAACTATAAGCCCTACCTGGATCAAACTTGCATGGATGATGCATCTAGGAATGGACACTACCACACTTGCTTCGGATGCTGGATCTGACCTAGATTTTCAGGATGAGTGACCAGGTTAAAGTTTTAGGAGCAGGTCCATTCCCAAGTAACTATAAGCCCTACCTGGACCAAACTTGCATGGATGATGCATCTAGGGATGGACACTACCACACTTGCTTCGGATTCTGGATCTGACCTAGATTTTCCAGATGAGTGACCAGGTTAAAGTTTTAGGAGCAGGTCCATTCCCAAGTAACAATAAGCCCTACCTGGACCAAACTTGCATGGATGATGCATCTAGGGATGGGCACTACCACACTTGCTTGGATGCTGGATCTGACCTAGATTTTCCGGATGAGTGACCAGGTTAAAGTTTTAGGAGCAGGTCCATTCCCAAGTAACTATAAGCCCTACCTGGACCAAACTTGCATGGATGATGCATCTAGGGATGGACACTACCACACTTGCTTCGGATGCTGGATCTGACCTACATTTTCTGGATGAGTGACCAGGTTAAAGTTTTAGGAGCAGGTCCATTCCCAAGTAACTATAAGCTCTACCTGGACCAAACTTGCATGGATGATGCATCTAGGGATGGACATGACCACACTTACTTCGGATGCTGGATCTGACCTAGATTTTCCAGATGAGTGACCAGGTTAAAGTTTTAGGAGCAGGTCCATTCCCAAGTAACTATTAGACCTACCTGGACCAAACTTGCCTGGATGATGCATCCAGGGATAGACACTACCACACTTGCTTCGGATGCTGGATCTGACCTAGATTTTCCACATGTGAGACCAGGTTTAGATTTAGGAGTAGTCCCATTCCCAAGTAACTATAAGCCCTACCTCTTTCATGGATGATGCATCTAGGGATGTACACTAACCAACCTGCTTCGAATGCTGGATCTGACCTAGATTTTCCACATGAGTGAATTTTAGCCATATTTAAACCAAATTACCATGGATGATGTATCTAGGGATGGACACTTCCAGACTTGGTTTGGATTCTGAATCTGACGTACATTTTCCAGATGAGTGACCAGGGTAATTTTTTTGGAGTAGCTATGTAATATTATGGCCTGTTATGATTAAACTTGCATAGATGGTGCATCTAAGGATGAAAACTTGCAGTCTTGCTTTGGATGTTGGAACTGACCAAAATTTTCTTGATTACTAAACAGGTCAAAAGTTTTTTGAGCAGGTCTATAATTCAATCCAACTTGCATGGATATTGATCTTGGGATGTACCCTAACTAGAAAAAAAATATTATGTGAAATTTGCCTTACATGTAGATAACATTCGTCGAGGTGAGCTTCGTAATCTTTGATTACCTATGTTTCTTTTTTGGTGTAAACAAAATACCACAAAAATTACACAACTGCAGAAAATACCCATTATACAGGTAAATAAAATTTAAATGGCAGAAATGACCGTGGGCCATCTCAAAAGTTATTAGAGAAGTCATAGATTGTACAGATTAAATCATTTACTGCCATTTATTTTTCTGTAAATGAGGAGAGGTGGTAGTGTAACTCAACAAAATGTGCATGAAATAAAATATTTTAAACCTTTCCCTGAGTGAATACATCATTCAACATATCCAGGAAAACTTAACTTCCTAAAATCTCTGTCATTGCAAATGGATCCACCACATCTCACATTTTTAAATTAACATTTGGAATGTTTTTCTGTTGATACTTTTACCAATACAAAACAGAATAATCAGGAATGTACCTTTTCTTTGTGTGTATACCTTTAATGAGTTTTCTGATCAGTGCCATCTGTTGTCCACATCCCTAAAACATTGATAGCAAAGTGTACCTCCCAGAGATTATGATAGAAGAAGATCAAGAAATTATTTTTAATAAGTGGATGGAAAATTATGGGCCCCAAAATATTAATGTGGGCTAGGAAAACTTGTAAAGTTTGGGGCCCACATGGCCCCTAAGGTTTTAAATATTATTTGCAACCCTGTATATGCTTACAGAATTATAATTTCAAATACATGTAACTCACCATATCAATGTTCCATAACCAGACACTCAATATAATTGTATTCTGTTCATGACCTGAGATGACAAGCTTTATTACAGAGTTTACCTTCTCAGTTCGGAACATGCAAAGTTGATATTCAGATAACCCCTGTTTTGTTTTTTTTAATGTTTGGGATGAGCTTTGTGATCAGACCTGCATGTAAAGCTTTTGACTGTGTCCCCTGCATGTTTATACTCATTTCATTAACAGACCAATTAATGGAGGAGCAGAAAATAGCTAAAAATAGCCAAGAAGAGATGATAGCCGTCACATGTGAGTTGTTCATACTCAAACAAAAGTTTGTCATTTAATATTACACAAGTAATTAACCTCCAAATTTAAATCTGTATCAGATGATTTTTGTTTTAGTGAAAATGTAAATTCTATTGATATATTGTCACAGCCATGTGCAGTGTTTACCCTCCAGATGAACATTGACTTTCATTTTCAAGCAAGAACTCTTCATTAGTTTTCATGGCTTGTCAACACTGCTGAGGTTGTGTTATATGTGACTGTGTAACTATTTCATATACAGTAAAACTCAGAATTTAAGACTTTTTATAGAGAAATCATGGGGACCTGTGAATTAACTTCGCTATATCCATAAATATTCAGTAAAGTTTATATGGTCAGTATGATCAGGGAAGTACTAATTAAAAAAACTTGGAGAACTGAAGTTTTTTGCCCAGTTAAAATTATAAGCAATTCTGACAAATAATGCCAGTTAATAATTTTAAATACATGTATTGAGATCATAAAAAATCGCTATAAAAGATGTGAATTTCATTATTTTTAACTTCTTCGGAACACAAAGTTAATTCACTATATCTGTTAATCTCTTATGTCAGAGTTCATTATAACATTACCATAAAACTTTACAGGAATTTTGTCAGGGTCCATAAAAAATCTTTGCTACATCTGTAAATTTGATATATCCATGTTCGTACTTATCGAGTTTTGCTGTATTGCTTTCACGAGGTCACCATTAGAGTCTTATAAACTCTACTCAGAATCCTCTTGTTTTGTCAAATAAGCATCAGGAATATAGTAAGGAAAACAAACTCTGATCATTCTAAACTGTAAGCATTTTTACTTCAGGTGAACTTGACCAAGAAAAACTGAGAAATAAAGAAACCAAAAAGGAACTAGAAGAAACAAAATGTAAGGTTTTAATTTATAATTTGAAGAAAAAAAATCTTGAAAACAGGTCAAAATATTAAACTTTACATGTAAAACAATTCACATGGTGTGGAATTACTGACCATACTTATTAAATGAATAAGAAATGAACTTTACATCTAACATTTATGAAAACTTTAAAGCAATTTTCTTTAATTTTCTTGAAGAGTCATCTAATGATTGTAAACCATTAGTGAATGAAATTATATCCCCCCACCCTGAGTATTTCTGCACTTATTCTGTGTAAGTTTGTTGGGATAAACTCTTTATGAAATGTATTTGATTTTTAGCTAAACATTTAGAGAGTCAACAAGCTGCCAAACAAACCCACAATGAGGCTGAACAACTAAAAAGTAAGTCTAAAGATTTTTATCCATTGTTGCTTTCTCTGTATGCTTTGAACAAACTAGCTTTCAAATTCAATCTTTGAACCATGCTTTAAATTCTTCAGCATAGTTGCTCAAAAACTTAATGAGCTTTTAAAATTTAAAGTCGAGTCTTTCTCTGTAGATCTGCGTAGAGTTGGAAGGGAAACGAAAATGAAAAGGTCATTTGTAATTTAAATCATGACGAGTACAATTAATGATCTGAAAATGTACATTGACATAATTCAATAAAGTTAGTTGGCAGAAAATTAACTCAAATTTTCGTGTCTAGCAATGTTACGGACCCTCGCACCAAGAGAATATAACAAATGTAAGTGTAATGCCCCAGGCTTGGTGTACATGGAGTTATCCCCCTTGTATTATATTTTTGTATTTTCATATTATTTTTATTTGCTTAGTAACCAAAAACAATCAGCTTTTTATGAAATTCTAAAAATTACTTGTACAGTTCTTTAATTACAAAAACTGTGAAAAGTTACTAAATATATTTTGATGTATAATGTACCCTTCCTAGTGTATTTACATGGCATTTACGTATGAATCTGTATTTAAATTATAAATGTGTTTTTATTCTTCCTTAAAAACATTTATCTAGTAATTGATAACAAATTTAGAAAAATGATTGAAAGTAGTAATTTACCATTCTATTAAATCACTTTTAAATTGAAATAAAAAAAAATTTCAAGAGAAGTAAGGGAAAGTCATCCATAGTATTTTGTTCTGCATTGATTTGTTATGGAGATAAATTGTAAGATTTCTAATTATGTCAGCATTATCATCTACATGTATATATTCTACTTTCTTTTCAACATCAGCATGTTTTTTTCTACCTTATTGTCAGTTTAATTCTTTTGAAACAATACATATCAAGCAATGGTAACATCTTTGCTATTCTATTTTGTTTTGCTGGGTTGCATCTTTAAAACTTTGTTTGGATGAAGTGGGTAAATGTTTAGATTTTTTACACAGCATAATTGAATGGAAAATTGTAAACAAATAATAAAAAATGAAAATTTTCATATCATAATCTGTCATAATCATGTCATGGTTTCTCTCTTTCTGTTCTTTAGCATGTTTAGCATGTGATATGTCTCACACAGATTTACATTTCAGATCTTGTAGCCCTTTTATTTTATTGGGTTGCAGCATGGATAATTTTATTGTTTTCACTTTCATTTCTTCTGTTTTTCATCTTTGACTCTGTGCATGGAACTCTCTCTCCATTTCTCTGTGGTTGTGTGACCATGGTACCTCAGCCCTCTGCATGGCTTACAAGGCGCTCTGTCTGCTTTGGATGTTCTTTTTCTTTTTGCCCCCTGGTGACGACATTTGTAACTCTATCTGTGTCGCTCTGCAGACAAAGTTCGCCAGCTGCAGGAGCGACTGGACTCAGAGAGACGAACATCTTCTCACTATGGTACGAGAAGCCTCCATCTGGACCCACATGGTCGTGACTCGCACGGTCGTGACTCGCATGGTCGTGACACACACAGTCGTGAGCTTTCTCATGGAAGCTCTTCACTCAGGGATACTCATCATGGCTCACATAGGGAACTCCACAAAACTAACAGTGGAGGGCATACGCCCTCCAGCCCCTCTGGGAAACAACGAGGTAATATTATCGGTAATTGTCTTCTTTCTTCACTTCTGATGTTGCCATGGGAAAAAAACAATCATGATGGATGGTGTCCTGAATTTCCTCAGAATTTTTTTTTTTACTCTACATCCTAAGTGAATTGTGGTGTTTTTTTCTGTAATGTTTCCCCCCTTCATTATATCATTTAAATCATTGTTATCATTCATAGTAGGAATAAATGACCACTTATACATGTAGCGCAAATTGATTTGGTTGCTAGAGTTTTATTGATGATTTTTGATGTGCATGCTTCAGGAATATCAGTTTTTCATCATGTAATTTCACCAATAAATTGTGTCCAGACAATAGACAAGTAGATTTTCCCACAAGAGATTAGTAAAACTGCATTTATCTTGTTAGAATGTTAGACTGTTTGGAGGATTTGTCAGTTTGATTTTGTTTGTTAAAGTTGTTTGGAGTTGTTTGTTTTTTCCTGTTTTTTTTTTTTTTTTTTTTTTTTTTTGGTACTGGTTGCACTTCTGATTTTATTTCAATCATTGTATGAAATAATCACATTAATAAATCATACCCCCTTTTTGTTGTAGGTGAGTTTACAGCACTCAAAGAGGAATGCTCAAGTCTTCGAAAGAGAATCCAAGCCATTGAGGCTGAGATGAAAATGTGAGTGCCATGCCATTAAGATATGTCAGAAATGTTGGAAAATTTCTAAGTGAAAGAATCTTGGGCCTGAACATGTTATTAAGGCCTAACTTTAAATTTTCAGATTTGAGTGATTTTTGCAAACTATCTTTAAAAACTTGAGGATCGAAAACTGTAATTACTCAACAGATTTCCATTATGGTATTAATTTATTACCCTTGTAAATGTACTGCTCATTCAATGTTGAAGTACTGGTAAGGATCTTGAAACACTTATTTCAGGTCACGTAAAGAGAACTTACAGCTGTCTGCAGAATACAACAAACTTCAGGAGTCATACAGGCAGTTAGAGGCCACAAAGGACCAATTAGAGAGTCAGGCTTCAGCGTGGCAGTCCAACCTCACCGACTCCCAGAAAGAAAACGAACAGACACGACAACAGGTGGGGGACAACAGGCAGCCAATCAGAGGTTTGGTAACGGCAGGGTCAAATGTCACAGGGTCACCGGGTCAGCAGGTACTCCCAGGCTTGGTTTTGTGGCATGGCTGGTTGGTGTGCGGTCTTCTGTTGTAAAAAAAAAAATGTCCACTGGTTTGGATTTCTTTTTTTATATTCTTTTTTTCTAATATAGTAAGCATTGCTGTAACAATTTTTTCTACAATTAATAGAGTAGGACTTCTGCACTCACCCATTGATTTAAGGAATTGCCAAGAAAAATGTCTCTTTTAAAATGATATTTTTTATTTTGCTTAGTTTATTAATTATCAGTTTATTAATTAGATTATTTTAAGCTTTATGTTTTGACTGTCAAGACAGTGGGCCTGTGTTTGGGTAGATCTTTGGTTTGCAGTAGATCACATCAGGCTTGGTTTGACCCTGCATGTTATCAACTCTGTCAAGATTCTGAGATTTTATTTTTTCATAGCTTATTTGCAGCATGTGAAAATCACTTTCTTAGTAGTAGTATTTTCTTAATCAGATTTTTATTGCTAAATTAATGATGACATTGATTTAAATGTAAACAATATCCAATATAACTAACATGTTACATTATCAGTATTTTATATCTTTAAAACGAAATACTATTAACCTTTGTACCTATACCTGTTTGTTACTATAGTTACAAGAAGCCACGGCTGAGGTGGCCAGTCTGAGGTCAAAGTGTCAGGAGTACAAGGACAGGGTCAGTGAGCTGGAGGTCGAGATGAGCCTCGTCCATGAGCAGTACAAACACCTGTCTGACCGGACCAAAGTGGTGAGTATCAGGGTCCAGCTCAAAGCTCTCAAAAACACACCATGTAATGGGGGGCATCTCCAAAGTGTTAAGAAATATATCAAAATAGCTGTTGTATTAGAAATTTTAGAACATGGGGCATTAAAAAAATTACCTCAAAGTACATTTATAGGGGGTTTCAAAACATTTTGCTTTGATACAGTTCATTGGAGTCTCAAGAGACTGCTAAAACACATTTCTACGCAAAGTAATCTGATATTTTTCCAATTTTTAAAACTGTTAATTAAAGATAGATCTGCACAATATATATATTGTCACCTAAACTTTCTATTTCAAGGGGAAAAAATGTATACATGTTTACATACCCTCACTGGCTTCATTCACTGTGTGTGTGTGTGTATTCAGATTTGAAGTTCACTCAACATCAGAAAGCATAAAACATTGACATACTTGTATTTGAAAAGAAACAAAAAAAATACACTTCTGTCCTTTTCTTTGTTTGGATGTGAAGCATTGTGAGAATTCTAACACAAACATGGCCACATTCACACTGCATATGCTGACTGTTATGTTTTAATGACAAAGGCTTAAATTTTGAAAAAAAATCCATGGACAAACCTATGTTGTTATGTCATTGCAGTGGACTTGTGTTTAAGTCGTTGGATGGAGAAATGAGTAGGTTATTTTAAATAAAAAGAGTGATGCCAGTGCATAAAGTTCACTAAGTGCATAAAGTTCATACTCGGTACAACAAGGACATACTCGGCTTGTAATAGAATTGCTTGTCACCTAAACTTCCTATTTCAGATTACAGAAACATGCAAGCTTGACTATTCTTCCTAAGTTTGTTGGTCTTGGTATGTCCAAATTAAATCTATCATGGTATGAGTCAATAAGAGATATGAATATGATCTATTTCACTCTCTAAGTTGTGAGGGATGAACCAGGAATGTGAATGTTCAATATTCTTTGACAGTGAATGCATCTGGTAACAGTCTCTGCATTTTAACTGTTTATCCTGATATTTATATTATTTTTTACATATAATCAAAAAATTGAATAGTCTGGCTATGTCCTGACATAATGAAATCTTATGAAATCTTTACCCCATATTGTCATCAGAACAGATCAACTTTCACTAGGTACATTATTAATCAGGCAATATTAATCAACATACAGGATGATATATTGTTATCCACATTTATTTCTTTAACCCATGTTAAAAAGCATCATAACATTGTAATATAAATACCAAATAAATGACATTTACTCAAACTAACAATTATTTATTGTCAGGCATATCATTGTAAACAAAAAATATTTGATAGAGAAAAGAAAAAGACTGAATGAAAATGAAGAAGCTTAACATTCATTTCATTTTGTAATATGATGTAAAAATATAAAAAAGTGCATTTATTACTTACAGATTATGGTACCAGTGATATGGATACATGTTAAATGGAGCGATTACAGTTAATTTTAAAGAAAAAAAAAACACCACATTTTTTAAAAATAATAAATGCAATCAGCTTAAAAAGCTGTTATTGTAAGAGGAGAACTGCCCTATTCTGGCTAAAATGATATTTTTTTCTAACAATCACAGGAGTTGGAGATTAAAATGACATTCCAGAAAATCTAGCATACAAATTCAATACACATCAATGTTGAAAATGAAAATTTAATAAAGGAAACATTTTGCTTATTAAGTTTGAGAGTCGTTTCTCTCTGATTTATTTTATCAAGTTTGAGACTTGTCTCTCTTTGATTTATCAAGTATGAGAGTTATCTTTCTTTGATTTATCAAGATTGAGAGTTATCTCTCTTTGATTAATCAAGTTTGAGAGTTAACTCTCTTTAATTAATCAAGTTTGAGAGTTATCTCTCTTTGATTAATCAAGTTTGAGAGTTATTACTCTTTGATTTATCTGTCTTTCTATCTTGAGAGCGGGTCAGTTCTCCTTGTCTCACTATATTACTCTAAGATACTATGGACTGTTTGACCTATGACCTGTTTATGTTTCAGTTGTCTTTCGCCTCCAGTATACCCCTATTGATGTTATTGTTTGCCATCCTAATGGCTCTCTATCCCACCCTGGCTCAGATCACCGCGACAACAGTCTGACATCATCATCACCAGGGGAGATCACTGCTGATTCACCCTCATCTTCATCCTCTGGGTGTTTGATATATGCTGTCTGTGATGTGTGATTGATAAACTGAAAATGATTCTGATATATGTATATGTAAATGTGGTGTAGATGTGTATGGAAATTTTTGTTTGGTTTGTTAATTAGTTTAATGAGTTTATTGAATTTATTTTATTTCATGTATACAAGTTACTGTAAAGATTCTGTTGTGGGCACTTATTTGTTTATATATTGAATGAAATATGTAAATGTGTTTGTTCTTATATGGATTCTTTTCTTTATGTTTCTGAACCCATAAAGGTAGCATGAATCCTTTATATTCCTGTGATAAAGTTAGTGCTTACAATAACCTCAGTAATGCTGGCGAAACCTTAAAGCAATAAACAAGTGTCATTATAATCAAACTTCAGGATTTCTGAAAGTTCTTTTTCTTAATCGTCATAATAATCTCTGGCCTTACAGATTCAAATTTATAATGTGCAAGATCTTTCCACAGTGTTCACTTTCTAGAGGTAATAGAATTCTTAATCTGATGGTATTTGTTCAGGAAACCAAGAATGTTTAGTGTAAATGATTTAAAATAGAATTTGTTGCAAGGAAATGCTGAATATTTAATATTTTTTCTATTTACCTGTACTTTGTCATAGAGAGTGAAATATATATCAGTGTATATTTTTCACAAGTTGACTTGCATTGTAACACTAAATGTAGCTATAGAAGCAATTAAATATGAAGAACTTATTTATTTTTAGGTAGATTTTGTCTCAGCTAGGCTCTCTCCCCCTATAAAGAGGCTGGAATGTAAATATTTAGAACCAAGAGTGTGAATTTGTGTGCTTGATAAAACCCCTTCCAAAACCAAATTGCAGAATGATGGATTTTGAAGTTATTGTTAAGGAATGTCCAGTCATGATACACTTTGTAAAATTTGCTCAAGTTTGTAAAGAAATCTGGATATTTTTTTTTCTTCTTGCAACCATTTTTTAAAAAAAATATTTTTCTTTTTTATTAAACAGATGTAAAACTGTAATTATGAATATTGTATACCAGTAGTGTGCAATATGGCTGACACTTCAGTATGAAAATTTCACTGAGCAAAATTTTTGCGGTATTTTTGCTACAAATTTTGTAATGCTAAGCTTGAGAGGGCACCTTGAACTCAAGTCTTCCTGTGTCCCGACAGATCACACGCCCTCAGTGTCCTCATGTGCTTTTCCTTTTGTACCTCTGAGTCACCTTCCCAGAGAAGGGGCCCAAGAAGAGGAAAATTTTCGTGCTTTTGTCATTGGTGATTTCTGTTTGATCTGCTTTTCATAGGATATTGTTTCGTTTTCATGGAAATAAAAGCTTTCATGTCATCCAAACATAGAAACACCAAGATCTGAGCTACACGCAGCTATGTCTTTTTTTTGTCAATTCCCCACCCTCTTCCCATTTCTGTGTGTGTTTGTGTGATGAGAGTGTGTATATGTACATAGGTATATGATTATATAAGATAATATATATACTAAGACCATTGTACATAGATAGCAAACCCAGAAATGTCACATGACCAAAGATGTCAACCAATTAGCAGGATTGTCTCATTGTACAATAACCAATCAAAAGAGTTGTCTCATTGTACAGTATTTAAAATCATCAACCAATCAGTAGGGTTTTCTTATTGTTGAAGGGATATCATCCAATCAAGAGAACTGCCTTCTTTCACAATGAATAATGGTTTCTTTGTAATCTGATCATTTTTTTTTTTGTATTCATTATCAGCTCCATAAACAAGAAATGCATTAGCATGTGCTTTTAAATCTTCTATACATACCAGAAAGTTAGAATATTTTTTAAGGAAACAGGGTATGTAGAGTTTCCGTAGTTTTGTGAATTGGATGATTATTACCTTAATCATTAGTACATGTATTAATAGAACCACCCCTTATTTCCACATCATCCATGTTGTAACATGAGACTGCCATTCTGCTATTGTATGAATTCTAGGAATGTGACATAAATCTGGAGTACTTTGTATAAACACCATTTAATAATTTGATTTGTTTTTTATTACTTCAAATGTTGACAATAAAGCTATGCAGATATGCAGTTTTTTTTAATTTTTTCTCGCAAATCAGCAGATTTAATACTCTGTCGTGATAAATAGTCATGATTCGAATTCAACACAGCTTTATTATGCTCTATAAATTTGATGTTTTCAAGAAGTTTTTAAATGTGCTAAAATAGTTGAATAGGTACAAGTGATAGATCAGGAAACAAGATGCGTTTGTGAAACACTGATGCCCCCGTATGGCAGCTTATGACAAGGTTAAAGTTTCTGAAATGCAAGTCAAACTCCAAGTTCAAGAGATCGAAAATGTTGTTACCCAAAGAAAGGACTTGTGTCAATGGATATACCTGGTAACTGAAAGCCCAATCATCAACCATTCAAAAGTTATAGTCAAGGTTAATGTTTTCTGAATGTGGGTCAAACTCCAAGGTCAATGTCAAAGGGTCAAAATTAATGGTTTGCAGGGGAATACCTTATCATAAGAAATACACATGCGAAATATAAAGGGCTTAGCACAAACTGTTCAAAAGTTATGGCCAAGGTTAAAGTTTTTCAAAAGTAGGTCAAACTCCAATATCAAAATTGTTGGTATGTATCCAAAGAAAGGTCTTGTCACAAGAAATATACCTGTGAAATTTGAAAGCACTTTTCTACTAACTGTTCAAAAGTTTTTAAAAAATGGGTCAAACTCAAAGGTCCAAAATATTTAAACCCATGGAAGGGTCATGCCACGATGAATACACGTGAAATAAGAAAGCCTTAGCACCAACTGTTCAAAAGTTATGTCCAAGGTTAAAGTTGGGTATTTTTTTGCAAAAGTGGGTAAAACTCAAGAGGTCAAATATGTTGGTACCCAAAGAAGGTCTTGTCATAAGGAATACACATGGGAAATATGAAAGCCATTGCTCCAGCCAATCAAAAATTATGGGCAAGGTTAAAGTTTTTGTAGACAAATAGGCAGACGTACGGACAGGGCAAAAACTATATACCCCCGAATCTTCGATTACGGGGGCATAAAAATATGACATGAAGGGGGAATGTACTAGAAACATGACAGTATTCATTTGTTACTTTTCTATGTTTTAACAGAAAAGCCTCAAAATGACTCATTTTGGGGGTCCACAGCCGTGGCCCACTTCAATTTCAGATATAGTATGTAAATTTTTTTGAGAAATCACGTATCTTAAAATCTTTGTGGGCGATGTTTGTGGTCTATATTATCTGGGGAAAAAAAATTTAATGAAAATTTCAATGAAAATTGATGTCTTCTGTAACATTTTAAGAAAATTCAGTAAAACGCACAAGTTCATGGCGTCACAATTGGCATATGGGTGGTCATATAAGATTCGTATGATCTTATTGCATGGAATTTGACTATTTTAAAAAGCATGAGTTTTATTTTCTCGTAACAATTTCATATTTAAAAACAAGATGTGTTTGTGAAACACTGATGCCCCCGTATGGCAGCTTATGGCGAAGGTTACGGTTTCTCAAATGCAAGCCAAACTACAAGGTCAAGAGATCAAAAATGCTGTTACCCAAAGAAAGGACTTGTGTCAATGGATATACCTGGTAAAATTAATATGAAAGCCCAAACACCAACCATTCAAAAATGATGGCCAAGATTGATGTTTTCTAAAAGTGGGTCAAACTCCAAGGTCGAGGCCAAAGGGTCAAAATTAATGTTACGCTGGGGACGACCTCTTCATAAGAAATACACTTGCAAAATATAAAAGCCCTAGCATCAGCTGTTCAAAAGTTATGGCGAAGGATAACTTTTTTTTCAAAAGTAGGTCAAACTCCAAGGCCAAAAGGTCAAATTGTTGGTATCCAAAAAAAAGGTCTTGTCGCAAGGAATAAACCAGTGAAATTTGAAAGCCTAGTCTAACTGTTCAAAAGTTATGGTCAAGGTTAAAGTTTTTTAAAAGTGGGCCAAACTCTAAGGTCAAAAGGTCAAAATATTTACTCTCACGGAAAGGTCTTGTCATGATGAATATGAAAGCCCTAACACCAACTAGTACTGTTCAAAAGGTATGCCCAAGGTTAAAGTTGGGTAAATTTTTGCAAAAGTGGGTAAAACTCCAAAGTCAAGATGTCAAATATGTTGGTACCCAGAGAAAGGTGTTGTCACAAGGAATACACTTATGAAATATGAAAGCCACAGCTCTTACCAATCAAAAGTTATGGACAAGGTTGAAGTTTTTGCGGACAAATAGACTAACAGACAACTAGACGGACGGACAGGGCAAAAACTATATGCCCCCGAATCTTCGATTACGGGGGCATAAAAACAGGGCCAGAATTGTATTGAAACCGTTCTTTTTCTTTGCTTAACGAATTAAATTCGTTTTTCAAACTCGACAATTTGTCTTATCGAATCAAAAATAGTTTTGGCAGGTTCAAAATGGGCTTCCGTAGATTTGATATTATGCTTCATTTAAAAGCCAGATTAAGTCCAAAAATATACACCAAACCATGGTTATTCTCTCTCTCTTGTTTTTTTTCTTTTCTTTCTTTTTTTTTGTGTGTGCGTGTGTGTGTGTTTTTTTTCCCCACCCTTGTTTGTTTGCATTATATATGTGTTCTTGTTATAATTTTGATCGAATCCGCGGAGAATTGTAGTGTCCTGAATATTCAAGTATTCAGTGTTTTATTATGCTCATTCTTTGACTCTAAATTTTTCAATCTTACATGAAAATTAAACATATTTTCATAGCACAAATAAAATAGAGGGAATCTATTTATAGTCCAAACTCATATAGAACAACAATATTAGATGATTTTCTATGAACACCCAAAATGTCTTTAAATATCTGGAGTTGTATTTTTGCAAATGGGAAATGATCTGTGGATAATAAATCTCATTTGTAGGTTTCGGACCCCCCCCCCCCCCCCCCGGAATATGCAGTGGTATTAAATGTATATACTTAGGCAAATAAAATTTTACTTCGGACCCCCCTAAGACAACGTGGACCCCAACCACCACCACCGCCAAGAAAAAAAGTTTTTTGAAGTTTGGGAAGGCTTTACGTTTTTTTTAAAAATATTTTCTTTCTTTTTTCTTTCTTCCTTTTTTTTTTATTTGCTTGTCAAGAAATGTTCTCGATTGATAGGGAAAGGAGTTTAGGTTTTCCTTTGGTTGTCAAGAAATTTCTGGGTTGGAGAATTTTTTTTTGATGAAATGGACCCCCCCCCCCCTCCTGGAAAAAATCCTGGATCTACGCCTGATTTATATAAAGAGAAGGTTTATTTTTTATTTCACAGTTTATTTCTTAGGCGGGTATAAGAAGCGTACCTTATCATCTATCCCTTTGACTAGAAATATATATAAAAAAAAAGGGGGGGGGCAAGTCATATAGACAACGTTTGACTAATGTTATAGTGATGTCACACCATTTGATTCTCATAAACTCTCAGATGGAGGCTACTATGATAAATATCTCACGATGAAAAACCAAGAAGACAGCAGGATTCCTAAATTTAGATTCTTCTAATAAAGTCATTGAAATGGTCAATTGTATCACCTTTGGAGCTTGAATCTTAGGAAAGAGGCTTGTACATTTTCAGTGAACTAAAAAGCAGAGAGAATGATTTAATGGTTGAATGTATTTTTATTCTACATTAGAGAACTTGGCCATGGGTCTTATAGTTTGTGGTACTTTATTTGCTCGATTCCAGTTCATTATTAACCCTGAATTCGTGGATGCTGTATTATGGGAGCTAGTCTTTGTCCCCAGAACTGTCTCTCACAAAGAGTAGCACTGAATTCCAAGTCAGAAACGGGGAGGTAAGATGTTGAAGCAAGTTAGAGATTTAGGATAATCTCTGGTCCAGAGTTGACTCTTTAAGTTACACTGTTAAGTCATAGAAGCAGAAAGAGCAAATTAGAAGATGATGAATGAGTTTATTAACACGAATCAATGTTCAGAATGAGGATCAGTATGATGAGTAAATAGAACTATATGAATGTATTTTATTGTAAAAAAAAAACAAAACAAAACAAAGAAAAAAACTGGTTTTTGAATGAAGAAAATGTTACTAAAAACAACTAGCTAAATGAGATTCTATGAATTAAAATAATGATGACAGCTACCACAGAATGAGATACTAATATGCTACAGAGTGATGATGAGTGTATAAAGGTGTAAGATATTTATGATGTACAGTTGATAGTAGATGTGATGATAATGATATGATAATGATGACGATGATGATGATGATGATGATGATGATGATGATTGTTGATCAGTAAAAGTCATGAAATGGCTGCCCAGAATCCCACTCTCTATCTTATTGTCTCTGACAGTTCTATGTTTCCATTATTTAGTTCATATCCTGGAACTTAATCATAAAAAAGTCCTCTGGGTCACGCTGACCTAGCAGTTTCTTCAGTTTTGTGTTCATCCTCTCAACAAAGTTTGACTTTCTAAAGCGGAAAGTGGAGCCTAACTTCTGTGGCTGGGGATCCTTGTTCTTGGCCAAGAAAGCTCTGGTTTTACTGAGGTGACTTTGAAATCTTTTGATCTGTAATGGCATTAAAATCTATATTGGTTCTACTGCCTCTTAATCTTGATTAATGATATACAGGGAATTTTATATTGGTTTTACAGATTTAACATTGTTATTTTCTTAGTGTATACTTACATTAAAAATTGTTTCTTCACTGTCTTCTAGAATTCTTTGATAATTTTCAGCTGCTTTTGAATTTCCTTAACAAATAAAATACAATTAATTAGAATAAAATGCATGTATTATGAATGATTGAAAACATGACTAAAGCAGTGCATTAATTATTTCACAAGTCAAAATTTGAGATGACGTGTTGAAATGTTGAAAAAAAAAGCTATCACAATGTAAAAATAGAGACAAAATATCATGAAACGTTTAAAAATTTAATCATCTATAGACTTGAACTCGCAGTTTGCATGAAACAATATTTTAAGAGAGCCCTCCATGACTCATATTTATTAATTATAACATATTGATATTGGTCTTTATATACAATTTACGTATAAAGTACATATATATTTAACGTACCATTGTTGGCCAGGTATAATATATGTTGATCCGACATTCTTTGAAGGGTAGACAAGTCTGTCGCCGTCACGGAATTTTTCCCTAGATCTTCCATAAACAAGAAGGCAAACAAAATGTACTTCTTCTGTTGATCTATAAATAAATATATAAAGAATAAATAAAATAATTTTAATTATGTGATGTTACATGATATAATGAACAATTTAACACACTGTTACATGTTATAAGAAAAATGAGATTTATCATCATACATGTATATCTTACCAGTGACATCTTTCTTGTCGGAATACGAAAATCTGGCATGTTTGCTTGTTGTTTCTTTTCCGTACAAAAAGATCAGGATTTGAAGAATATTCTTTCTCTGGTAAAAATGAAGGAAACAGTTAGTATATCTTCTTCCCTATAATCTTTTTTACCAATTTCTTTATTTAATAATACAATTTGTGATAATTTTCATTCATCACAAATTTAAATGGTTTCATGTCGTATTTTATTCATATCTTCAATATCTGAAGCTGAAAACATGAACAATGATTTCATACATTACTGACACTACCACATTTTTTGACAAATTCAATTCAGGCTTACCACAGGAGTCATTGTCATTGTGTTAGTTTTTGACACGTATTCTAGCAAGCTTGATCTTAAGCGCTGCTCGAATGTCTTTTTTCCAAGGCTCTCCATATTTCGCAATCTAAGAATGATTTCTAAAATGCCTCCGTGTGATTTTTAGTACACAAAACACCAAAAATGGTTCGCAACCTTTGTGACGTCAGTGGACTATTATGCAATGTTATTATGACGTCACCAATACTCCCCAAAACCAATCGGGAAAGTTGCGAATTGAACATTCCCGGAAAACGGTTTTTACTCGTATCGAAACTAATTTTTGCAGCGGAGTCTCCTCATACATCTTTGAATTATAATACCTTTAAATATTGTAATTAAAATATTGCTAAAATCAGCAATTTATTCATCTCTTTATATGCCCACATTTATATAATTATGTAACATTCGCTTTAATTTACATGTCTTGTTGTATATACATATGCATGTACATATGGCTCATTAATATTTTGTGTATTGCTTTATAACGCTGAATAACAGAATATAATACGAGGTATTATTCAGCGGATTCAATGGATGGAGGAATATACATGTAGTTAATATAGTAGCACAAATTCTCATGCTTATACATGTACAGAGTAGTTGTCTATACGTGCATGTAAACTTGTATCGTCGCAAACCTCGGCCAAATTGTAAATATTCCGGTAGGAGAGAGCTGTATGTGGACTCAATCTTGAGACGATGCATGGTAAACATGATAATGTTTATTTATTGTTTTGTACATGTAACAGGAGAGGAAGGAAATTCGACGGACCAGACCGGGATTCGAACTCGGGCCCCCTGAAGTTCCAGTCAGACAACAACTCAGGCTCTTCCCTGGCAAGTCTTCCACCTGTTACTTCCAGCGCCATCGTCGCAAACCACAGCCAACTCTGAGAGTCATAAGCGGACTCTGGACCGTGGCTCGAGACGATTTTTCCAGCGCATGGCACGGCACGAAAATATATGTAACTGGAGACGAGAAATGCGACGGACCATACCGAGATTCGAACCCAGCCTGGCCCCAATGAATCTCAAGTCAGGTGCTCTACCAATTGAGCCATCTTGCCACCTGCGATTTGACCGCCACAGTATCATTTTTTGCTAAAAAAACATTATAATTGAAATGTTATAACTCAAAAGTAACATTTAATTCATTAGCATTTAGGCTGATACACGTAATTTTATTCTAAATGCTCCTGCGATTACATTTTCTGTTAAAAAAATTCTTCGACTGTATCATCAAACATAAATCACCTTTGTTGACGTGTATTCTGAAATTTAGGCGAATTTGAAGCAAACTGAAAATCCTTGGCCTTTTCCCTCCGACTCTATACAAAATATTAAGAAATGAACCAAGCACAGACTTTAAAATATACATATTAGAAAAAACACGTTTTTAGAATTGCATTATAAAATATAGGTTGTGTATTATATTCAGAATATCTATAGAAAAGACGTAGAATTGGTTCTATCATGCCATGTTATTGTCCCTCACATTAACGTACAACACTTAAAAATTCAAGGTCATAACACGAGGTCACGGCTGGGGAGGGATATCTGTTTTTCACTAAGAAAATAAATTTTAGCATTTTTAAATATAAGAAACGCTAATCAATATTCGATAAGCTTTTGTTTGAAGTCGATATCTATGGATTCATCTCAGCATAGTAAAATGGTTATATATATATATATATATATATATATATATATATATATATATATATATATATATATATATATATATATATATATATATATATATATATATATATATATATATATATATATATATATATGAATTGAGGGAGGGGGTATTACTTCCTGAAAACTTTTGTATATAGGCAAATCTTATTGAGAACAAAAAGAATTTAATTCAAAGAAAAATGATTAACATAAATCCTTTTGATATTACACATCAGAAATCCCTTTAAAGTGACTACAGAATCTGATATATAGATGCATGCCTGTGAATTGGTTTCCGGCGGAAGTAATTACTGCAGACTTCCTGTGGATTTTTGTGTAAACTCAAAGAGAAAGTGGTCATTTATTGACTGCTCATACATCCTCTAACAGGATTTTGATTTTTGTATGATTCACACACGATCTATTTTTATCAATTATATCATTTATATGCAAAGTGTGAATACTTGGTAATTAAAAAAAAAGTTTGACTTATAGCCAGGACACATGCTACAAACAAACAAAAGGTATATATTTTGGATGTAAATATGCATAAATATGAAATGTCTAAGATATAAGAAATTATAGATTTCTACGGTTTTTCAAATTTCTTCGTTTTTGCCATCACCTTTTAAATCTATATTTACTAGCTCACCTGAGCCGAAGGCTCAAGTGAGCTGTTTTGATCGAAGAGTGTCCGGCGTCCGTCTGTCGTGTGTCATTTGTAAACTTTTCATATTTTTGACTTCCTCTCCCTCTTTCAAGGGCAGGTAATTAAGAATTCGTCTTCTCAAGAACCACTAGGACAGAAAATAGGAAACTTATGAGAAAGCTTCATTATATACTGTAGATTCAAGTTTGTTCAAACCATGACCCCAGGGGGTAGGGCGGGGTCACAACAGGGAATCAAAGTTTTATATAGGAATATATATAGGAATATACATAGGAAATATCTTCTGAAGAACAGCAAAGCCATGATAAGTCAAATTAATATACAGAAGCATCCTCAGGTAGTGTAGATTTTGTACAAATCATGAACCACTGGGTGTAGGGTGGGGTCACAATAGAAGATCAAAGTTTAACACAGGAATATATTGAGAAAAAAAAACTTTTAAAAAATCTTCTCTAGAATAGCGAAGACATGATTAATCATATTAATATAGAAACATCCTCAGGTAGTGTAAATTCCAAGATTGTTCAAATCATGACACCTGGGGGTTGGGTGGGGCAACAACAGGGGATCAAAGTTATACATAGGAATATATAGGAAATATCTTTACAACTCTTCTTCTCAAGAACAGCAAAGCCATGATTAGTCATATTTATATGGAAGCATCCGAAGGTAGTGTAGATTCTATTTTGTTCAAGTCATGACCCCCTGGGGTAGGGTAGGACCATAATATGTCTTCAAAGTTTAACATAAGAATATAGGAATCTGCTGATGAAGAGCAGAAGGGCCGTAGTAACTTGTCACTTTATAGGGCATGAATAAGAGTGGTCAACTAAACCGTCGAATGACAGCTCAATTGATCAAGAATAAGAGTGGTCAACTAAACCGTCGAATGACAGCTCAATTGATCAAGAATAAGAGTGGTCAACTAAACCGTCGAATGACAGCTCAATTGATCAAGAATTAGAGTGGTCAACTAAACCGTCGAATGACAGCTCAATTGATCAAGAGACGGTTGAAATTTTTCTTTTAATTCAAATTATTTTATATTGCTCCTACATTAAGCATGGTAATAATACAACTATCATTTGCTAGTTCGTCTTCTCATTGACGATTGACTGTCTATGAGCACTCTGTTATACCCCTTTGGAGGTCTATATTTAAGAGGGCTGGGTGGTTGTGGCCATTTTCAGACTATATTGATCTCCTTTGGAAGAAGAGCTCCATATGAAGATATACAAAAATGATCAAATTTTAAAACTAAAATGTATGAAACTATTCTTTGCCAAATGATAGTTCACAGCTTAAGATATCATATCTAAAAAATTAAGTTATATCTGATGGTTAAATTGTTGACCCCCCAGCCTCCTTAAATTCCGGGTATCGATTATCTGTCAATTGCATAATGTATCAATCATACTACCTATATATATATAGTTAGATGGCAAAATCCTTCTTATATATGGATTTTTGTTTATCTCCACGTCAGGAGCCCTGAGTCCACTCGTGGTCCCACAAACTTGAGTGGACTCAGTCTGACCCCTGACACTGTGATGATGATTTTTGTTACATGTATGACGTATCGTTTTACCACGAGTGATTGAATGACATAGGGACATGCAGTAATGTAATGATGATTATATGCTCCTGACTTCATTCACGAACAGCGGGTTCAACAAGTAAAATTCCTGCCTGTGTATATATTGATTATACAGAACTCATTGTAGCTAGACCGAGACCGCCATAATAATCCACACCGGAACAGATTGTTTTAAGTTTAAAATGTCCAATTAAAATCAAAAGAGGCTCGAATTATCTCAAGTGAAACCACGTGACTTGTAAGAAGAGGAAGGCTGCACTTTTTTTTAATATTTGGACGGAACCGAAAGCAAGGAAGCGGAGTGATGAGTCATGTAGGTTATAGTATTCTGTGAGTTCTGTCAACATGTGGACGCTGATCTATCTGTTTCTTGCCTGTCTGGGTCTCTTGGGTAAGTGGATAGATTAAAGTTTTTAATTATGTCCAAATTATGCTAATGTCATACATATAGAAACGGATATAATATTTGTTTTAATTATTCGGAGGAGACTCGTACATTTTAGTGTGTCTACCATATTCATTGACTGCTGATATCTATAAATCAAGAGAGAGGGTTAGTTATTATTTATTTTTTCTTTATCGAAACTGAATAAATTTACCTTGAATGTGTGAGCTAGAAAACGTACACTTAATGTAGCATGAAGATACCGGGCATGTTAGATAATATAATTTAACACCTGCCTGAAACGTAATCGTTGTGCAATGTTAACTGTTTATGATCACAATACATCATAGACAAGTTTATTTTGCATATGCTGAATAACTGTAAAAGGTTGACAAACTAGGTTTATAGGGGCACACAAAAATAGTCTTCGCTACTGAGTAACTAGCACAACGTGTAATTAATATCTTTAAGTGTCAGTCTCTTTAAAACACTGACTCGACTTTAGATGTTATCATTTTAGAGTCCTTATTCTGTACATGAAGAGTTTTTTGTGTTTAAGTATTTGAGAATAAAATTCCTGTTCTCGCGGAATATTTCTTGACCGATTCTAAACAGCCATTAACCGACTGAAAAATTTATACCGTCCCTAAAAATACTACCTGCATGGCATTTCGTATACATCCAATTATAATGAGCCCCAAAACAAATACATAAACGTAATTTAACTCGATTGAGAGACTAATAAATAAAAAACAGGTTCAGCATTCTACAGATGACAGTGAAATTTAATATTAGGCAAGACTACAACTATTTGCTAAACAGATCTTGTTACATAGCTTGCAAAGACAATAATCAGGTTCTATGGTTTGTTAATGTAGCTTAAATTAAAACATTGGTTGCAATGGATTTTCAGTCCCAGAGGAGTAGGGAATATGAACGAACTGTAAATGATATTCGGAAAGTATTCAGTCTTTATAGACTTGAATTGGTATTAATTCTGTCCCACTAACATGTAGTACTTTTTATGTTGAAGTTTCTGTCAATTCTCCCATTCCAGAAACAGTATATATAATTATACTCGCTACAAATAGTTTTATTTCAGTATTGAAATGTATGCCAAAGGGAGAGCCCATGTCCATTTAATTGCAGTTCTTGTACGGGGATGTACTATGAAAAGATTTACGTTCGACAATATTTATAAGATCTATCGAACGATCGAATGAACGAAATTTATGCATAGACAAATTTCATGCAGTTATACAAATCACATACAATAGTGAAGGCTCTACTTGAAAGCTTTGCTTTACAAAGAAATGAATAAATAAATGAATAAACAATTGGTTGCAGATAACGATGTCCGTGTTGCCAGTTTGTTACTAATGGACCACAGATTCTAGACATGTCCATATTCTGATGTTTTACAGGGATTATCAGATTGATATTATCCTATAGCATGCATGCATTAGTATAATTAGATATCTGCTTCAATATCAAAAGATAAAAGCTTTTCATGGTATGGAGAAAAAATGTTCTTCTTTAAACCTGGATTTGGCATGCACATCTTGCCTATCAGACGGTATACAGAGAGGATTCTGAGGGAAAAGTCTCCGTAATGGGTAGGGGAATATATCGAGATCCATTTCCTGTTGTGAGAGCAATTTTGAACGATAAACTGGCCTTGTTATTAAAAAAATTGGAGAGCGTTTAGGTTTTGAGTTTCTCTGTTATTTAGGTGAGAGAGAGAGGCTCTGTTACGTATATTTTTATCTTTACAAGATAATTGTATCGCAAAATACTCAGCATGTCTTTTGCTAGGCAAGGTCATGTACGGTTACTTCAAGGTCACTAATCTGTTTATTCTCAAGGTGTCCAACCACTGAATATTATCAAAAGATCATTCGTATCCATCGACGATATGGATAGCCTAAATATATTTACCGTTTATCAATACATGTTTTAGAATTTGTTAATTGTACATCGATCTGGCTTTGATATGTACACATTTATGTTCATGTACACCAAGTGTTTGTGGTATTTCACATAAAATCTCTGATAATTGAAAATGTCGAAACATGTAAATATACCATTATCTATTTTTCAATACTTCCCCATAAAGAAGCAAAATTTTAATGTTACGCTTACTGACATTGCAATACAGTACATTAGTACACTGGCAGATTTAGAGGGGGCGGCCCCCCTCTTTTGTGTCCAAAATATACATAAGATTTAATAAAACAATTTATTTGGTGTGTCTGTGGGCCCCTACCCCGACCCCAAACTGGTCGCACCCCCCCCCCCCCTTTCAAGATTCCTGGATCCGCCACTGTAGTAATAAGAGGCCTAACTTTGTTATTTATTTCTCTAGAGTAATTAAGGATTTCTGTATTCAGAAAAGATTTCGCGGTAAAGTAGAGGTGTTTATATTCAGTCGAACACCACTTGACGATAACATGGAGATTCTTGTCATCTCAAATGTAAACAACAGGAAGCCATCAAAAACTCCTGAAATTATTTAAAAAAATATCAAAATATTTGCCAAGTATGAGATCAGCTTCAGAATTGGACCGTCATTGAAGTACCATTAGTCGTTAGCCGTAAACACGAGGAGTGATTGTTACATCATTGATTACTGTGGTTTATTGCATATGGGCGTCAAATAAAATCGGGGGGTTTGTAAATTGTGGTTATGAACCATTTTTTTCTTATCAGTGCAGCAAATGAACCCACGCCTTCTTAACATCACAAAATATCAATCAAGCACGTACTAACGAAATGCATATTTCCGTTGAAGAACTTTTGGAAGCGTTCGAATTGTTTTCTTTGTGTCAACGATTATAATTATGTTCAGAATTTTATAAAAAAGTAAAGCTTCATGCAGTTCCAGAAACTCAGTTTCTGAAGTTTAGGTTTAACGTGTCTCCTCTTTAACATTTATTGAACAACAGTCAATCCCCGTTATCTCGAACTCGATATCATTCTTAAGTGTGCCGAGAGTTTGGACTTTTTTGGGGAAAAGTGAAAATGAAATCGAAAGTGAGATCATCTAAGTTTTATGTCCCTGAAGCCTGATGCGAAATGTACAGCATACGTCACATTTGACGATTCGGTGTGACGCAACTGAGGCATAGGCATGAAATCACGTATGAAAAATGTAAATATAGTGGATGAATACTAGGATACTTATGAATGGGTTTCTTTTAGACATAAATCGACGTTTGAAATCTTAATTCTAGATTTTTTCCCCGCTAAATTTTCACACATTCATTTTAAATGTAAGAGAATATTTTCTAATGTGTATGAATGCACTTTTCCCAAAGATTTTCTATTCTTCCTTCTCTCTTCAATTTGTTTTTATATTGCATGACGCTTTGTAACAATTTGTAACAAAAACTGGGGACACGGTTTATTTACCTCAAGTGCTCCCATGTTTTGCAGTCCAGTTATTTGGCTTCTGTTTATTTTTTTTTTTTACTTTCAATGTAGCGAACGCACTTAAGAAATGAACCAGAAAGGATAAGTACAAGATAGATAGATAAGAAAAGGCACGTGTTTTCTGGCGGTCACAGGTTTTTTATTTTCTTCATTACAACATAAACAGTCATGTGGCTTTGCTATCACATCATTAAGCTGCGGGAACTATCATCGACAAACTTAATTCTGTTATCGATATAAACAACTCTCTATCATCATTAATGTATGTATTGACAACTTTCATTTCATTTTTGTGCACCTTAAAACATCGTTAGTTTGATGAGAGCTAGAGATAGACGAGGTTGGCACGGGCCACAACGCTCGCCTGACCGGAGATGATTTGTTAAATTCTTTCTTTGGAACAACTGTATTGTTCCAAAAGAAGAATATAAAGTGAGTTTTTTGTGAAATGATTAAATATTATAATATCAAGTTAATCTCTCTCTCTCTTCTGTCTGGTTTGTGTTATTGTTTAATTTATGAGAGAACCAAATTTACTCGAGGTCATGACAGAAATATTTCACCACATGTATCGTAGAATATATATAGAGAGGAATTTGCACTGCCTGTTTTATGCAAAAGAATGACGTACGAAACTGTAGTGTATCAAAGGATTTATTACATGGAAAAGTCAGGAAATACGAAACAGCTTTTTATTTATGAATACCATTGTATTATTTTCTAATAAATGGGCTATATACTTGAGGCATAGCTAATTTGTATATTATTAACTTGCCATCCTCTCTTTAGAGATGTATGATCATAAAATTACTTAATGTGAGAGAGGATTTTCCTCTAAATGAGTACACTTTGCCTGTTCCGTGTTGCCAACCACGATAAAATTCCGTCATGCATTTAGAGATCATTAAAAGGTTAACCTAAGATAGTGTCAGACACTGCTGGTGCCTGGAGCCCATTACGACAGGTGCACTGTATAATGTTCAATAACTGCCCAATGTTTGGTGGGTGCCTCTTGACCTTCAAAAACGCTTATATTAACATTAACAATTGAAAAAAAGAACATTAACTTGCGACTACTTTCAAATTTGACCGTCTTATTAGCATTTTTAATTTTCTTTACAGAACATCTTATAATTCACGCCAAGTCACAGCTTGAACCTATGCGCTCTAAAATGATCCAAATTCAAAACATGCATTGGATGTTATACATGTATATTCACAGTTTCTGACTGATTAAGTTGTTGTTGATCCTCACATCCTGAAAAATTAATTTACTTACAGTTTACAGCCATCATACAAATTCAAAAAAGTCTTGAAGTCTGAGTGATTCCGTGAAAATTGAGGGAAGGTGTCTCATTCAGTCTTAATATATCTTATATATAACCCTCGATCTCAAATATGGATAAATTCTCTGTGGTCATTTGAGCTCTAAGACCAATTTTTAGACCTCTTTAAATTAACTAGAGTTCTTATCAATAGTGAAAGTAGAGATTGTGTGTACAGCGTTTCTAATGACTAATATAATTAACCCAATCCCGGAAATGTGACGGTCGTGACAAGATAATAAAGTACATAAGATGTGATATAGCATCGGATGTGATGTAACTCTAAACTATGACTCAGTAAACAGTAGCAGTTTTATGAATGCCAGACATGAACGAAGCGAAACAGCAGTTTATTTGAGTCTGGGGGAGTTTCACGGGTCACTCTAAGCCTTCATACAGGGCAACCCGCTGTCGGCGCTTCTCTTTATTTCAGAGCGATCTTTTCATCCAGACATGCAGAAAATGATAAATACTGATAAATGATGTAATTTTCTATCAAAGAAATATGCCTCTTTGTGTTTATTGAGATCACAGACACCGTTTTCTGAATGGCGCGCGTAGACCTGTATACTCGTAGCTGAGGCCAGGTTAATGTGGCTTTTCTCGATTTTTGTCATGGTCAGATCGGACTATTTGCAACACCTACTCGATAGCAAGGAACATAGACAAACCAAAAATAGGGGAAACATATTGCAAGAAATGTATACATTTACTAAAATCACTTTGGCGTATCAAGTGCATTCTGCTTTTTATTTCTACATAAAACATGCAGGTCCTACGCTAAACATGCTAACCCTGTTATACAATTCATGTAAAAATCTAAAATACATCGACTGCTTCATTTTTTATTAATTTTGTGCTTGTAATTAAGGAACCTGAGATATCTTGCAAGTCTCGTTTTTGGTGGATTCAGAATAGCTGATATTGCTTAAAGTCGTCACCTTCACATATCTCAAAAGAGTTGAAGCGTAGAAAGTATGTCCCTCAATAAATCTATATCTAATGTTATGACCGAATAGACCAAAATATTGCAGAAGTCAGAAAACGTTCGGGATAATGAGGGATGCTGTAGGGTTCAAAGACTGTAATGCTTTTAATGCAGATACCTGCATTCTCTAATGTTTCTGGAACACAGATTCAAGGACGAGCTCAGCTTGATTTTTAATGATAAAATTAAAAAAAAAGAAAGAAAGAAAAACATTCTGCGTAATACTTATTAGTGCCACTTTGCTAAACTTCTGAATATTGTATCAAAATATAATTAAAGATCAATTCCTACTCGTTGGCAATCGAGACATTAGTAAACATAACAACCAGAATTTGCTAGAAAAATTTTCGTCAAGCGTACATCTCCAAAATGCTTTTGACAAACACCAAGAGATATCACGGACCACGAGCGAAGAAGTCAGTAGACAAGGATATCATAGATATTAATTAGTGAAAAACATTGTATGACCGCATATATAATACATGGTGTATTCGTTGGAAGTGCTGGGAGACCATGCATGTGTGTTAAATATCCTTTGTACATGTATTGAAATGAGTTCTGCGTTGGGAGAGTTGGTACCAAAACCTATACACGTTTTTTTTTTATTCCAATTTAATTTTTTTCAGTGACATTTAGTTAATTATTTTTTGTTCCCCGCTTTTGGCAAAATTAGGTGAAATTAATTTGGATCTGTCCATCTGTCTGTCTACCTGTCCGTCCTTCTGTCTGTATCTAAAACTTTCGTTTGATATTTTAAAAAGTCCTTTAAATTTTGCCATGCTTTTCTTTTAAATATAACAATTCCCCTATTCATTTTGAGGTCAAAAGGTCAATAAAGGTCAAGATGAGAAATTCATATACTGTATAACAAAAATGGTCCCCATGGCCAGATGATAACTTTAGTTCTCTTTGATCTTTTTCAATGCTATTTTATATCATAACTCCTTATGACTTAAAGAAGACACCTGTCTATTTTGAAGTCAAAAGGTTAAGATAAGATTTTTCAACGAATTATATCAACTTTCCCAGGACATAAAAAAGATCCCTTGTTATTGAGGTCAAAGGCCAAGGTCAGAAATTCATTTTTTTTTAACATAAACTGGTTTTTAGATGATAATGTAAGTTTTCTTTAAGGCTTTGAAGTAAATTGTGTGCCATTGCTTAGTTTGACTTAAAGAAGAAACCTCTTGATTTTGAGGTGAAAAGGTCAGAGACCAAGGTCAGAAATTCATATATTACATAATTTTTAGATGAAAATTGTTGTTCTCTTTAAGCTTAGTTTATCAATGAAACTTATAGAAAGCTTGTTTTTCTTTCCCAATCTGCATTTTAAAGATCTTCCGTTCTTTTATTTTGTCCTTAAGCGTGGGGAAATGAATGCCCTGAATTAGCTTGGTCATTTTTTAACTTGCTTCATCTTTAATCCAATAATCAGAACATCGTCACTTTGGCCACAAACAGAAAATATTTCCTTGAGAACTCTAATTATGTCAAGAGGGGAGATAACCCAAGCGTTGTTATAGTGACCATCGGTGAACACCGGGCAGCAGTCTTTTTCAAATCCAAATTACTTACAGTTTTTATGAGCTTGCCAGACAAATGTTGAATTGATCATGAGCTTTGAGGTTTTGACCCTGAATCAAGTTTATATATGTAAAACGTCAACATTTGGAAAATGAAGTCTGATTAGCTTCAGCGAAATATAATTTTCAGACCTGTAATGTAGCCTCAAGATCAGCTAATGACCCCCGTCTATGGCTGGTAAATTCTAAGTGATTACTTGTATACATTTTTCATATTGTCAGGTTACACGGAGAGCAGGTCCACCTGCCCCCCAGAGGCCGTGCAGACCGTCAGAAACTGTATCAGCTCCTCCATTCCATCCTTCGCACCCTCAAAAAAGTACACCCTGAAGGCCGAGATAGAAATCATGTGGGGGGCTTGTAGGTATGTAGAAATATCAAATATAGGTTTAAAATTTGATTATACTGTCAAAAGGTTTAGAATTGGATTATCCACAAACTGGACAGTCTATCAACATCAAGTAAAATATACCGAACAACTGGGTATTACATCTCTTTCGTTCTACTGAGACTGTCGTAGATTTATATAGGTAAGTACGGTAACCGTATACACCCTGTCAAAGAACATATACATTTAGGTACACTTAAAAGCATTTCTCTTAAATGGTTCTAGCATAAATTTGACACACTGCTCGGTATGATGGTATCATGTTAAACAATAAAATGCTTTCTTTGGTTGTTAGTACGAGAATTAATGTCGCAGCTGTTGCAGAAAAAATACGTAACCCGCGTAAGCAGGTTATGTAATTTTTTTTCTGCAACAGCCGCGACGTTAATTCCCGTACTAATAACCAAAAAAAAGACATTTTATTGTTTATATTTATATCTGTATAAATAATCATTTAAAGTAGGATTAAAAAGATTAATTATTTTACTATTGATATGTACGTCATACCGGTAGTACGTTTCATTGATGGAACAGCCACTTATCAAGAAATCTGTACAGGTGATATGCCTAGTTTTGTTCATAAACTGATAAACGGCAATGGTTTTCTTTAGAAATAAAGGAGGAAATATTCAGTGGATGTAAATATTTAACAGTTAGGTCCTCAATCCTCTACTATTTCGTACATACAGACACCGATTTAACCTAGTTTCGAATATTCCAATGCGCAGAAATGTGAATTACATAAGTACTAATGAAGTTGATTGTTTGTGACATGTTTTTGATTCCCTTATTGTAAATACTTAAAATTCAGGCGGAAAGACGAAAAAGTATACATGTAGTTGATTTTTTGGCATTTAATTGGATCTAATGAGTCACTCTGAGTTCAGTGGTAACGTTCATTCTGACCTTTATGGGATATAAATAACAATTTAGTCGCTGGTTCACAGTTTGTTATGCGCAAGTAATTTTGATAATTGTACGTTTAATCTGATCAAGGTCTCCATTTGTACACTAGTTTATTGTTTGGGATCGTGGCGTGCTGTTTTGTAAGGCTACCATATAATGCGTCTATAGCTTAGGCTTGATTAGGCCTCTAACTGTATAAAAGTCTAAGTTCTTAGGTCTTCTAGTTGTCTAGATCTTTCAGCATAATCTAAGTCTCTTATTGCACACTACATGTTAAGACTACAGATTTTCCAGCATAATCTAAGTCTCTTATTGCACACTACACGTTAAGATTACAGATTTTCCAGCATAATCTAAGTCTCTTATTGCACACTACACGTTAAGATTACAGATTTTCCAGCATAATCTAAGTCTCTTATTGCACACTACACGTTAAGATTACAGATTTTCCAGCATAATCTAAGTCTTTTATTGCACACCACACGTTAAGATTACAGATTTTCCAGCATAATCTAAGTCTTTTTTTGCACACCACACGTTAAGATTACAGATTTTCCAGCATAATCTAAGTCTCCTATTATACAATACAGATTAATATGCAGATCCTCCAGCGTAGTCTTAGATTACAGATTTTAAAGCACAGTGTAGGTCTTCCAGACAAGTCTATGTCTGCAATTGTACATTATACTTGAACATTGTACGTCTTCCAGTCTAGCTGAGGCCTCTAACTGTGTAAAGCGTGTGATGTACATACAGATGTCTAGTATTACACTATAACATAGTAGATCTTCCAGTCTAGCTGAGGCCTCTAACTATGTAAAGCGTGTGATGTACAGATGTTTAGTATTAAACTATAACATAGTAGATCTTCCAGTCTTGCTGAGGCCTCTAACTGTGTAAAGCGTGTGATGCACAGATGTCTAGTATTACACTATAACATAGTAGATCTTCCAGTCTAGCTGAGGCCTCTATGTAAAGCGTGTGATGTACAGATGTCTAGTATTACACTATAACATTGTAGATCTTCCAGTCTTGCTGAGGCCTCTATGTAAAGCGTGTGATGTACAAATGTCTAGTATTACACTATAACATTGTAGATCTTCCAGTCTTGCTGAGGCCTCTAACTGTGTAGTATTACACTATAACATTGTAGACCTTCAAGTCTTGCTGAGGCCTTTAACTGTGTAAAGCGTGTGATGTACAAATGCCTAGTATTACACTATAACATTGTAGATCTTCCAGTCTTGCTGAGGCCTCTGTGTAAAGCGTGTGATGTACAAATGTCTAGTATTACACTATAACATTGTAGATCTTCCAGCCTTGCTGAGGCCTCTAACTGTGTAAAGCGTGTTATGGACAAATGTACCGGGATGACTGATGAAGAACAGAATCTACAGAGACTTTTCAGCCACAAGGATATAGAACATACCTATAGATACTTCTGTGACAATTTCGATCGTACGTACCATCACGGCAAATACTCCTGCTATTAAAAACGGGGGTGGGGGGGGGGGGGTGGGGGGTGTTACTGTGCTGTGATAAGGGGGGGGGGGTCACCTGATTGTCACTTGAGTCTCTCAGATGACATATTGATCGATTCAAGATTTACTCTAAGAAATCACTGTCCTGAAATCAGATCATTGATTGTTTTGTAATTTTCAAGTTACCTTGACGAATATCTTATCAACCAATTCACATCCAAGTTCATTTTATTGTAGTAGGTTAATTTGCTTTTCTTTCTTAAAGGTGCTTGGACACAGATTTGAAGTTAATATTTTCTCAAATTTTCTGTATAATTTCATGACTTACATGTTGCTATAGCATTTCATACTAAAATATAATAAAAATCTTATTTCATCTCAAAGTTATTAAAACTTCGAATTTCTGGACGCGTTTTCACATATTTTAATTTTATTCTTAATACTCAAGAAAAGTGGCAATTTTGTTGTGTATTAATGAAAAATATTAAAACTATAACCCAGAAAATTCAGAGTAGAAATGTTCGAAAGCAAAACCCACTCACAGTATTGTAAGTCCGTGCTCAGTGGTGTGTGCAGAGTTTAACAATTGAACACACCCGGTGATTCGTAAACATTAACAGAGCTCGAGCCCTGTTTACAAAAACAGTTTACGTTTCACGGGTGGTGTTCAATTTGTTAAACTCTGTACACATCACAGAGCACGGACTGACAATACTGGTGAATTGGTTTTGCTTTCGAACATTTCTACTCTGAATTTGCTGGATTATAGATGAAATATTTTTCATTAATACATAACAAAATCGCTTCTTTTCTTAAATATTAAGGATAAAGTTAAAATTTGTGTAAGTGCAAAGATGTGTTAATCAAACGCGTCCCGGAATTCGTAGTTCCAATAATTTCAGATAAAATAAGTTTTTAATTTTATTTTCTTGTGAAATGCTATTGCAATATATAAGTCGTGATATTATACAGAAAATTTGATAAAATATTAAGTTCAAATCTGTGTCTAAGCACCTTTAATGAATATGTCAGCTTTTTCACTGAATCATACGGATATTCTATTGTTTCTTGTAGTGTATGAAAAACACATAGGGTGTATTCAAGATCAACATCAGGCTGCCACTAACTGCTCTCGACCTCAGATGGACAGCTTTAAAAGGAAAATAACGGCCAAATCACCTATTGAGGTCATGATATTGTCTAGTTGTTCGTGAGTATATTATCCGGCCCTTTTTTCTTTTACTAGAAGTCGCCCGCGTGGCGCAGTGGTTAGAGCGGTCCTTCCGATGAGACCGTATATATATAAACTGAGGTCCCGTGTCGCAGTAGGTGCTGGCACGAAAAAGATCACTCACTGCTCAATGGCCCTCAGTGCCGAGTATAGGTTAAAATTTGTAGCTCTCCACCGGCAAAGTGGTGGCGTCTCCGCATGAGTGAAAGTTCTCGAGAGGGACGTTAAACAATAAACAAACTTTTTGCTAGAATGTGTATAGTGCGATGATTTAAAAATCCTCAAGTACAATATGCAGGTGCACTTTTGGCTTGGTGAATACTGTACATGTACTTCTCGGATAGCGAAATCACCGTATTGACCCCCAAATAGCAATAATTGTATGTTATAGCATTTTTTAACTTGACATCTCTTGGAGTTTAAATTATCTAATCACAGTAATCTTGTATTCAAAGAATGTATTGTATAAATAGTGTGACATAACCATGCCGAACTTTGATTTTCCAGCACCCACCAGATAATGACCGAGTGTCTGTTAGAGCCAGTGAACCAGAACTGCGGGGACAGAGCTGCCATGTTCTTAGAACACATCACGTTAAACCAACGTCCACCAGTGTGCCATCCTCTGACGCCAAAGTACAGCAGTCTTCAGAATGACCAACCTAACAGTGCCATCACGTCAGCAATGACGTCAGGGACCATATGGGGCTCTGTATTATTTATGTTTGCTTGGAATTTAATGTCATTCTGAATTACCCTAAAGTAATAATCTTGTACTCTAACGATGCAAAAATCGTTTAAAAATATGTAAATTTAAAAAGTTATTAATTACCTTATTTGTGCAACAACTTCGTAAGTCATCAGTTTGCACGTTCAAGACTATATGAGATGCGTCCAAAGGAATTATCCCCTCGCTGCCTCTTGTGATATATCAACCTTACCGGTGTTGAATCAAAGCCACCATTGATGCACCTAGGTAGCCGTAAAACAAATGGTACATTCCATTGCCTCATCATGCAACGCCGACAAAACAACGCATGTGGCTGCTGCTTTTTTTTAGTCCCACAAACCCTGTATGTAGCTTGTACATGTAATGTACAAATCAGTCGTCTGTTACTTGCTGTGAATACTTAGCATCAATGTATATATCGTCGCAAGCCACGGGTTTTTTGTCCATTTTATTTCCACAAACCCCCCGGCATTGTAACCCTTGGCTTGCGACAATGTGCACATATATATGCAACTTTTTAAATGTATATGCGCAAATACTCATCTTACGTTTGAATTTACTGTTACAGTATAACTTGTCATATTTTGTTCTGCATGGATAGTTCGACTGTGTTTTATCATTTTGTTTTTGATAAATTTAATATGTGCCATATAACTGTTATAAGCTGGAGAAACATGTATAACTGTTAAAATCAGTCCCTATAAAGGATCCTTTATTACCTCCGCAGAAGTAGCTTAGGGGTTATGTTTTCATGTATATTTTACTTGTCCGTCTGAAAGATATGTATATTTTACTTGTCCGTCTGAAAGATATGGAAACAGTTCGGAACAGAATTTGATTTAAAATGTACTGTGGACGGGGAAGAATCAATGGGTTAGACCGACCTAGGTAAAAAAAAAATTCATTATCAGTTGAGAGATCTCAGAAAAGTTACAGTTTTAATAAAATGAGGAAACTTTGCCTTTTGGACAAGGGAGAATTATTAACTAAAATTTATTGTATCTTAAAAGGGAATTTCATGAATTCTATAGTAGGAGAGACAACTCTAGATTCAACAGTATGTCTTCCTCTCCATGTGCCATCTATATATAGAGTTTATTTACTGTACATACTGAAATTATAAATTATGTTCATTATTTATTTCAAAATTAGTCATCTTTTAAAAAAATGTGCAATATGCATATTAAAAAATAATAAGCATTTACGGTTGTTAATTGCCCAAGCAGATCTTCAACATTGTTCAATTTTATTACAAATTTTTAAAGCATATTGTCTTTGGAGAGCAATAAATTTTTAATAACAAAGTATGCAGAAGTCTTTAATTTTTATTGCAGATCATCTTTCCTTGGCACCAAACATTTAACAACAACATGTGTATGCAGCATTTACAATCTGATTATAGAAATACCGCCCCAGAAAAATAACACAACAATTATAAAAGCAATGCCTCATGAAAGCACAATAACTCTCCTAATAGGCATGGCAAAAGTTGTAGAAAATCCAAAACCTTTTCTCCAAATCTTTGAATTTGGGGGGTTACAAAGGATCAAAGGACTGAATGGCCTCACAGGCTGATGATACAACAACTATGCTGACAAATTTAATGATCTTAACATTTAAATATTAAATAAGTTTACAATAATGTTAATAAAAATATAAATTCAGTTATCAATGAATTATGAAATGAAGAATGTTATTCAATTATTAAAATTTGAGTGCATTTGGTATTGATCTATCTATCTTTGCAGTTAAAAACCAGTCTTCCTTCCAAATTGTGACACAGTGACAATTCTGTCATTTTGTACGACAAGCAATAGTAAAATTCAAAGCAACAAAAAAACATTCACCCATAAAAAATACCAAGAGTGGAGATCTGAACAAATTTTTGAATGAAATGAAAGTAAGTGAGTACACATATATAAGCTGCACTTTTTTTTCTTATACGACAGGATGGAAGAATGATGAAACTCACAACACTAGGAAATTGTGGTAAATGTATATCATATAAAAATAAAATTTATTTAGAGTTGGAAATGTTACACTAAAAGGAGTGTTGGTGAAATGAAAATTGATTTAGTAAGGACAGATGTTCCAAGAGAATATCCTTACATCCTACAGAGAGAGTTAGTGTCCATAACAATGAGAACGTATGCACAACAAAGAAAATGTTACATTAAATTTTCCCTTGTGCTGGCGTATTAAACTACATAGACAAAATACTTAACATTTGTGTATATAAATACAATACATGAAGTAGGAAAAATATATATGTACAGTATGTCCATTAAAATTTAAAAAATCAATTATATTGCAAAACAGAAGTATACAAAATAAAATATACCAAATCTTATCACAGTTAACAATCACAAACTATTCTCAGTCTATAGATAGGATGTTTCTGGAATTCAGAACACTGTAGATTCAGAAAGTATAAATTGTAATAAAGATAGAACAAGGGTTTGACCTAATTATCTCTCATAATTCACTTTCTAAGCTGCTGTTTTGTTTATCGACACCAGGTCGAACATATCTTTCCTGGTAATGATGTAGGTTTCCATGGCTTCGGGAAGCCATGGATTCATTCAAAACGGCATTCTCGTTCTGTACCTTTTCTAAACTTTTTCGAGAAGACGAATTCCTCCTGAATGGACTCTCAGATTTTCCAAAACTTCTCCTTCCTTCAGAATCACGAATAAATGGTGAGTCTGGCAAGATCTTTTCGATGCTTTTCCTAAGTTTAGAGTTTCTGAGGAAAGGACTGTCTGTGGACTTCCTGGGGAAACTCTGCTGCTCCTCAGAATTCCTGGGGAAGGTCTGCTGCCCCTCAGAATTCCTGGGGAAGTTCTGCTGTCCCTCAGAATTTCTCAACAACTTCTCCCCTCCTGAACTATTCGAATTTGATATAAAAGAGTTATCTCCCATGTTCGGTTGATTTGATACATAAATATTTTCTTTTTGTGCTTGGTTCTGGGAATTTTGTAGTCTGGTGACCGGGGATGTCATTGGTTTTGTAGATTCTGAAGTTAATCTGACAGAACTTTGTAGCCTGTTGTTTTGGGTTGTTCTTTGTTGTGTAAATTCAAAACTATGAAGATTCTGTGTAAATTCAGAACTACATGTAGTTCTATCTTGATTTTGCTGTCTGGTGGTTTGGACAGATTTTTGTGGAGTAAACTCTGTTCTATCACCACTAGTTTGAAATGTCTTATTAGGTGATATCTGCCTTGTGATGCTACCAGAATTTGTGTGCTGTAAATCTGCTTTGCTCGTGCTTGATGAAGATTCAGACTGTGACCTAATGTTTCTTGGCAACGCAGATGATGGCGAATTTGTTCTTGATTTTGTTTCCAGAAATTTAAATGATGAAAGCAATGATGTAGGTGTGGTTAATGAAAATGAAAAAGGTGACTTTGGCTTGGTTTCCCCTCCTCCATCTAGTAAATTTTCAGACGACCTTGACCTACGTGTAGGTTGACCTTCGCCTCCTGAACTGTTGTGTGGACCTACCCCAGCTGGCTTTTTTGGAATGGCAGAGAAAGAAAATGTCCTTAATGGAGGCTCTGTAGTGTCTGATTGGTAACCTGACGTCTCTCCATCCCACCGTGATCTAGACTCGGGCGGAAAAATAAACGGTGTTCGGATTTCAAGTTTTGGCATCTTTGCTGTAGAGAAGTTGGTAGAGGGGAGTGGAGACCCCTCGTACTCTATAGAGTTTTTGATGGATGTCTCTGAGCTGCTGCGTTTTTTGATTCCCTGTGACAACACCTCAGATTCTTTATCATCTAGAGACTTCCTGTAAAATATGTGAAAAAAAATTATCCTCCACAAAATATTATTATAATACATTTATATGCTTGAAGCTGTTTTACAAAACTAATATAGGGTACCTATTGAGTGAAAATCAGAATTGTTTTAAAACAGATTAACACACGATAAGCAAATCGTATTAGTACACACAATTGATTTTCACTTTATAATTTATGAAATGTCACAAAAATCACAACAAAGCACTTAGTACATGTATTTACAATCAAACAAGATGCCTATGGGCCACAATGCACATCTGAGTAACATTTCTCAAGTAAATATTTAGATAAATGAAATCGTTCATCTGAACATACAGGTTCATTCATAGTTCTATTTTCAACCATCTTACCAACCTTAATATCTTGAACATTTGCATTCCTTAGAATATTGGGACAGTGAACTCACTTTCTGATAGCCTTGTTACTGGATTTAACATATGAGATACAGAGAAAGATACAGCCTTGTTGCTCTTTGGGGGAGTCTAGTATATAATTGTACATGAACCTTGACTGATTCAATGGTGTGCCCCCACCTAGTCCCTGAGGACACTATTTGAATTTTGAATACATAGCAGCTTTCACATGCAGTGTCTTCTAGGGCCTAGTGATTCTTGATCAGAATATATTATTCTTACAGCGGCTTGACAATTTTCTTTAATTACTGTCATCTCCCATCAAAATGGGGCATGATTTTTCATTTGAATAAATTTGAACCAGCTTTACTCAAGGATACTTTTCAGGTTGGAATGATATCTGACAAACTTTGACAAGAATAGTTCACTGGAGCCTTTGGCTCATGTTAGCTAAAACCCACAGTTTAAATATATTTTTATTTCCAGTTATTGTTTACATTTCCAAATTTACCTGTTTACCTGAAAAGCATTAATACTTGGAAAAGAATTTTAGTAAGAAAAATCAAATTTGTTAACAGCTTTCAAAGCAGAGATAGCAAAATAAAAATATTCTTAAAAAGCAGAGCTTTACATCATTACATGTACCTCATCTGTTGTCACACTTTACTCAACCAATTATAAAACCTAAAGTGTACATGTATTCTGAATTAATCAAACATGCTTGCCCTGGTTTATCCTCTACAATTTTAAAAACTACAACTCATTGCAATCAGGGAAAATTAACATCATAAAATGATCCTTTCATAAATGTTCATTAAACTGCCATCAAAGAATATCTGCCATTTATTACTTACATGTAAAAAACTTTTAAAAGTATCTTTAAACCTTAACTACATGTATACTGACTAAAACAATACCTATGTTTATGTCCTAATGTTGACTCCCTGGACATTCCCAGTGACCGTCGGGAGTGGGTACCATTGGGGACGGGTATCTTGGACTTGTCAGCCCTGATGGGAATGTCCAGTTCATTACTGCCCGAAAACAAAGACAGGTACTGGTCCTTCTCTAAAAGAGACAAACAACAAGATGTGTTTGTGAAACACTATGCACCCGGCGGCAACAAAATTCGAAAAAAACTATTTTTAGCAAATAGGTCACAGTCAAGGTCCCAAGGTCATTGACCTTGGTGTCATTTGAAAGAACTTAATTAGTGGAGCATGCATACCAAAGATGAAGTCTTTATCTCTCATGGTTCAAAAGTTATGGCGAAGGTTAAAGTTGACAACAGACAGACAAACAGACAGACAGGAAAAAAAACAATATGCTCCCCCGATCTATCGATTCGGGCGCATAAAAATAGTTATCAGGAAACTTTTAACATTGCTATTAAAAATTTTCAGAAATTTTTTTAATCATTGTGAATGTATGATTTGACATCCACTGTAAAAGCTGACGAATCATGTTTAAACACGGTCAGACAGTATACAAAATAAATGGATATGTTATTATTAACAATTTCAGAACAGCACCTAAAAGCGTGTTTATACCAGTAGAATGTTGTAATTGAGGACCAATCAAATTAATACTTGAAAAAAAAATTAGGCCACAGTCAACCTCCTGATTATATACCCCATGATATAATTTTCTGATGTTTGATGAATTTTGAAGACTCCATACACACCTAGCCCAGTCAGTGGACATCCTGGGACCACAGCTTTCTGCATCAGGACATATAGGGCTGTACTGGCCACCTTCTGCTGACCATCAGAAGAAGTCTCTTTTCCTGTCCCCTTTATAACTGCTTCTCTGACCGTGGGGGCAATCTTAGTGTTCCACACCTCTCGAATCCACCTACCAAAATCCAAGATCAGTGATCACTGTTTTGAATTTGTAAACTTCTACTTACTGTATATCCTTGTAGAAAAAGACTAGTGAAGCATAAAATAAACATATCTAACTAACTAGTGTTTATAAACATATATCACTTTCTCAAATGTGTGATATTTACACATGTTCAAATACACATACTGGTAAAAAAAATGTGATATTTTCGCATATTCAAATACATATACGAGTAAATAATATGTGATATTTACACGTGATAAAATACTGGTAAAAAATTTGTGGTATTTACATGTGTTCAAATATACATACTAGTAAATAATATGTGATATTTACACGTGTTCAAATACACATACTGGTAAATAATTTGAGGATCCTGAGACTCGATGGGACACCCCAGGAAATGACACGGTCCAAACACCACCTCTGGTACCCCCAGCTTTCCCAGCCCATCGTTCAGCCTCTGCCAGATACACAGCACCCACTCAACAGCCCGGAATACCAGGCTGTCCTGCAATGGCAGGTGTCCCCTGCCAACATGCAGGAACTTCCTCAGGAAGTAGCGGGCCAGGAAATTTCTGATTGGTTCAACATCAATTCGGAAGTGTACCCATCTAAAACGCTGCTGGATAGAGAGATCAAGTCCAGTGGATCTGTAAAATGTTCAGTTGTAAGATATACAGCATTACCAAGTATAGTTCCCAAGATATGGGTGGGGAAAAATTTTCAATCAAACAAATTTTATTTCATGTTTTTTGTTCAATGAAAAACTTTCAACTTTCTGAAGAAAACTTTAATCAAAGGCCTGAAGGGCCTGAGAGTCGACTTGAGTTTATTGAGCTTTTTCATACAACATGTCACCATGCCTTATATTCAGTTTTTATTGCATCTTAAGAAATTGAATATCAGGTCTCCATGATTGGTTAAACAATTAAGGGCTTCAATCCCATCTCACATGAGATTTTTAAAATTTATTTAAAGTTTGGGTTTGTAAATACACAAATAAGATTACATAATGTGACAAAAATAACAACATTTTGAATAGGGATCCAAATACAACTGTTTAAATTTGAACGGGTCTCAATTTACCACCCCCACCCCCCAAAAAAGTAAATAAAGGTTAAGGGTTTTAATATCTCCCACCTTTTTAATTCAAATGAGTTCTTTAAAAAACTTCTCTTCAGTATTTTTTAATTATAATTATCATAAATCTTACTAGATCTCGGTGTTCTATTAAGAAAAAAAAATTCAATAAAGTGAAATAAAAACAAGGGGAAAATGGAAAATCATGTTTAAAAAGGGAGAAAAAATATCATGGAAAAATATTAACATTTAAATGTAAGATAAATCACTTATAGAAACAACCTCCAGTAATGGAAAACAAACATTAGATACATCTATGGGAAAATTTTTCAAGATCCGCCTAACTATATACATGTATTCACACAATTTTACTTCAATTTAAGCATTATGATTATGTTTATGTTAAGTAACATATAATAATTTAATAGAGCATTGTGGAAAGCAGCATCCAAACCTGGATTCTAAAAATAAATTAAGCTCACTAGCTGCAGTGGTCTGTGTTATAAAGTAATTATGTCAATGATTCACACTACAAACCTGGATTCTAAAAATAGATTTTTCAGGCACACTAGCTGCAGTAAATGAGAACTATTCTAGGTCAATGATAAATAAACTTCAGATGGGAAGATTAGATCTGCCTAACACGCTTGCACATACTAGTATATTCATATGCAGTATTTGTACATGCATTGTACAGATATTTAATCAAATTTTTCTTTTAAAAAACTAAAGACATAAATAATGTTACAATATGAAATTTTATACTGTTTTTACCTCGTAAGTTTAAGCAATCACTCAAACATAAGCATTTTTTGCTAGAACTATCTTATTTGGTGTATGAATCACCTATAGATGAATGAGTGATAATTTTTACAGCTGTGATAACAATGAGTCGCTCTGCGAGCCGACTCAAAAATCGATAATTCTGGCTTCACAAAAAATGAAGAGCTGAATACAAATCTAAGTAGCAAACCTTGATTTGTTCATGGTGGCTATCAGGTAGAATTTGTCCACAAAGCAGTAGTGTTCTGACACCTGTCCGTCCACTGTAAAGGTGTGATACTGACCACGGTGTTCCACAGCGGCCAGTAATTTACCAAACAGCTGAGCCATGTCAGTTCTCTCTAGATTACTGAGGACTACAATAGGAGCCGAGTTCTCCTGGTAATCTGCTCCTGTCTTCACCATACAACCTAAAAACCAGGATCAAATAAATTATAAGTACCGCTGCAGTAAGGACTAAATAGAAGGATATCTTTCTCTCACACATTCCTAAAGTGATTATTTCAATAATACTGTGAAAATGCCTAGACAAAAACCTATGTACTGTATTATTCTTGCTGAGTTTGACTTGTACAGATACAGAATTGGAACAAGGAGCATTTTTAAAACAAAACACTGATCTGCTCTCAGAATTTTTCCTAGTGTCTAGTGATTACCTGTAGATACCAGTAGATTGATCAGATCATTATGGGAGAAGTCACCCTGTAACTCTACACAATGTATGCTGGTCTTATTCCCTTCCTTCTGCTCTTTCTTCTGTAAATAATATCCAGAAAAGCACTGAACGTTAAGTTAAATAAAATGTTTAAAGAACTTCAAAGAGAAGAAAAGCTGTGGTTTCATTTAACTTGCCTTTCTAGATCACTTACCACCACAAAGTAGGCCATTCTGTGGACTAAATCACTTAGCGCCAAAGTGGGCCATTCTGTGGGCTAAATCACTTACCACCACAAAGTAAGCCATTCTGTGGACTAAATCACTTACCACCACAAAGTGAGTCATTCTGTGGGCTAAATCACTTACCACCACAAAGTAAGCCATTCTGTGGACTAAATAACTTACCACCACAAAGTAAGCCATGCAGTGGGCTAAATCACTAACCACTACAAAGTAAGCCATGCTGTGGGCTAAATCACTTACCACTACAAAGTAAGCCATGCTGTGGGTTAAATCACTTACCACCACAAAGTAAGCCATTCTGTGGGCTAAATTACTAACTGCCACAAAGTGGGCCATTCTGTGGACTAAATCACTTACCGCCACAAAGTGAGCCATTCTGTGGGCTAAATTACTTATCGCCACATAGTGAGCCATTCTGTGGGCTTAATCACTTACTGCCACAAAGTGGGCCATTCTGTGGACTAAATCACTTACCGCCACAAAGTGGGCCATTCTGTGGGCCAGGTAGGTTTTACCAGTAGCCTCTGGTCCATAGAACACGACACTTTTATAATGTTCCAGCTGGCAAAGAGAAATACATCTCTTACTGACAAATAAATAATAATTTTATATACATGTAGATAAATTAAACTCCTTGCTAGTATTTCTTGAGATTTTAAAATGACATCACAAAGTTTTCACTATTTCCTTGAAAAGGCATATAAAATACACAGAGCAATCTTTGATCAGAAAAGCTCTGGCTCAGGTAGAAGCTCAGGTGAGCAGAAAAATTTACTAGGTGAATGAAGTATACTTTATCTATTTAAAAAGTACTTTATCTGTTTAAAATATACACAGACTTTGTAAAAACTTCTTTCCTTCACAGCATTTTCTTTATAGTTTTACTTACGAGTCTGAGGTAGTTCTGTAAAACAGGGACAGGTAACAAGACGTCACAGGACACCGTCTCTAGATTACCTGAAACGTTAAAACTTACAATAACTATCTATAGCAAGACAGGTTTACAACAAGAAGTCTGTGACTGAGCCAATTCTCACTAGTAATACCTCCACTCTGATGTGAATATTCGCTCTAATGAATATCCCACCATACGGCATGCCTAGGCAAAAAGTGTGCTAAAATTTCAAGCATCTGTGATGAGTAGTTGCAGAGTAAACTGCGACAAAAATTTGTTACAGACAGACACAAAAGGGTAAAACAGTATAACCAACATCTCCTTCAGAGTGGGGGTATAAATACAATAGTGCGTTAACACAAACTGATAACAAGACAGCACATGACATCGTCTCTAGATTACATGAATTGTTCAGACTTAAAATGACCCTTCTAGTAAGAAATGAACAGATAACAACCAGACTAAACACACAAATATAGTAGTGAAGAGAGCAGTCAGATTACCTTCTAGTACTATGTTGATTGTCTGGGATTGATTATTGCACAAAATGTCGTATGGTAGATTGTCCACAGAGTGTAGACCAGCCACCCAATGATAGGAACCTGTAAAATGGAGGATAGATAGACTGTATGCTGATGATAATGTACATATATAGGAAGGCATTGTATATAAACAAAATATCAAGAGTTATCTGTCTTCCTCACTGATAACACAGGTGTACCTATGGAGTGTATGGTATTGCTTTTAGCCATAGTCCTAGACTGTACTGGTTATACACTGCAGACATATGTCCATACTTATAAAGAACCCACTCCTAAACTGTACTGAACCAATTCACTGGTTATATATAGATAAATAATGTTGTAATGCCTTGAGCCCCAGTCCTAGACTGTACTGAACTAATTCACTGGTTATATATAGATACATTCCTATAGAGTAATGTTGTATTGCCTTTAGCCCCAGTCCTAGACTGTACTGAACTGAATCACTGGTTATATATAGATACATACCTATAGAGTAGTGTTGTATTGCCTTTAGCCCCAGTCCTAGACTGTACTGAACTGAATCACTGGTTATATATAGATACACACCTATAGAGTAGTGTTGTATTGCCTTTAGCCCCAGTCCTAGACTGTACTGAACTGAATCACTGGTTATATATAGATACACACCTATAGAGTAGTGTTGTATTGCCTTTAGCCCCAGTCCTAGACTGTACTGAACTGAATCACTGGTTATATATAGAATCATACCTATAGAGTAATGTTGTATTGCCTTTAGCCCCTGTCCTACACTGTACTGAACTGATACATACCTATAGAGTAGTGTTGTATTGCCTTTAGCCCCAGTCCTAGACTGTACTGAACTGAATCACTGGTTATCTCGGGGTCTAGTCGACTGGTTTTCTTGGTTCTGATTCCGGTATCCAGCTGGCTGAGGAAGTTAGACAACACAGACTGTAACACTGCCTCTAACTCCATCCAACCTGTGGCCGAGGTTATCTGTACGGTCCCCACCACAAACGATCGACCGGTAATGTTACTAGAGTTATCCGCCCCTGATAGACGTGCATAACTCAGCTCAATTGCCACTGGCACATGTATACAGGAGCTGCCTGTAATTCAGACAGAATATTATCACTATTTCAACCGAAAGAATTTTAAAATGTAACATTTATTATTAACGACAGAATACAATACATGCCAAGTCCCAAACATACCTAACTGAGACAGAAATTGATTGCAAATGGGTGTGGCCACATCTGTCAAACTCCGCCCCCATCTGTCAGTCTTCTTGACATCTATATTGCAATACTTACTTATGATTGAAAGACAATCCTAGGAAATAAGAATTACATGTAGTTATAGCAAAACTTATAAAAATATCAATCTGACAATCAAGTTCATTGAAAAATTTCCTTATTATCTACATCAAGGTTCTGCTTTACAAAATAAGTTATGACTGAAACTAAAACGTAATTTGTTGAATTACTCAGGGTTCTCCACATTTGAAAATTTAACCATGGAGGAAGCTGCGCGAAGGCGAAATGTGACCGAAAACATGAATGCGTGTTAGACTTTCTAACATTCATTAATCAATGATTGGGTTTCACAAAACTTAACCACTGCAACACAAAAAGTTGAAATAACCAATAATTTTTAAAGCTTAAAATATAAAAAAGATTATGTATCATACTTTACAAATGTGTATCAAAATTGGCCCAAAACTATTTATTAGGAACATTTTGAAGGAATTAAAAAAAAAATTCAGTGATAGAGTAACCATGGCAACATTATTAAAAAAAACTGATATACAGAATTGATACTGGCTGTTGTATGAAACGTTTTATTTAAATATGACTAAAACTGATAAATGGGAAGTAATTTGAAAAAAAATAGTTACAGACACACAAACAAACAGACGAACGAATACCGACATCTTGCCTATGTCTGAGCTTTTTAACTGCCTGAAAACTTACTGATGGCATGCATGGTAAAAGTAAATTAATATAACCAGGGGCATATATTTGATACATATTGCATTTTTCGCCGTTTTCTCCATTGTTTACTTCTCCACGTGCCCCAGTGCTAAAAACAGCACCACGCGACGTTTCCTAAAATGGGAGGTAACTCTAAAACTAAGACGATGATTGGCTCTTCGGTACATTTTATCAGAAAGATAATCAAGTTAATACTTAAAAAAAACAAAGCATGAGGAATTGATTGAATACTAAGAATAGGAAATTTTGAAAAGGTTAATTTTTTTCTGGGCACAGGAACTTGAATCGGATGCATGTTGATTATCATGTTGTTACTGCTCTTTATGTCATCTTTTGTAAATCTGATATTGTATAGTGAACACGTTGGATTTCCCCGAAATTACATGTGTATAGGATAATTAATTCTCAAGATACTGACCATCAACTGATTGACTCTCTATTGTCATGCTTCAGAGCAAAGTCGCCGATCAACGACTGTGTTTGTTAAGCCCAGTCGGACGCTTCCCCTCGAGGCATGCGAGGTGCATGGCAGTCGTAGTATAAACACAATTAACTACTCGTCATTAAAAAGTAGGTATCAATACTGAAATTAAATAAAAATTTAATCATGGTGGCCGCCGATTGTAACCATGGCGCAGCTCGTTTAACCATGGCGCACATAAATTTAACCATGGTGGGCCGCCATGGTAAAACCCCTTGTGGAGAACCCTGTTACTGTTTTTTACAAAAATTTTAAAATGCATTTTATCTTTATAAAAGAATTTAGAAACTAAGATGATTTTATGCATTGCCAAGCAATTTTAACTGAATCATTAACTTCACAAAATTTCACATTCAATAGATTTTGTTCTTAGTCGTGAGTTCTTTTATAAGACGGGCCCTGATTACCTAATAGCAACTTATCTCCAGTATGTTAGGGAAGAATGATTTTAAAAATTTGTACAGATCAGTCATTTAACAGAGAACGTTTATTAATATATTTGTTGTATCTCTCTTACTGCGGAGTTTTTGGAAGCCGCTACATGACTAACAGTCCAGCCATCATTGTCAGAAATGTCCACAAGTTCCTGAGTAGTCACATGACCTGGTTGCCGTGGTAACCTAGAGTGGTAGTCAAGTAAAAATTCCAGACATTCTGATTGGTCAGAGTGTACCACACTGTGCAGAGGTGTCCAAGTAGTCTGCAAAAAAATCAAAACAAGAAGCCCTTGAGTTACCTAATGGATCTTCAGAAAAATATCTTTTATATATATCTTGTCATCATTTAATTTGATATTTCTTGAAGGAGGCGTGACCCTTCATTTCATTTTTCCCCGCTAGTATGCTTTGTGGCAAGTTATTCTTCAGAAGAAAATAAAACAGGAAACAGACATACTTTGACCTTTATAACCTATTCTAATGATGAAAAGAATCGAACTCAAACAAAGTCCTAGAGACTCACTTAGATACATAATTACATGTACAGTAAAACTTGTCTAATCTGGACACCAATGGTTCCATTGGCCAGATTAGACAACATTCTGGATTAGACATTTTAAACACCTGAATTAACTGAAAGGTCTTAAAGTTTTCATAGTGTTGGGCAATATTTTGGAATAGACCAAATCGGGATTAGAAAAGTTTCACCTATCTCAAATTAAAACAATAATCTCCTATATAGTCCCTACTATTCCTGCGCAAAATCTTTCAGTTGGAACTTTTTTATGCCTTCTTTCCATGGGCAATAAACTTTACAAAATTCAATTTGAATAAGAATATTTTATGCCTCTGTGATCAAAAATTCGGGGGCATATAGTTTTTGGTCTGTCCGTCCGTCTGTTTGTCTGTGAAAGCTTTAACCGGTTGCTGCTGGGCTTTCATATTTCACTCATGCATTCCCTGCAACAGGACCTTTTCTTTGCTACCATTATTTTCTGACCTCAAGACACTCATCTTTGAGTATGACCTACTTTTTGAAAAACTTAAAACTTTGCCATATTTTCGAATTTTTGGTACTAAGGCTATTATATTTCCGATGTTTATTCCTTGTAGTAAGACCTTTCTTTGGGTATCAACATTCTTGAAAGCTTGACCTTGGAGTTTGACCTACATTCGAAAAACTTTAACCTAGGCCTTGAGCTGCCATATGGGGGCATCAGTGTTTCACAAACACATCTTTTTTTCTGGCTTAGTGATCCTATCCATGTATATTATGAACTGAGAATGATAAATGTACCACATCTTAAAATCTGATTAGAAAAAGGGGTTGCACCATTGCTGTAATTTATCTCTAGTTATAACTGAACAGTGACTTACTGCCGAGCAGACATTGAGTCTGGCCCCGTAGTCCAGTAGTAAACAACAGCAGTGACTGTGTCCGTGGGTAGCGGCCAAGTGAAGGGGGGTCCAATCCTGCCAATCCCCCATGTTAGGGTTCGCTCCTCTCTCCAACAACAGCTTCAAACAACTGTTTATTAAACAACAACCATGAATGTTTAATGTTTACAACACATTTAACAAATAATTACACTTAACTAGTAGATTTTTGTCCTTAAAAATCAGTGCTTAATTTTAGCGAGAAGTAATTTTTGCCACTTTATGATGCATAGAAAGATGAGTAATTTTTAATGCAGAGTAAATTGTTAGCGATATTCAATTTTAGTAATCTCAACACCCTCACTAAAAATGCCAAAATTAAATCCTCGCTAAAATTTCTGCTTATACAGTATTCATAAAAGGATGGTCATCATAGTATACAATCTCCTACAGGATTCCTAAAAGTTTCCTAATAACTGATATGTCCTTAAAAGTCAGATCTACATAACTGAGTTTTACTGTACTGCAAAAATAATTTACTTAGTTTCCTTGCTTGTATGAATAGTATTACAATGTTTGTGTGTGTGTGTGTGTGTTGTTGAACATTGATGACATATTTTATTAGAAGTGTAATGTGTTCCATAAGCAATTATCCTGAGATTATATATATCACTTTTCATCTCAGACAATATTACCTGTCATGTCCATTAGCTGAGGCGGCGTGTGTCGCTGTGTAATTACTATCACTGTACGCCGACACACTAGCTCCATTATCCAACAGCAGTCTCACACAATCTAAAATTATCATCAATATCTTACATCTAATATATCTGGGATGCATACATGTTCATTTATGAAGTGTAGGAAACTCTTACTGGTTGCACAGCCATATCAACAAGAGATGTTTGTGAAACACTTATGCCCCCCCCCCCCCCCCCTTCCAAATAATTGGAATTTTTCAAAGTCCAAGAGGTATAACTCTGTCAAAAATTACTCGATCGTACCTAAAACAGAACTTGACGTAGACATTTTTATGATAAATATGTATACCAAATTTCATTTCAGTATGTGCAACCTCTGCGAAGAAAATGAACGGAAACTGATAGACAGACATACAGACAGACTGACAGAAGCAAAGCAATATGCCCTCCCTCCTTCAAAGGGGTGCATAAAAATACTGAGGCAGACTCAGTAGAAATGTGCATTGTTTTAGTAACGAATTGTGAATTTTAAATATTCATTTGGCAGAATGATTTTAGCCAAATGTTCAATATCTACGTGTACATATTAAAAAAAAAAACCCACCCCCTCCCAAAGATATGATGTGGCAATTGAACATTTTAAATCTCACAGCTGTTGACCACAGGTTGTAATGAACTAACAAGATTGTACAGTTATCTCATAAGCTTCTAATGATCTGATTTAATGACTATAAATTATTGATGATAATTTATCATACTTTGTTCACAACTTTAAAACTTTAGATGTCACAATATTGACTGACCTTCGTGACCATATTTAGCAGCAAAAATGAGTGGGGTGGATCCATCTTTTACAGGGAGGTTAACATCAGCCTGAGAGTCCAAAATGAGTTTTTGTAATGAGGAGAAATTTCCGTCAGCAGCAAATCTGTGAACAGGGGAGTTAAGCACATCAGCTGAGAGCGCAGGAGTTCCGTCTAAATGTAGTGAATTATCCGAATCTGTCAGCAGAAATAATGCCAAGTAAAACTTTTCATTTCACCATGTCAATTTTTAACACAAGTAAACTCAGTTGAAAGTAAACAGATACAAACAGAAACACAAATAATGAATGAATTTTTTTCAACATTAAACACTATGCAATCATTATCACGGAATTTAATGCAGCAAAATAATGCATCGAAACAAATCACCAAAACTGAATGATAGTGATAATTTAGAGAGAAAAAGAATTTCTTTTAAAGATCTATTCTTGGAATATGAGTTTATGAAAAAAAAAATTACTTGAATTTGCAAAGTGTGATGAAAAGAAAGCTTAGCATGCAAGTGTTCTGAGTATCAACAAAACATGCAATTACAAAAACTCGAACAACTGAATGCACAATTTGTTCAACTGGTTATAAAAGATAAAAGAAAATCTGAGTGATTACAAATTAGCTAAAAACATTTTAATATAAACATTTTAATTCTAAAACATGATTCTTTTTGACACATCTGAATGAGTTCTTTGGTAAAATTTTTCGAAGGTGGGTTTAGGTTAATTAGCTTTTAACAAAAGTCATTGGACAATAATGTATTTAAAGTACATGTAGTTCTCTGAAGTGTTTTACACTATATAATAAAGCTCTGATGCTTGAGAACAGGATACAGAAGCAGGAAAAAGAATTTCAAGCTCCTAGTAAATTCTACAGCTGTCACACACTTATGAATAAAGAGGGATGGGGGGAGGGGGGTTCACATCACACAAGGAAATGATTCCTCTCTTGAAAATCTTTCCACGGTCCAGAGGGATTTGGCAGTATTAAGGCCCAGAACATGTCCCTACCAAACCCCAGGGTCAGTGTTACTATGGTAACTAGGGTGAAATAACTGCATAATTGGTGACATTAACCTGGTGATGGCTTTGATATGGTGTGCAAGGTGAAGGTCACTTACAGTATTACTCAGACAGCAGTGTCCCTACAATCTAAAATTCAACAAGGCCAGGTCATTATCAGCCATCTTTGTTACACATTTTGACAAAGCAAGGCCAGAAAATCTGTGATGAAATATTTGACACAAAAAGGCCTAGTAAACATTACCATCTATTTTTGATAGAACTATAGAAGTGATCATTACATTACTCAAAGCCATGAAAAAATAGGGCATACTCGGCACTAGCAAGTTTTAATGTACATATTTTGAAATGTATTTGAGGTATAAAGTGTGTGTTTTCCCCCCTTTGTTTGTATCAACCAGTATCAACATTGTCAAAAATCTGTTTTACTTGAATTAATCAAGTCTAAAGGCATTTCTGAATTCAGGTCTTGTGTTCTGGGATTTGAAGTGAGCCATAAGAAATGTGTGATCTACAATAGAAGCCTGCAGGAGTACAGCCTAATATGACATCCATGAATTAAGCCTAGGGCAGCCATATTTTCTGATATTTGTGTAGGAACTTAGCAGCTACTGTGGGTAGTGTCATACCAGCTCTATCTGATGTAGAACCCAGTCCTGTTAATCAGTAATAATAAAATACTGCCAATAGGTTAATTAATTCAGCATGTTTGGTAAACATATAATTCGGTGGATTTTTTTTCCTTCTTCAATTTGGAACATTAGTATTTTATATACATGTATCTTCTATTTCCACATCTTTACCATTCAAAAACACTTGATAATAATGGAATTTTTAGTATATATGTATGTTTAGACATGAAATCATAATACTGCATTCCAAAAATTTTTTTTTTGTTTTCTGGTAAATTACAGGTATTGCTTTGTTTCATCATGTTTATAATTATCAAAGTTATACCTGCCTGGCACACCTCTAAATGAAATATCACACTCTTATTCTTAAAGACCAAATGACAAGTTTCTAATTTACATCAATATGTATACATGTATATACCTTGTATATTGATTTTTTATTGTCTGTCATACTCTGTCTGCACATATTTCAGTGGCATGACAACCATACATTACCTGCCATGATAGAAGTTAGTAGATTCTGAAGGTCGGCCATTTCTGGACCAAGGAATTCTAAAGCTTCATTGGATTGTTCAGAGGTGTCAGTCAATGTCATGTGACCATTTGGGGCGGAGTCAGTATTGTTGCTCACCAGGGACTGTAAAACAAACCATGCACATGCAGAAGTTAATATGCACACAGACATACCTATACATGCAGGATTAATTATTGTAAAATCAGGATAAGAATTCTTAATCTTTATGTGCCATTATCATGAAGTAGCAAACCTGAGGTTTGAAATGAAAAAAACTGGGCAGAACAGTACACATAGCATCTGACAAATATACATTGTAACTCAAACTTTATAAAAGAATAGGAGGCTTTGAACCACCAATGAAATAATACCATGATTACAAAACATGCTTCAACAACTTAAAATGGTAATTGCATCCAACATAAATACATGTACTAATGGGAAAAAAAAAGGAAAACCAAAAACTAGCACAACACAAACATGAGATAATGTTTCATGATCATCTACATTCAATCTTCAATCAATGCAAAAAAAAAAAAAAACATGAAAAGGGAAAGAGAGACATTGCCAAAAAAACTTCAATAGATGTACTGCTACATGTAAGAAATCGACAGAGAGACAACACACAGATACCTGTATTTCTATAGCCTCACCTTACTGTAGGGAATAGAATGTGAAAGTCTGTCACAAAAAACAACATGCATTGAGTCAAAGTCTGATGAAAGTGAGCAAATCTAGTTTCAATATATCTGATTTATTGTACATGCAACCATGATGCAATTGAAGATCTCACCCCGGTCTGTGTGAAACTCCTCACTTTCAAATTTAGATATTTGAAGTTTTCATGAACCATATTTTTTTTTCACTGCATTTGTTCCTAGTAATTTGTCTTTTATAATATGGTACATCACTTTGGAAACTGTTTTTTCTCCAGCTTACAGTTTGTTCCAATATGCCTTCTAACAATTATGGCTGTGTATGCATTATGTTTAGGGCATGTGTAACTTTGTATACCATTTTTTAACCATAAAAAAACCTTTATAAAAGATAATGTTTCACTAAATATCACCCAAATATCTACACTTTTTTTATTTTTGTCTCAGTTAAAAACACATACTACCAAGCATCATACATTACAGCTTGCATTTAGCCCTAGTACTTCATCATAAAGTAATTTTGATTTTTTTTTCCTTCTGAATTTGATAAACTTCCTGTCCGATATGTACATAAACTTCAAACAAACATAAGAAAAGTCAAACATGAGGAAGAAAAATGAAGGAAAGAAAAGATAAAAATAGGTAAAACAGAATAACACAAAAGTCAATCTAGGTAATGATTAATCAAAATAAAGAGAAATTTCTGAACTTAATACAAAACAGTTTTGATTTGGAGTAAAGAAGCAAACAAACACATGATAACTTATATACATACAAAAACATTAGGATAAAAGAAAGGGTTTAAATACAAGGTAATAAACACACGGAAGCTAAGTTATAATGTTTTTTGTTTTGGTTTTCAACTTAAAAAAGTAAAAACTGAGAAATATTTGCTGGCAAACCTGTCTACTATGTGTAAAATTTATAAAAATTTTATATTCAATTCCAAATTCCAATCCTTTCAAAACTTTTTTCAATAAATTCAAACAGCAAAAGGCAGGCACTGAAGAACAGAAATTTTATTGACATAAAACAAATACAATGAACAGATGGCAGTCAAGCTTTTACATTGTTAAACACCTAAATCACCATGATAACTGCATGAAGGTCATGTCATGTGACAGAAATTGGCAAGACGGACATCATGAAAACACGTTAAATGCATGATGGCAAAAATTTTGGCAGCCCAAATCACCAGTCAAGCATAAAATTGTCTAATCCTTTGTATTGCAACCAATAAACATAGGGAATTATGGATTTCAAAAGACAGGATGCCTCAAGTTTTTCATGTTTTTATAGTAAATTCTGAGATTTTGAGAATTAATTTACCAAATAGATTAACACATACATGTAAATCAAACACCCATCATAAACACTATCTATATCGTATCTTTGAAGTTTGCTGTTTGTATCAACCATTTGAAAAACAAAAAATAGTTTTGGAAATAATCAAATTAAAAATATTTTCTCTTAAAATTTCAAATAAAATGTGTAAAAAGGCAACCATTAGCAACTGTTTTATAATTACCAAAGGGAGACAATTTCAGGCTTGTCTTTTGTAAATGCATATTTTCTCTGCAAAATCAAAGTCAACACTTTGTAAAAGGCATTTTCCTCATTCACAAATTTGTGCCACTCAGTGTAGAAAAAAATTACAACTTGTGTCAAATTTATGCATATTAAAATCAGTAGATAAAATATTCTGATAGGCAAACACAAATACGACACACAATGGATTTCTGAACAAAATATCACATACCACTATAATAAATATGATGTCAAAAATAATGTACATAATATACTGTAATCTAAAAATGGTCCTGTATATTAACCAAATAAATAAAAAAATTCTAAAAGCTGTAAGGAAGGTTGGAATCTAAAAATATCACTGCAATAGGCATGATAGGGGAGACTAAGGTGAAATATTGTGTAGATGATTATATAATGATAAAATACCTGTACATACTAATTCAGAAGTTGAAAACATGGCTTGAAAGTATAGATAACCAATTAAAATGAGAAAATGAATTAATTAAAGCCTCAAATCAAGAATGGTACAATGCAGAAAAAATTAAAATATATATCCTTTAATAGATTTATCATTATCCTACAGGAGACAGGTTAAAAAAACCCCAAAAAACTAGAGGTACTGTGAGCATTGAGCTCACACAATGATCATGATGATACCCCCGTCCCATACAAATATATTGGCAAAGTGCATTTCTTGGTCATATGTAAATGAGATTCTGTGAAAGTTCCCTTGAATTTCATTCTAGGGTTTAAGAGGAGTTGTGTTAATAAAATGGGCAACCCCTTTATTGAGTCCAATGGCATAGTCCATGTTTTGCTATGGGAAACCCCTAATACATGTCCCATCAAAATGTATAATAGTTAGTGCAAAATGGCACTGCGTAATAAAAATTTTGTGAAAGCTAGTCCCATTCAGTTTAAATTTGTGGTATAGGAGGAGTTGTGGATATCAATTAGTACCCCCAATATTATAGGAAGAATGGTAAAGTCCATGTTTCGCTGTGGGGAACCCAAATATCTTTCTGATGGAAACGTAAAATAGGAGGTGCAAAATGGCACTTTGTAATAATGATTCTGTGAGTCTCATTAAATAGCATTCAGCAGTGTAAGAAGAGTTGCGTATAAGTGATGGCTATCCCCAAGTGTAGTATGTTTTGCTATGGGTAACTCCAAATATCTGTCCATTTGAAATGTAAATTGGTGGTGTTCACAATGGCACTATGTAATGAAGATTCAGTGAAAGCCTTATATTAAGTGGTATAGCAGGAGTTGTAGACATCAAGGAAATATGGGCAGAAATATAATTGAATTGTTATGATTCTTAGAATTCCTTCCTGACCTATACATATATAAGCTAAAAAGCAATCAATTTGACTAGCTTAATTAAATAAATACTAAAACCTTAGAGACTTCACTAAACAACATATATGAAAGACACCGAAACTGCACAAAATGACCAATAGACTGTAAGAACATGAAATATTGATAACATAACAGCCACTGGCCAACAACAAGCTGGATTTCACAACCCTCAAAAGGCAGCAGGCACAACCAGGATAGAATTCAACCTTAACTCATCATTAATACCCCATCAGATTAATGCAAAAAATTCATTTGGTCACAAGTCTGAATTTTATGTATAAAATGGCCTTTTATGGAAAAATTAGACTAAAAGAACTAGGCAATGTAAGCCCAAACAAATTATATTGTTTACATTTCTGTATGTATAATTGTAAGTCATTTCAAGCTGTTTTTCAATTTTGCTAAAACCACAAAGTTCAATAGACTTCAAAGTTTACACAATACCTTAAAACAACATTACAAAAAAAAAAAAATGTATACTTTGTGTGATTGAACCTGTAAAATAATTTTGTAAACCGCCCTCAGAATAGCTCAATTTTTAAAGAAAAAAAATACAACCTATTAATTAATGACAAGAAAACTGTTGAAGAGAGTTCATAGTTCATGATTTAGCATTGACACAAACCTGAGTAGGCTTCCGTATGGGTGCGGCCTTTCCTTCCCCTTGTGAAGCCCTTGTGGGGGTGACAGTTCCAGAACTATGAACTACACTGACAGGTATATGAACCCCACGTGAGGCCCCTGCCTGGGACACAGGAGTAACAGCTTTGCTGACTGGACTGGCAGTGACAGGAGATGACAGACTAGGTTTGTTGGGGGGTAAGGGTGGAGGGGTCCCTCTCCCTGGGATCGCTATTTTTCGGGGTGACATATTGACTGGAGAGGAAGGAGAACTTGAATGCCCCACATTTACTGTCAGCACCTTCCCACCTCCTGTTAATACAGTTGTAGATCCTGACTGAAGAGGAATTCTGGGTCCTCCTCGATACATCTCTGCATTTCTGTCTATGGACACAGGCTCTGTTGGTGCCACTCTCATTTCTTGTGTGTCCGTCCTATAGCCCTCTGATACTGACCTCTCTGGGGAGTGACTGTACCGACCCCCTTTCTGAACAACTGTCTCAACAACACGATTTCTGTCAGTCACATCACTCAGTTTCAGACTTCCTTCACTCATCCTTCCTACTTTGGGTGGCAGTTGACCTATATTAGGACTCACAACAGCCATATTGCTCCCAGATTTATCCGGTGTTTTAACTGTTGACTTAATCTCAATACTCTGAAAACTGTCTTTACTAGCGGTCACTTTCTCTAGTGCCATCTGCTTCTGTAGCAGATCAAATTGATACTGAAGAGCTTCAAGCTGATTGGACAGTTCCCGATTTTTGGCCTCCTCGCGACCCAGTTTCCCTCTAAGCTGCTCCCGCTCGACATCAAAATCACTCATCTGTTTCTCCATCACTGCCTCCATTTTGAGTGATTTCTTGCTTTCTATCACCAGCCCTTCTACCACGTTACTTGTCTTCTCCTGTTCATCTTGTAGTTGTTGTTCTAACTTTTGGATCCGTGCCCGATCTTTGACTAACTTCTCCACCAGCTTCTTTTGTTCTTTGATTAACATGACCGCCACCTGTTTGTGTTTTATGGAGTTGGCTCTCTCTTCCTCCAGACTTGCTAATGTTTTCTTCAGATCCTTTTCCAACTTCTTGTTCTGACTCTTCTCATACTCAATCTATAAATAGTAACACATACTCAATCTATAAATAACAACACATCCTCAACAAAGCATTCCATTTTCAAAGAACATTATTTTAATGACTTTTTTTCTCTTTCAAGCTAAATAGAACAGTATCTCGACCATAGAAAGATTGATTTTGTAGAACACTTTGTAGTTTTCAGTGAATGTAACACTAGAATTCAAATTAAACATAAATAATTCCTGACCTATAAACAACATTATACAATTACAGAAATGCATTGTTTTAGCCATTTCATGTTCAATTGTCATAGAAAAATTCTATATTTCAAGATGGAAACAGATTGATCAAGGCATAAAGATTAGCTGTGAAGTACTGATGTTTGAGTCATACCTCCTGTTTAAGTCTTTCTCTTTCCTTCTCTAACATGTAGGTCACATCGTCTCCCTGGGCGGTGTCCTGGGCATGTTTCCTCTTCTCATCCTCCAATTCATTACACACCTACAAACATCACCAAATGTTGGAAGACAAACTACATCCTATCCTTAAACATGCTCATAACCTAAAACACGCTTATAACAAAGTGCCAGGGATGGACAAGTGCTTCGTTATAAACGTTATTTGTTATATCCAATAAGTTCAGAATATGATTTAATGCCACGGGGAATGAAAACCACTTCGCTATGAGCGTCAATTCATAATATTATATTTCCATTTCTATTTGTTTTCTCTGTGATAACTCTTTGAAAGTTAGTTGAGTTGATTTCTTGATAATTCTACCGGAATGCAAATTTCGCCAAGCGAAAGGTCAGGAGCTAAGAAGGCCTAATATGCATGTAATTCTCGTGCGGTTGTCTTTATGTCTGATGCTAAGAAGGCCTAATATGCATGTAATTCTCGTGCGGCTGTCTTTGTGTTTGACGTCAGTGGGCGGGGACTATTGAAATTGACATGTGAGGCCTCGTGTAATTTAAATCTATTAGTCTACATTTTTAAAATCTAAATTTACAATTTTATTTCAAAATGAAATGGAAATATAAGGAATCACCGTCTAGTTAGTAGAGTATGCCAGGGACATCAACGATAGTTGGAAACATGGGATAATTTATGCATAACGGGCTTTGCCCGTTATGTAAATTATCCCACGTTTCCAACTATCGTTGATGCCCTGGCATACTCTACTAACTAGACAGTGATTCCTTAAATAAGCATATTCGCTTTAAGCATGCTTTACAGTAATTTAGTTTGTAGTTCTAGTTGCACTGTATTTTTTAGTATAGCATGTATTTAACTATAAAGCTGAGGTAATTAATAAAATGCTTTCACTGCAGACCATGTGCCTTTTTTTCTGACCTTGGCGGGAGAACTGACCTTGTGGTAGCGTTTTTCTGACATTGGCGGGAGAGGGAGAACTGACCTTGTGGTAACGTTTTTCTGACATTGGCAGGAGAGGGAGAACTCACCTTGTGGTAGCGTTTTTCTGACATTGGCGGAAGAGGGAGAACTCACCTTGTGGTAGCGTTTTTCTGACATTGGCAGGAGAGGAAAACTCACCTTGTGGTAGCGTTTTTCAGCTGCTGACAACTGCTCCCTCATCTTCAGCTGAGCTTTCCGTTGTGTCGCTATCAGATTCTCTAACTGTGCCAGCTGATTATCGTACATAGACTTAATGGCAGACTCATCGAACGAGTTATCCTTCAAGTTATCTGAATCTCTTTGTAACGCAGAAAATGGGTCTCCCAGTCCAAACCTTCCGTACTTTGCCTGGTACAATAACTGCTTAGCCTTCTCTGCCTAAATTTAGACTAAATATTGTACATTTCTAGAATTGTACAAAGTATGAAGTATCTAAAACAAATGCTCATTAAGCAAGTTTAGAGTTCTGTGATCTTTTCCATATTCCTTTAGCAAATTAAATTTCAATAATTACAACTCACATTTTCTAAATTTCACAGCACATTGTGTTTTGTGTTTATCAATTCAGATTGTAATCAGTGATACTTGACAGCAACAAAGGTATGGCTCATGGACTATAATTTACTATTATATACCTTCATTGTTGCAATGACAATATCACGAGCTTGTAATTCTCCTTCTAAGTAGCTGAGTAATCGCAGAAGATCTGCTTTGTTTAAATCCATTTTAGGGTGTCTCTGTAAAGAATAAGGGAGGTGTGTTAGCCACGACAGCGTAGTGTATATATAGTAATACAATATGATACATTTATATAATGTATGATTTCTGAACTTAGGCCAAAAAAAAAAAAATAGTCTTGTTTCCTGCTACCCGACCTACCCTATTTTTTTGCACCCGACCCTTAAGTTTTTTTTTTAAGTCTTGGAAGAAAAAAATAGGGAATTTTGCGGAATTTCATCATTCTGTCACCTTAATCGGTTGCCGTGTTAACACAAAACAAGCATTTCATGAAATTCTTGTTTTAAATATGGACTTTCATAAAATACCACTTGAGTTGTGCATAAAAAGACATGAAATTTAATTTTTAAAAGACAACATTGACCTGTGACATGTTTAATTTGATCTTATATTAGTTCATATCCAAAAAATGCTGTCAGAAAAAAATAAAATAAAAATATAAAATAAAATAATTTTCCTACCTACCTATCCTATTTTTTTCAGGCTGGTAGCAGGGAACAAGACTATTATTTTTTTTGGCCTTAGCAAGTTCAATCACTTCAAGCAAATAAGAAGTAGAACACAGATAAAAGAACATGTATGTCTAAGGTTTTCAAATTTTCTGAAAATGCTTAATTTCAGCAACAGATTATCCTTTACTTGTGACCTTGACCTCAAAACTTGTGGCTAAAGAAGTGCATAAAGCAACCAGATCAAGTTTTCCTGGTCAAAAGCTCATTGCTCCAAAGTTTAGAGAATAGTAGTGATAAATACCAAGAAAAAAGATTGTTAATAATGACTAGATAAATTATATGTAATTGTCACTAATTTTGAATTAATGGTAAAGCTCTTTTAACTTCTATCAGGCTTTCCATAAGGGCCGACAGGTGGCGATTAATAGCCATTTTAATAATTAAAATTTGCTGCTCCAAATATCATAATTGGCAAAATAAACTAAATACACTATTGGAAATAATTCCAAAACTGCCTCTTCAAAAGGACAAATTCACCTCTTCACTGCAAAATTCTTGAAATCCCTGTCTATAGACATTGCCAATGGGTGAATCGATGCATATGATAGAACAAAAATACACAAAATCAAAATTGTTCTAGCACAACAGCAAACTCATTTTGTCTCCAGACATGTAGGCCTATATATAGATCTCGGAAATAAAACAAAAATCTTGACCTGCAAATGTCTGAAATGGACAATCGATTTTTTTTTTTCAGGAGCAAAGGTGTGCAAATGAAGTTGGGGAGAAAAACATCTCCACGGTAGAGAGCATACCTTCAGTGTATTTGACTGGAGTTTGCTGGCTGGATCATACATTCCTGCGCCGGGAGGTTGCTTCACATTTCTTGATGACGCCATTTTCGTTGCTTTTACTCCAGAAAATATCCCCTAAGATTTATTTCCCGCAAAAAGTCAATCGTTAATTTACATGGCTTATCCTATATCATTTATAACTGGATTTAAACGACTGCGCTGTTATGTCTTTCCACTTCAAAGGACGTAAACAATTAAGAAATTTGTCATTGTTCCAAGAGAATCATCTTCAGAAACAGTCACGTGACTCAAAGAGGACACATTACGAATTCTCTGTTTCGAATTTAAAAAAAAAATCGTCAAATTATGCTAAAATAATTTAAAAAGAAAATTTAAAAAGGAAAAAAAGAAACATTTAAGATGAAATTATAATTAGGCCTACATCGTAACTAAAAGTACGTTTGAGCGGCTGCCTATATTATACTTAAAAAAGGAATATTTGTAAAAGTAGAACCAACTTTACCAAGGAAAAGCAATTTTAATTATTTATCTTATCATAAAGGTTTGGCACACTAGGTTACAAAAAATAATTTTTTTTAATATTACTCAAATTTTTAATGGTTTCGTTTTCTCTCTTTGAAAAAAATGCATATCATTAAATAAGGTCCTTCCAACCTTGCACTATTTTTACAGTTATCACATCTGTTTTGGACAGACGCCGTTACTGTGAGGGAGACACCACTCTAACTCTTCAGATGGTTTAGTACAATGCCACCATGGGATTGAAAACGTTATGCAATCAATCACATCTTAAAAAGCCAGTAAAATACATTACCAGGCATTGTCAGCGATGTTTGAGTGTGGCATTTGCAGAGTCAAAGCAAGAATCGAGCACCAACACTTCGCAGAAAATAAAGCCATTCAAAGACATACCTGGACCAAAAGGCCTGCCTTTTCTCGGGACAATCTTACACTATAGAAATGGTATAATACTTGTCATCTATTCAAATTAAATCAACCACTTTTGCTATATCCCAAACCTTAAACAACACTCTGATGTTGAAACATATATCTCTTCAATCAAAGACCCAAAGCTATTTCTCAGTGAAATTACAAGTCAGTATCTAATTATTTTTAATTCATCATCTATACACTGCTGTAGGGAAAAATAAATTCAATAAAACTCGTCATTTTTTCCCAAGCTGATTACAAGTGGCTTGTTTTCTTGTGAAAATTTAACAATTGATAATCAATATATCCAAATACTTTAACATACAATTATATGTTACAACTGTTCAACTGTACAACATATATTTTCTCTTTTGCTGTAGGTCCATTTCAGAAATTTACGGTAGACAGATATCAGGATGCACTGATTTCTCGCTACAAGGAATATGGACCCATTGTCAAGGAAAATATAGCGGGTGTGACCTCGGTCCGTGTCTTTGACCCTGATGACATCAGAACAGTTTTCCTGAATGAGGACAAACAGCCGCACGTGGCCCCACTACTAGACACAACAAAACAATACAGGGAACAAAGGGATCTCTCACCAGGACTTGGAAACACGTAAATTTGATGTTATACATTCAGTAAAACATGGTTCCAGCAAACCTGAGAAAACAACCAAACTTGCATCATTATAATTATCCTGTTAAACTCATGGGGATCTTTCAGAATTTGTTTGGTTGATTAAGAAGAAACTGCACAATAGATTTCAATGAAATATTCTATGTTGAATGGAATTTTTTTCTCCCAACCAGTTAAGGCCCTTAGCATTCACTCAAAATACTTTGTATATTCAAAAAATATAATCATAAAAGTTTTAATACATACCATCCCTTGTTCAGCACATCAGAGACTACACTGAGGGTACACAAATGAACATACATTCAGGCATTGAGCTTATATGCTGCCTTATAGTTTTTAACTTTAGACAGTGCAAAACTGTATTAGTAAAAGAATACTTAAAATGTGTATATACTGTAGGAATGGCGAGGAATGGTACAGATTGCGGAGTGCTGTACAGCAGATGATGATGAGACCGAAGGCCGTCACTGTTTATCTCCCTCTAGTGGAAGACGTGGTGGAGGATTTTATTCAACGAATTAAAAAAATTCGGAACAGTAAAGGGGAAATAAAAAACTTCAGACAAGAAGCAGCAAAATGGAACCTGGAATGTAAGAAATGCAGTATTAAATGTGAAGTGGTATTGAAATGGAGAAAAATGTGAATGTTGGTCTCATGTGTTATTTTTTTTTCTGTCCATAGCCTCTGGAATGACCTGTTTTGAGACTCGCCTAGGTTGTTTAGAGGACACCCCCTCCTCACACATACAGCGTATGATTTCCAGCAACAATGCCATATTTGAACTGTCAACAAAGATCAACTTCTCTGTACCTTTCCACAAAGTCCTCACAACAAAGCTATGGCAGTCCCTCCTTGACGAGGAGGACTATTTCTTTAGGTATCAAAATAAATGTCTCAAAATTTGATACTCATTCAAAGTACATTGTTTGTATATCTTTTATATACGTCGACAATACATGTCTTGATACACGTACTCAGTCTGTCATTTATGCGACATTCACCAAATGTATTTCCAGAACTAAAATGCTTATTTTAAATATATGTCCCTATAGAAATTACTAGAAATGAACATGTTAGTGTAGTATTTCAAAAATAAAAATGTTACCTGCACTATTTGAAAGAAAAAAATGTTTATAAATACTGTCCATGTGTTAAGCTCTGTGAATATAGTTGCATGTATTTTTGTTATCAAATATATTTTCATGCTATTTCTTTGCTGAAGATGAAAGCTCTTCATCTAATAAATGTGTAGAGATGTAAGAAATGAAATCCACCTTTTCAAAGGCTTATTTTGACCATTTTTTTTAAATCTTGGCAAGGAATAATTTGTATATTACATATATATTAGAATATAAATTACATGTAGGTATAAAAATGAAATAAGTTAATGGCAAATTATGATTTAAAGATATGTGTAATTAAATTCTAATGAGTGAACCATACAGGTAAGGATGTTGTCTTAGTTAGTAGACAAGCCCTGGGTAGAAACTCAGACATGATCTGAACTAAAGTCAAATTTCTGAAAATAAGCCTAAAATCTGTGTTATGTCTACCACAAATTTAAATGTTGATTTTTTTTGTGAGCATTTCAGAAATTACCATAATTTATGTATTAATTGATATTTACCAGGTAGCTTTATGGTTGTTAGTTTTAATCTTGTGACATTTTTTATGTGTTTGACAGGAATGGTCAGAAGTTGGTGGATGACACGGTTGGGAGGATTGACGGCCTGAGGGAGGAGGGGAGGCTGGGGGAGGGGAAGTATAACTTCCTGTTGTATCTCTTATCCAGGAAGGAACTGTCATTTAAAGATGTCAGCATAATAACACTGTCACTGTTTGGAGATGGACTAAACACAGTAATATATTCTTATCATTTGCTGAGCTGATACTCATCAATTTTTACCAAAGAAAATTTTTTTTATTAATTTTAATTTTTAATTATTTAATTTAAATTATTAAAGATCATTGAAAATGTACAAAATATCAGCAACATTGATATTAATACAACAGCTTAAAATATATTGTAGAGGAATTTGTATTAAGTTTTTTTCAAATCCTTTGGACAGTTTTATTAATTATGATTATTTTCTTAGACTGTGCCAACATTAATATTTGCCATGTACTGCATAGCCAAGAATCCAGAGGTCCAACACAAAGCTTATGAAGAAGTCCGAGATGTTCTGAAGGATGGAGAGCCTATAACTGGAGAGCACATCAACAGAATGACTTACCTCAAAGCTTGTGTGAAGGAGTCACAAAGGTGCTTCATTTTTGTAATTTATTTTTCTTCTGTTTAAAACATTTTGCATTGATTTATAGGTGAACAAGTGTTCTTTTGATTAATTGCACAGGGATCCTCAATAGTCAGTACACAGAAAAAAATGTGATAAAATTAAGTTTTATATATACATGCAGGGTTCAACACTAACATTTTTAGGCTTTAGTCCAACCGGACTAGTGCTTCTTTACTTTTACTAGTCTGCACACGATTTTATGAGTCCGTCCAAAAAAAAAAAATCAATGTTTTGTAACGTTTAATTTAAAAACAAAACATTGCAATAAACTTTTTTGAAATAAACAAAGCATTTACGTGAAATGTTTTATTCCAGGATTCGTTGAAATCTCGAGATCAGGAACTATAATGGTATTCACGATCTCGTTTTTTTCTCTATACATTACATCCAAATGTCTTTGTGTTATAATAAATCATGCTTAATTTCATACCAATCAGTCTTAAAACCAAATTGACTCGGAATTACCTAACTTCCCGTCAAGAAGCTAGAAAGCTAAAAATGAGTGAAAGTTGTCAAGAATTGAACATCAGCAATTTATTGATTTTTTTCCAGAAATTTTATTAGTCTGTTCGGACTAATTAGCCTCAGATTTTATCAGTCCAAATGAAAATGTATTAGTCTGAGACTAATGGACTAACATTAATGTAGAACCATGACATGTATTTTATTTCATTCTGCTTATCTCACAGTTTTATTTCAAAACTTAGGATCCTGCCTATTGGACTTGAAATAAAGAGGATTCTGAAAAAGGATTTAGTTCTTGGAGGTTATCTAGTGCCTGCAGGTGTAAGTAGTTAATCAAGCAAAATATTTACAAGACAGACTCAAAACTTCAGGTAAACGCACAACAAACTAATTGAGGAGACTGTATACATATACTATACCAGAGTTTTTGAAATAAAAAAATATTCACTGGTCAAGTGGACCAGCAATTTAGTGAAATTCACTGGTCCACACAAATATTCACTGGTCCATCAGCATACGTATTGAGATACTTAAAAAAAAAATAAAAAACCTGAGAAATTGTTTTAATTCCAGTTATAGGCCTTTAAAAATAATTATGTTTGTTTCTCGTAACATTCAAAAAAAAAAAATCAAGGGTTGGTAGGTCAGGATTTTTTTTTTTTGCTAATGAATAATAGGGTCAAACATCCCTAAACTGAATTAATCAGGTGTGATATTAGCTGCAGAACTGTAGCTCTCTGGTTGAAAAAATTCGGACAGATAAACCTCTGCTTTGTTTGTCCGAATTTTCTCAAGCAGAGAGCTTCAGTTCTGCAGCTAGTGTGTTATTTACATTGGACACCAAACATGGCTGTATAGCGCAGAAAACAAACTTCTAAATGTTTTGGGGGAACTGCTTGATGTAACAATAATGATTACTCTTTATGTTTAAGGGAAATGATGATTAGGTTGACATATGTTATATCCCAAATAAAAGCTACAGTTAACATTTTTTGTATAAATTGAATCAGCTGAATGAACAAACACAGACTGGACTTTTGAAATATTTACCAGTTTTGCCAGTGGGACCGGTGGATTTCAAAAACTCTGCTATACTTGTAAATTGATGCTGTAGAATAGATCTATTTCAATGGATGATCATTAATTATTTGCCCAGTGAAACAGCCCTGGATGATGTGTAAATTTTTGTGTCTTATACAGACAATAGTTGAGTTGGCTCCCTATGTACATTACAAATCAGCAGAGTACTTTGTGGAACCAGACCGATTTTTACCGGAGCGTTGGTTGAGGGATGGTTCAGCTCTGAACATCCACCCCTATCTTCTTACACCATTTGGACATGGTCCTAGGATGTGTGCAGGTTAAGTCTGGTTAAACTATCTTTTAAAACTAGCTATCATCTGATAACACCAACTTAAAACAGGTTTTTGTCTGGTTAAACTAAATGTAACTTAAATGTAATATAGTCTGATTGCACTTATTTTAAAACCTGGAATTATAAATGTCAAAATATCTAAGAATTTTAAGATTTTCACAATTTTGTGGCCTTTTCATTATGAGGATATGTATTTTTTCACTGGAGGCCACTAAAAATGGACAAATTCTTTTCTTCTGAATTTTTAGGGAGAAGATTTGCAGAGCAGGAACTATATGTTCTTTTATCCAAAATGTTGAAGAATTTTGAGTTGGGATATGATGGCGACCTTGACATGAAGTTTCAGGTTTTGATGGTCCCTGATAGACCAACAACCTTCACTTTCAAGGACAGGTCATCCTGATATAGCCGAGACTGATACACTTCAAAGATGGGGCATTTAGATAACAGTCCAAATGTTATTATTTTAATAAAATTCTGCCAAGTGCTTTCATTTGTGTGGTGAAAATGAGCATATCACAACCTGTATTCCTGTAAAAGACTATTAAAAAAGTGTTCATAAATAAATAAATGCATTGGAAATTAGTTGTCAGTTTGTATGCATTCCTCACTTGTATTTAATATTGCATTTTATAACCATGTGGCAATTTTTTGAGAGCATTAAACACAGAAGCTGTTTATTTTGGAATTATCTTGTTCTCCAGTGTGTATACATGTTCATGTACAGCTGTATATAACTCCATTACCAAAAAGAAAGTCTTAGACAGTAATTGTTAATGTTTACATTTCATAAGAAATAATAATTGTCCAAACATTGATTAAATCTGATCATGCACAAATAGTTGAGAAAATATAATGTGATACCATAATACATGCAGCAGTTTATTAATTGATGGTTTATATATAAGATGAACTAGACCTTACTGTCATGTAATGTGTTACAGTGTATGAATTGATAAACAAGCTTGGCAATGATTATTTATGCATATATTATGAAATCATTGATATTCTTTTAAAATAAATGTTATTTAATTCAAAAAGTACTTGTTTACTTTCATTGTGCCAGTACAGTTAAGAATTGTCTGTTGTCAGTACCTGTATAATCAGTGGATTGTCTGTTGTCAGTACCTGTATAATCAGTGGATTGTCTGTTGTCAGTACCTGTATAATCAGTGGATTGTCTGTTGTCAGTACCTGTATAATCAGTGGAGTGTTTGTTGTCAGTACTTGTATAATCAGTGGATTGTCTATTGTCAGTACCTGTATAATCAGTAGATTGTCTGTTGTCAGTACTTGTATAATCAGTGGACTGTCTGTTGTCAGTACTTGTATAATCAGTGGAGTGTCTGTTGTCAGTACTTGTATAATCAGTGGATTGTCTGTTGTCAGTATCTGTATAATCAGTGGATTGTCTGTTGTCAGTACCTATTTAATCAGTGGATTATCTGTTGTCAGTACTTGTATAATCGGTGAATTGTCTGTTGTCAGTACCTATATAATCAGTGGATTGTCTGTTGTCAGTACCTGTATAATCAGTGGATTGTCTGTTGTCAGTATCTGTATAATCAGTGGATTGTTTGTTGTCAGTACCTGTATAATCAGTGGATTGTTTGTTGTCAGTACCTGTATAATCAGTGGATTGTCTGTTGTCAGTCTCTGTATAATCAGTGGAGTGTCTGTTGTCGGTACCTATATAATCAGTGGATTGTCTGTTGTCTGTATAATCAGTGGATTGTCTGTTGTCAGTATCTGTATAATCAGTGGATTGTTTGTTGTCAGTACCTGTATAATCAGTGGATTGTCTGTTGTCAGTATAATCAGTGGATTGTCTGTTCCAAGTACCTGTATAATCAATAGATTGTCTGTTGTCAGTACCTGTATAATCAGTGGATTGTCTGTTGTCTGTATAATCAGTGGATTGTCTGTTGTCAGTATCTGTATAATCAGTGGATTTTCTGTTGTCAGTACCTGTATAATCAGTTGATTGTTTGTTGTCAGTACCTGTATAATCAGTGGATTGTCTGTTGTCTGTATCATCAGTGGATTGTCTGTTCCAAGTACCTGTATAATCAGTGGATTGTCTGTTGTCAGTACCTGTATAATCAGTGGATTGTCTGTTGTCTGTATAATCAGTGGATTGTCTGTTGTCAGTATCTGTATAATCAGTGGATTGTCTGTTGTCTGTATAATCAGTGGATTGTCTGTTCCAAGTACCTGTATAATCAATAGATTGTCTGTTGTCAGTACCTGTATAATCAGTGGATTGTCTGTTGTCTGTATAATCAGTGGATTGTCTGTTGTCAGTACCTGTATAATCAGTGGATTGTTTGTTGTCAGTACCTGTATAATCAGTGGATTGTTTGTTGTCAGTACCTGTATAATCAGTGGATTGTTTGTTGTCAGTACCTTTATAATCAGTGGATTGTCTGTTGTCAGTATCTGTATAATCAGTGGATTGTCTGTTGTCAATACCTATTTAATCAGTGGATTGTCTGTTGTCAGTACCTATTTAATCAGTGGATTGTCTGTTGTCAGTACCTGTATAATCAGTGGATTGTCTGTTGTCTGTTTCTAATGGAGGCCGAGTCTAATCGAGTGCGCATGGCTTTGCGCAGCTTTTTAATTTCATACAGCCGTATATGCGACATTACACCTTTCCCAATTATTGTGATTTTAAGACAAAATTTTTTTTTAACATTATCTGTAACGCTTATGGGTCTGAAAATGAACTTTTCCGACAATAATTAGGGAAAACACGATGAAATGGCTCTTATACGACGTCACTTTTTTCCGATTTTGTTAGCAATGCATGACGCTGAAGAATAACCCATGACTCGCTTGAGTATTCAAGACGTCCATGGACATTTTACTAAAAACTGTTGACAGAACATCATAAGAAACGTACAATCAATCTAAACATTGTTATTTTTTTACCAAAATAATTCATCTGCGCCGATAATTCATCTGCACCGAGATATATATATATATATATATATATATATATATATATATATATATATATATATATATATATATATATATATATATATATATATATATATATATATATAATACCGCAATATGGCAATTTAGAAGTATTGGGCATTGAAGAAATAAACTTTGTAATAATTCTTAGACCAACCTAGATGCATGGTCAACTTCTTTGAAATTTCACAATTTGGTGACGTTTTACAATATCTTTCATGTACTTGACTGAAAAAGAAATCTCTAGGGCATAAATACAAAAATATGAAAAAAATGTGATGATTTTGCGCTTTTCCAACACATTCCAATTAGGGTCCAATAGTAAAATTTAACAACTTTTGAGATGGTCCCTAAGAAATGGGTAAACATTCGATTTTTTAATCTTAAAACATTATGAAAATCTCTAGGGTAGAAATAGACTCGGTCTCGTTATTTGTGACCACTGGACATAAATACCGTTTGCTTACTCACATGTTCTATAGAAAAGTTTTCTCAGTTTTTTTATTCCGTGCACTACTCAGTAAATTTTCCATGTTTAGCCTTCCGATTTTCCATGTGCATAAATTTATAATAAAGAAAAAAGACCGACCACAGATGCTGCTGCGCTTTAAAGCTATATATGGCGTATCTGAGCTTAAAAAATAAGAATGCGAGATTGAATGTAGATGAACATTATATTTGTTATTTACGTTAAAAATAAAATTTTCACCGATTTTGAACTTGAATAACACCATGTTTCTATAGTTAAATTGACTTTAAACCGTGTCTTATATTAAATGCGGAGTCGGTGAATAAATCGGTTATATTGTTCTGAATTTCAAATGTCTATGAAGCGCAATTGATTTAAATTGTGTAATTTACAGGAAAGTCCTATCTTTATATAATTAAAAGTAATAAAACAGATAGAAAGATCTTTTTAATTTTAGTTAGTCTGAATTTATCAAAAATACGCCATACATGACTTTAATTATAAAATTAGCCTTGACCAGATTATAATTGGAATATCAAATTTGAAATATCGTTGAATACCAGAAAAACCGATTTATATTAAATACAAATAGCTAAGCTTTTCAAATTCTGAATTCCAAACAGAGCAAGTTTGTTTGATCATTTTGCGAAATGTTTGCGATCATTTAACTAGATCAGGTATCCTTTATTTAAATACACTAAAATTTGAAAATATTCATTGCGATGGATTGAGCTTACTTTTTCTTACTACGTATATCATGGAATTTATAAACAGTAAATACTATTTTGTCGTAAATCTTTTCTAAATTCTCTCATTCTCTCTCTCTCTCTCTCCCCCCCCCCCTCCGCGCTTTCGCGAAAGCAGGGGAAAATAAATCTGTTATTTATTAATCTTTTTTTTTTTTTTTTTTTTTTTTTTTTTTTTTTTTTATAGATTTACTATCTGTCCAATAAGCGATACTATAAAGATATCAGATACTGCAGTAAAATCGCTTTATTTGAGTCATATCTAAATTTCTTTCAAATTTTGGTTTCTTTTTTTTCGTTTTCATTGGAAAACTTTATTTCAGAGTTTATAACATTTTGACCCTGGCCCGTGTGCACTACCTGGGACCTTTAATAATAGCAATTTCTACAAAATCATAAACTTCAAACAACCAAAACCAAACTATACTGACTTAGATTTTCATATAACAAATATTTTGGTTTACAATGTTATAAATTATTATGTTGATGTTCCAAACATCGATCGTAATTCGTAAAATTATTTTCACATTTATACAAAGATTCTATTTTAAAAATATTTTATATACATGTATTCATATTTTATATTTTTGCCTAATATGAACATTTGTACTTTTTCTACACAAATCTCAAGATCAAATTAAAATCAATATATTTAGAAAACTGAAAACAAAGAAAACTGTTCTTATTGCAGTCTTATCAAAGACAACACAGATGCGACCCTCCCAAACTATTAACTGATAAATGAGCAGACCGTGACAAGGTAAGATCTGTCTCTAGAACGACAGCGTACTACAAACAACGCCTCTGATCAGATAATTCAATCAATAAGAATATTTTACAGAATATGTGACCTAAACTTATACTGTCTTGTTGGGGTTTATCTTGGCGAATGCAAGAAAAAATTATATTATTTTTGTATAAGTATATATCAGTGCTTATGACATTCGGTAATCCGGTCGAAGTGAAATTAATTTATGCCAACTTATCATTTAATGTAGAAATCAAAAGATTTCTTTACTTTCAGAATTTACAGATAATCTTTTGATGTGTTTTTATGAATTAACTAGTATATGGAAGAATGGAGCGCTGCTGTCAAATCTCGGTAGTATCGTGGATTATTGGACTTTGCTTTAGCTTCAAAGATCATTCTGAAAACCAGACGACAGAAGACTCCCCAAATTCCCCGGACTCAAACAGACTTAACATCCTGTTTGGAGTATTCACTCTAATGCTTATCATTGCCATCATGTCAGGTGTCGCTGTTTGCATCATCAAAGGAAACCAAATCGATGCTGAGAAGACAGACGACAACGAACATTTGCATGAAGATGACATCACCGAGAGAACAGTTCTCACAACATCATCTTGAAAACAGTTGATTTCGGGACGTCACATTTCAACTTGAAACGTTAATTTAAAGATGTTCGCGAAGACGATGTTGAACTTTGAACAGATGATACTGATGCAAGTAACCTCGTTCTGAAGGTTGTACGAGCTCTGAACGGCAATTATTACCGAAATAAGTTGTATGTGTTTTTAATTTGACTCTTCGCAACCTTTGTACAGGAGTGACGTTTTAGTGTTTCCTTATGGTTGTAGCCTCAATGAGATCTAGTCAAAGCTGAAGAACTGTGACAAAATCATGATAGATGCAATAGCATATTCTTTGTATTAACAACTTTTAACACGAGGCAGACTACTGACAGACAAGCTGATGAAACAGTGGTGCCAACAATCTAGTTTAAAGTTAACATTTTTCAAATACAATCTGTCCTTGGGTCGAATGTTGAGTGACTGACACCTTTCTTGTAAAAATTTTTATGCGATTATTTTCATTCTGAATTCATTATGGATTTCTACGTTTACATCAATCAAAATAAAGAGCACACGGCGGGTATGACCGGTCTACAGCTAGGAAATGTTTATTCCTCCACAGGACATGATTCCACCTCTGATTTTTTAGGTCTATGTTTACTCTGCTCATAATTTGTATTTTGGACTTTTGAGCATGATAACTGTTTGATATCCTCATATTTATGGCAGGTATTTTTTATCGATATTGAGGACCCTCTATACACTAGAGGAAAATATTTTTTGGACAGTGAAAAAAATTATGGTATGTAAAGGTGTAAGCATTGAGCTTATCTATCACATTTTCAACATAGGGTGCCTTGTATTTACCCCCAGGAAAAATGTTCAAAGACAATGAAGTACTGATGAACAGAAATCACTGTTGTTTACTTAAGTGGACAAAATACCTGCAAATGAAATGTTCTATCTATTCCTCTTGGCCTATTGAAGTGTAATGAATGCTTGATTTGATAAAAAATTAAGTAATAAACTGTACATTACAGTTTATTTTCTTCTTGATCAAAGGGCAGATCACTCTTTCTGCATAAAAATACCACAAAATCAGAACTCTTTAGTGTGCAGTGTGTAGAGGGCTCTTAAGAATGTCCTTTTAGTGTGAACCTAGTTTAAGCAACAAATCAATAGCAATGTTAATAAACAGTTTATATAATTATCATAATTTACAAATCGATATGTGGATTGAAAATGTTATTTTGTTGTACAATGTAATAAAAAATCTGTACATAACAAGATGTATTTGTAAAACACTGACGCCCTGTATAGCAACTCAAGGCGAATGTTAAAGTTTCTCAAATGCAAGTCGAACTCCAAGTTCAAGAGATCTAAAAATGTTGAGACCTAAAGAACGATCTTGTCTCAAATAATATAAATATTAGGGATGGCAATAGAATACAGAATTGCCAATCGGTTAACCGAAGGACGTTCCGACCGATTAACCAGTTAATCGTATCAAAATATACATTTTCCTTATATTTTATTTGTTCAAGTAAACTCTAGTTATATACACAAGAAAACAGAAAAAGGCGTTAATGCTTGATTAGTACGCTATATATTATATTTTATTTCAATTTCGAACGGCAAGAAAAAATAAGGCAACCATGAAACATCTCTTAGATATCACAGAAATTGATATTGTTACAACACAAGGTAATTGTGCATTGTCACCATAAGCAGAAACTGGGTCTGAAAAAATTTACAATGTTTGTTGATAGATAACTGCGAAGGTTAGACGGGGTAAGATACACATTGCAATCATTTAACAGAACTCAAAAAAGATTTAATCAATATCATAATTAAGACAGGCTGGCTAACAACATGGTATTTAAACAGTAATTTTAAAACACTTTGCGAAGTGACCAATTACCCCCAACAAATTCAGTCTTGAGCGTCTTAATTAAATTATTTACCTCTTAATCAGCCGAATTAAATTTGGAAACGTTATAACTTATCAATATTCAGGGTTTTTTTAACATTGTAAATCGTGTTTTAAGGACATTTACACCTATTTTAATTTTTTTTTCCGACTAACCGATTACAGATTTTCTAACCGATTATCATCGTTCCGACTGTGTAACCGGTTAACCGATTACAAATTGCCATCCCTAATATATATATATATATATATATATATATATATATATATATATATATATATATATATATATATATATATATATATATATATATATATATATATATATATATATATATATAAAATAAGCATTTTAATTTTCACACTGGGGGCCAAATTTGGGTTGAATAACGGCTTTTTTCATTTTACAAAAACCTGAATTCAAGAAGCACTCTTGCTTTTTAAGCATTAGCCATCTAATCTTTTGCAGGTTAATGGGGGATAGCCTGCAGATATGCAATAAGATTTTGGAATTTTCATTCTTGGGACTAAAAGGGGGTTAAAAAAATATGTTTTCAAGCTTCAATAATTTTTGTGGCTTTTTTTCTACCCAAATACTTATCAAGGAGCTAAGGTGCATTTTAGGCGTCCAATTACATACGGGTATTATATACATGTACCGTCTTACGACAGCATCTAGTTTTACTTTTTTTCGATTTTGACAAAATT